AAGGACAGAAAAGGACAGAAAAGGACAGAAAAGGACAGAAAAGGACAGAAACGGATAGAAAAGGAACATATAGATATCGCATGCAAAATGGCTTTGTTGCCTGATTCATTCATATAGTAGCTGGGTTACTTCACATCCCTTGCCCAGCTTTATAAGAGGGGGTATAAGCTTGGTAAAGCAGTAGTAAACCATCCCCAATTTTGCCACAAATGGGTGCCATACACCATCAATATATGGGTGGTGTATTGGGTGTATTATCGCATTTGGCAATCTTTAGCAACATTAATCCTCTGGTAAACGTTTACATAACTATGGAAAACCACCATTTTCAATGCGAAAATCCACTATTTCTATGGTCATTTTCAATAGCTATTTTGACATAACCAGAGGGTAATCCACTTACAATTCCGGGTGGACCACCTGCCACAAATTGTCGCAGGTTTGTGGCTTGGTGCTGCTTCAATCAGATGTGTCCGCAGCCTTCCATGCTGCCCTCACCCTGAAGTACTCCACGTCACGACGACACAAAATCCGCAGGGTCTGATGTTGAGTCCAGGTGAAAACAAAGCTGGAAAGCCTTGTTTCTTTGGTAATCCACCATTAAAAATGGTGATTAAATATGGTGATCAAATGAAATGGTGATTAATTTACCATATTTTCCACAGCTGGGATTTAGGATTCGGAAGTGCAATTCTTTAAAGGGTCCAGGTAGGGCCTTAGGGGGCGACAACACATGGTTGGTACAAACAAATAATGTAAAAATGGTTCTCAAATGTTTCAGAAACGACAACTTACTAGAGACCGCAGACCCTTGCTCCACAACGATTCTGACTTTCCTTGAGTTGCACGACTATCCACAGCAAGCACTGAGAGCATTAACAGCACTCAGTTTATCATTGTTGGTTTGACTCTTGAAACACACTTTAGATCATTGTGCACATAGAACTCCTGTTTTTTCTGTGCTTCAGGGCGCCAGGGTCCCGTTTCACTCTTGGGTCCCTGAGGCTTTTCAACTGGCCGCGGCTGACGGGCGCGGAGCAGGAAGAGGCGCTGCAGCTGATGATGCGAGCGCTCGACCCGCCGCAGCAGGTGTCCCTTGGAGTGGCACCGGTATTGTTGTTGCCATGGCGCAGGCTGGAAAATCACCTAACCTACAACCCATAGGATCCATGGTGCTGGTATATATGCTAACATAAAGGAGGTATATTGATGGGATCCATGTTACCATAAATTAGCATACATGGATCCTATGGGTAACAAGCATTAAGAAGCGATGATTTTCCCAGCTATAAACAACTTAAACAAAACACCTCCTAGATTTCAAGATTTAATCGTAATTCAAGAGTTATAGTGACCTCATGCAGTGACGTCACTGGAATGATGGGAATTGTATGGTGGGATGCTTTACCATACTGAGTGTAATCGTGAATTTGAGCCACTCATGTGCTAAGCCCCATTGCCATAGGCCTACCATTTGGGGATGGTTTGTATATCCCAGTGTGATGTTTGATATGGTTGTTGCGTTAATTTAGCAAGCCAAGCAACAAAGAAGCAAGAATCACACTAGCTTCCCAAGCCCATCAATACTACAATCAATCAAGCCCATGATCAATGGTCATGATATTAGGCCTAAGGCCTATGTACTGCAAGGGAATATCCCCACAAAATACGGCCGTACCTCCATGGTTCTCGTATGCAGTACCTCCATGATGCCCCGAGGTTGCAAGACTGGGCACCCGTGCGGCAACAAGCGCTTCTGGCCATTGCGCTCTACTGGAAGTGTCTCGACAGCACAGCCTGTGCTACGTGTGCTGGGTCCCCCAATTGATGAGGAGTTCAACTACCAACAAACAGGGATGTAAGTCAAAATCAGGATCGAACCAAGAACAAGTGGAATTCATACTGTGAATTGTGTGCCACACAATTTGAGTGTGGAACATCATTTTTCTATTTGTGGCCTTATCGGCCCAACATCCCCATTTCTAGGGAGGGATATCCCTAGGGTCCAGCCAACCTGGCTACATGTCGTGCAGCCCCGATCCAAAAGGGCTGCTTCGCACTTGACGCTTTCCTGCACTTCGAGTGGCAGGGCTTTGCATTGGGTTCTTGCTGCTACCCATCAACATTGGTAGCGGAGCTCATTGCTCCAGAGCTCTACTACAACCCTACATCGAGCCCAAGGACAACTACAACTTCACCTACATCCATCCCCTGCGCAACTCTCCCTACATCATTGACTATAACCTCACCTGGTCTCTCACTACATCCTGCTCTACGAATTCGACCTGGACTTCGACATCCCTTGCCGCGACTTTCTGGACTTTGTCAACGGCCTGGACGACCAGTATGCCCTCGGCAACTGATGGCCCAACGACTACTTCGAGCACGACTGGCATGGAGATGCAGAAGGACACGTACATCCCTGTCTTCACGAACCGACCTCAAGACTACAGGGAGTGGCGACAACGGATCAATCTCTACAGACGCAAGCTGGAGCTGCAGAACAAATCGAAGGAGGCAGTGCTGAATGTCTTGACCTCGCTCCACGGAGTGGCATGGCGACAGCTGGAGCCGAAGGTGGAAACCATCCTCTCCAAGGAGGACGGAGGCTTCGACTTGATCCTGGCCGAGTTGGACGCCACGTTCCGCTACAACGAGGACGTGGAGATGCCTCGGGCCTTTGAGCGCTTCTTCTATGGCTTGAACCGGAAGCCGGACCAGACGCTCTTGGCCTATGTTGCAGACCATCGAGAAGCTCTACATGAAGTGGAAAAGCATGGGGTGCAGATCAGCGACAAGGTGAGTGGCTGGATCTTACTTCGCCGCTCAGGACTTTCAAGTGAGCAGAAGCAGCTGATTCAAAGCCAGTGCCCCAAGCTCTCCTATGACAAGGTGGTCGAGGCGATGTTCTTCCTCTTGGGGCAGGACTACAAGAGCCGAAGCACGGACAGCCAGTCCACGAGGTGGAAAGGCAAGACCTATGGACGATGGTCCAACAAGAACTATGGCTACATGGTGGACGCGGGCTACGACACTGAGGAGCCCTACATCGACGACTTCGCCTACCAGCAATGGGATGATGGCGACTATGAGAATGAGGAGTATGAGGACTTTGACGAGCCCTACACCGAGGACACCTATGGAGCCAATGACTATGAGGACACAGAGTTCCCTGACGAGGGCCTTGGCGATGATGACACCCTGGAGGAGGCATATGCGGCCTACTTGGATGCGAGGAGACACTTCGCACAGATGAAGGCTGCCAGAGGCTACTTTCCAGTTGTGGCACTTGCAGACTCTGGCTCATCAATGGCGGCGGGCTCACAGTCTCCAAAGCCACCAAAAGGCCGAGGAAAAGGACGTGGGAAGGTGAAAGGAAAGCCTTCTTACCGACAATCCAACCCTCCTCAGAAGGGATCGGCGGCATCAAGGGCCAATGCAACCCGATGTCTACGTTGCGGACAAGTTGGTCATTGGGCTGCCAATTGCACAGCCTCTCCAACACGGACGAGCCCTACACCATCGACTACGTCATCACCCACGAAGAAGGCCAAGACGGACTCTGCGATGATGGTCAGAGACCTGGCAAAACATGTTCATGCTGGACTCCCACTGCTGAGCTCTGAAGGCCTTTACGGCATTCAAGATGGTGGTGCCTCATCAGTGGTGTGCGGACATGATGTCTTGATGCGCATCATTGATCACATGAAGGCACGTGGAGTCCCAGTTGAAAGATTCCTCTTTGCTGCCACCAACAAGGTCTTTGGATTTGGAGGAGACGCCAACAGGCATGCAGACTGGTCAGTCCGACTTCCAGTCTACATTGAGGGTCAGGCCGGATACATTGAAACGTTCATTGTGGAGGGCAACACGCCTTTGCTGATCGGCCGACCCATCCTCCAAGCCTTGAACATCAAGATCGACTACAATTCCAACCAAGTGTCTATCCAAGATGGTGATTGGAAAGCTGCTGACATGGGAGAGAAGGGTGAGTACTTGCTCTGCCTGGACAATGGAGTCGCCGACGACCCCCTGGGCAAGAACATCACCTTTGACTATGTCACCACGGACACTTGTGCTGCCATCACCAACTATGAGGACTTGGACGACTACATCTCCATCCACGACTACTTGACGATGACGAAACGGAGCCCACCAGAGACTGCCTTCCTGGAGGACGACCACAACAAGGACGATGACACCTCCAACTTTGAGGAGAACTATGACCCTGCTGCTGAAGATGATCCTTCTGCAGTTCGACGCCCCATCACCACGAGGATCATCAAGACCATGCACATGGAGTTCAACAGTTTCAACAAGAAGAGACGTGAAACCATGGAGCAAGTGCTGTTTGCACACCAGAAGGGCAAACGCATCTTCTGGGAGGTCTACAGCGGCAGCGCCAACCTCTCAGTGGTCATGGAATCTCAAGGATGGGAGGTAGCCAACTTCGACTACAACTCTGGATGGGACTTTGACATTGCCCAACATCGACGTGAATTCCTGGAACTTCAGGACAAGACCTGCCCGGACTTCATCTGGTACAGTCCCAAGTGTACCGAATGGTCACCGCTCCAGAACCTCAACACCCTGACCGAAGAGCGACGACATGCCCTTCAAGCAGAACGGGACTACCAGGAGAAGGTCCACTTGAAGATGTGCCGCAGAAGCTACTTGAAGCAGCGACGAGAAGGCAGACATGCTGCATTGGAGCAACCCCGGTATGCTATGAGTTGGAAGACCCGGACGCTCCATGATCTTCCTGGACACCAGTGCAACCTGGACCAGTGTCAGTTTGAAGTTTGAAGTGACACTTCCTGATGAACATGGCCACGACCAGTACATCAAGAAGCCGACACGACTTCAGTGCACTGACGAGGGCATGGCCTGGGAACTTGCACGTCTGTGCCCCGGAGATCACTACCACCTTCCAATTGAAGGAAGCTCTCCTGGAGTTGGCAATCGAGCGGAAGCTTCAGGTGTCTACCAAGGCATTTTCTGCAGCATGATCAGCCAGTCGATCATCAACATCTTCGTCACGGAGGAGCCCTCCAAAGCCAACTACATCACTGAGGAGATCTACGCTGGCGACGAGGACAACGAGGCCCCCATGGACTTCGAGAACCTGTCTGACGTTTGGCCTGATTCTCCTGAAGAACCTCCTGAACCTCACCAAGAAGTTCGACGACAAAGAGGAGTTCTGACAAGACTGCAAGATGAAGATCGACAAGCTGCCAAGAGGACAATCACAAGGTTGCATCGAAACCTTGGACACCCTTCCAATCAAGAGCTACTACGACTTCTGAAGACCAAGAATGTGAGTCAAGCTCTACTACAAGCTGCCCAAGAACACGAATGTGGCTTGTGCGATCTGCACAAGAGACCCACTGGAGTACCTGTCTCCAGCATGCCCAAGAACAGCAGCTTCAACGAGCGTGTCCAAGCAGACACACTTTGGATCAAGGTGCCCAACATGAAGCACAAGCAGCCTGTCCTCATGATGTCAGATGCGGCAACCAGACTTTTGGCTGCGAGACACATCAAGGCGGAGACCACCGAGGAGTACATCAAGCAGATTGAAGCTGCCTGGATCAGTTTCTTTGGTCCTATGAAAACCCTCCAGGTGGACGAGCACCGAGCTTGGTCATCAGATGCCCTACGTGAATGGGCCACTGAGCAGGGCATTCAGCTGGTGATCAGCCCTGGCCAATCCCACACCAGGTTGGCGATCTTGGAACGACGTCACCAAGTCACCAGAAGAGCCATCAGCATCTTCCTGGAGGCGAACCCTGGTGTGGCCAATGACAAGGACGGGCTCATCATTGCCTTGAACTACATCGTGCCGCAGCTGAATCGGACACCCAATGTCCAAGGATTCTCACCACTGCAATGGGTGCTGGGTTACACACCACATGTGCCTGGCCTGCTTTCTGAGGAGTCATCGCTGTACAATCCAGCACATCTCAACCCCTCTGAGAAGTTCATGGAACAACTTCGACTCCGACAAGTAGCTTCAAAGGCCATGATCGAAGCGGACACAGACCATCGACTTCGACGAGCACTCTTGAGAAAGTACATGGGACAACCTGTACTGCTTCAGCCCGGAGACCTTTGCTACTACTGGCGTGACACTCCGGCAGGGTCATCCACGAAGCTCAAGTGGCGTGGACCAGCTACCATCATCATGCGAGAACCAGGACAACATGGGCCTCATACCGACATCTACTGGATTGGGCATGGAACTGTTTTTCTTCGAGCAGTGCCTGAACACATCAAGCCTGCCACGCCCATCCAGGACACAACAGAGAAAGCACGGGATCCACTGGATGCGGCAAAGCAAGCTTTGGCCAACATCCGACAGAGAGGAGTGACACAGTACATCGACTTGGGCAAGAGCAACAAACGACGACGTGAAGAAGTTGCAACGGATGAGGAGGAGGACGACATCGACCAGACGATGAGCCACTTTCCTGGAGAACAACTTCCACCGGATCGTTGGCAAGTTTCTGATGATGGTCGCATGTGGACTCGCATCCACAGCAACCCACGACGCAAGCTCTATGTGCCCGAGATCACAGCAGATGTACCAGTACATCTCTTCCTGCCGGAGAGAGCCACCGACATCCGACGTGGAAGCCCCAATCCAGAGCACATCAGAATCAGAGATGAATGGAGATTGCCCAATGGCAACAGGGAGCTGCACTACGTTTGGACAGGCACTACGACCTTCTTCATCAACACCAATGGCCTCTCCGACAACGAGTACAGCCCTGGCACTCCACTTCCTGAAGATGACCGACATTCTGATGAAGACCAACATCATGACGAACCACATCAACCTGAAGAATCTGAACAAGAATCTGGTGTCCACCCTACCTCTACGACAAGTCCTGCTGACACCACGGCTGGCGGATCCAGATCACATGGACTACATCCACTACCTGAAGAAAACGTTCAACCTGAAATCCCACCATCAATGTCACCAATGAGCCGACTGGAAACAGAACCAGCCGAGGAACCAACTGTCGCTTCGGTGACCATGGATCCTTCACTGGCCAACGACCCCAACTTCCAAATGCCACCTGAACAACAACAACTCTATCAACCTCCAACAGGTGGTGAGACCTTTGCCCAAAGGCGTGCGAGAACTGAGAGGCAGGAGACCTTGCTCTTCAAGCCAAAGCAGCCATCCTACGGACCTCAACGACCTGCAGAACCCAGAGAGACACCATACTCTGGGAAGCCACTGTCAACTGACGAAAGCATCAGTGCTACCATGGACATTGACATCGTGAAGGAAACCGGACTTCCTGCAGGATGGATCCTTGAGAAAGGCATGATCGCCATGGATGAGGTCAAGGATGAATGGAAGCTTGAGGGCAACTACATCACCCGCAAGCACTACCTGCCACGCAACAGCGACTACAAGCCTGACGAGGACACCTGTCCTTTGCCCCTGCACTACCTCATGAAGGACCGCTATACCAAGATGGGCACCCAACTGGTGCGTGACAAATGGAGCAGACCTTCCAAGAACAAGAAGCTCTGCAGTGATTGGTGGACCGGCTACACGCGGTTCAAGATCTGCACATCTTGGAGAAAAGATGCCAAGCGCATCTTCATGGAAAAGAGCGAGGGCAAGGAGACCATGTACTACAACGAGACCAAGCCCAACAGCAACGCCCCTCTGTCAGAGAGGACAATGTCTCTGGCCGATCGCCTTTCCTTCATGGAGGCAAAGAAGAAGGAGCTTGAGAGCTTCTTTGAGAATCAGGTTTGGCTCTTTGATGATGCAGACAATGCCCCAGCAGACCGAGTGCTGAAGGCAAGGTTCATCCTGACTTGGAAGAAAAATGAGGATGGAACCCCAAGAGCCAAAGCCAGACTTGTGGTACAAGGATTCCGAGATCCTGACGCTCACCTGGGCAACCTATCCACTACGTCACCAACATTGACGAGGTTGTCAAGGAACTACATCATGAGCGTTGCCACGATGCAGGGCATGACCATCTTCACTAGCGACATCTCTACAGCCTTCTTGCAAGGCAAGAACTTCAAGCCTGAATCCAACCGCACCATCTGGGTGAAGATTCCTCGAGATGGAGAAGAACTACTTGGATTGGCCCCCGGCCATGGAAAATTGATGAAGTTGATCAAACCAATGTATGGCCTTTGCGATGCTCCACGAGCTTGGTACGAAGAGGCAACAACCAGAATCCTCAACATGGGCAAGGGGTCGTTTGTTCAACATCCCCTAGATGCCTGCCTCTTCTTGGCCTTTGATCGACAAGTTCATCCACCTCCACCTGAAGGCGCTGAAGCACCGAGACTAATCGCCCTCTTTGGCATGCACGTGGACGACATCTTTGGATGCTACTACGAGAATGACGAGCACACCACGGTCCTCTTGCAGAACCTCAAGCGCATCTTCAACTTCAGAGAATGGATCACCTCCAATGACAAGGAGGAGCTGGAATACTGTGGCGCCCAGATCACAAAGGTAGGGCAGGATCATTGGAAAATCCACCATGAGAAGTACCTGAACAAGCAGAAGCCGATCACCTACCCCAAGGAGCGACATGGATCCAACGATGAAGTCACAGACCGTGAAAAGACTTCCTTGAGGGGTTTGATTGGAGCCCTACAGTGGCCAGCAACACAGACCAGCCCACACTTGCAGTGTATGGTATCTACCCTTGCGGGTCAGGTATCAAAGGCGACTACATCCACCTTGGACGCCGCCAACAAGTGCCTGAAGTTTGCCAAGCAGAACAACGACGTTGGCTTGGAATTTCGACATCTTGGGCCCAAGGAGGAGATCACCTTCATCGCATACTCAGATGCATCATTTGCATCAAGGGATGACCTCTCCAGTCAGGGAGGATACATGGTGGCGATGACCCACCGAGATGTCACCAAAGGTGGAGAAGGACATTACAACATCATCGACTGGAGGAGCTGGAAGCTGGCACGAGTGGCGCGAAGCACACTTGCAGCAGAGAGCCAGGCAGCCTCAGACGCTGCCGATGCGCTTTTGTTTGCCTCTACGTTTTGGCGACTTCTATGGGAACCGTGGCTGCCCCTGGACGACATCAAGACCGCCCAGTGTGCCAACTCACCAAAGTTGGTTGTTGATGCCAAGGCGCTCTATGACCTGCTGGTCAGAGATGAGATCCAAACAGGAAGCAGTGCTGACAAGCGCACTGCCATTGAAGTTTTGGTCTCCCAAGACAAACTACTTTGCTGCGGTGCCTCTACACTTTGGGTCAGCTCCGAACTTCAATATGCCGACGGCCTTACAAAAGCATCAGCCGCCCAGTTGTTGGCTGACAGGATGCGGAGTCATTTGACTCGCCTACGAAGTGATGAAGACTTTGTGGCCGCCAAGAAGAAGACCCCATGGGAACGAAAGAAAGGAACGGAGCGATACGCTCTGAAGAAACCATCCAGCACAACCACCACGGCAATGTTTGCAGCTTTCTGCACAACTGCCGCTGCAGCCCTGGACTATGAGATTGACGAGATCAACATGCAGATGAATGAGACCAACATCACCTACCCCCTGAACGATGAGCACTACGAGCACGAGCTCTACACCACGATCATCGCCATTGTCATCGGCTTCCTCGTGATGATTGGAGCTGCAACGACCTGCCGATGTCTGACGACATGGCCGCGTCGTGCGATGACAGCTTTGCACGCTCTCTGGAAGGTTATTACCCTCAAAGAGGCGAACACCCTGGAGACTGCAGAGCAGGCGACACAAACAGATCACGACCCGCTGGTCGATGATCTCAACGAGCTCCTGGCCAAGAACATCCGTCTGGAGGAGATGCTGACCGAAACTGAAAATCGTTTGGCCGAGACTGACGAGGCCTACACGAACATCCAGACCATCCTGCGGGACTACAACCATGATCGACGCCGAACGATCATTGAGGCTGGACAGCAGGAAATTTACTTCAATGCTGAAGGCCGAGCTTGGCACGCAAGCTACCAGTGCCTGCGCAATCGAACCAATGGCCAGATCTTTGGCCGTACCTGGTGCACTCAATGCCTGGACCAACTTGGACGACATCCAGACAACCAAGCACCGACTGGCTCGACAGCAAGCAGAATTCGGTAGTGGCGTTTTTGCCAACTTTAATTTTTCCACTTTTCACCCGTGTGAATTGTGTGCCACACAATTTGAGTGTGGAACATCATTTTTCTATTTGTGGCCTTATCGGCCCAACATCCCCATTTCTAGGGAGGGATATCCCTAGGGTCCAGCCAACCTGGCTACATGTCGTGCAGCCCCGATCCAAAAGGGCTGCTTCGCACTTGGCGCTTTCCTGCACTTCGAGTGGCAGGGCTTTGCATTGGGTTCTTGCTGCTACCCATCAACACATACTAATTCATACGTGCATTAAAATGGGGTCGTTTTGATTTACCATGAAATAGTCCCGAGCCAGGATACGATGACGTCTGGACGATTTCTTTAAAGTGTGTGAAGTGAACATGCCATTAAAATGTGACCGCTGTGCCCAATGACAGTAGATATGTGACAAGCACCGCCCATAGTATATTTATCATCCTTATCATCCTTCTCATCCTCATCATCCTTATCATCACCGCTATCATCATCCCCATCACCCTTCTTTCCCTCGCCCATCTTTGCCACCCTGGCTATGAAACCCGCAGCCCGTGCCCGTGCAGGAAAGGTTTCTTGGAAGGTCGGCAGCTATGTCCCATCGCGCAGCTTCCCCTCAACATTGCCGCGGCCATTTGTCACCAGATCCAGGCTCGCCCTAGGGTGCCTTTCTCAATGATTTCTGGTCAAAAGGTGCGAACTTTGAACCAATTGCAATGGGAGTAATTAAAAGTGACCAAACATGATGGTGACACCGTGGAATTCCACAATGACAATTAATGATATATAGACACACACACACACACATATATATATAAAGTATAATAGATGTCCGTACGTATGTGTACATGATAGATGTGTGCGTGTTTGTGCATATGTGTGCGTACGTATGCTTAACCAGAATGCAACATTGGGATTTGTCCAAAAGATCCGAGGAACACTCCTAAAATTGCAAGTCTTCTGGGGTCAATGATGAGGAAACAGTGTGTTTCGGCGCAACCTTTTTGCACCCACGATGCCAAAATACTGGAGATTCAGCGGAAACATGGATTATCATGAATGATATCAGTTGTTCAAACATGGTCAAACGATGTGTCCAAATGATACGATTTAACCCATGTGTGTCACTTTATCCCGGGCCAATGCGCACAACTGGATTTATGTACCAATGAGGTTGGGTTTGGAACAGATCATTTCTTCTTAGTTTCGCTAGACATGGTTTGGGCAGATCAGCAATAGGAAATGAATGTAGGGACCCCTGAGCCCCCTGAGCAAACACTTGAACAGCGTCTACATAGAAATTAAGTTGGACTGATAAATCACTATAATCCATTATAAATCACTGTAATCCATGATTTTCATGATTTAAGTCACATTAAATCACATTAAATCACTATAATCCATGATTTTTTCAGAAATGAACATCGACCAACTCATGGTTTCATCTGGCACGGTTTTTATACCAGTCGGGCCTCGCCAGGACGAGAAAAACCTCGGTCGCGACCTGAGATTTGATTCGGCAGTTCCATTTTTTCCGTTTTCGGTCACAACACTTTAAGAGAGCTATAAATGCAAGACTTATATAAATTTACCATACAGACCTATGAGTGACTCAATGTCAACCCCGGATTATTCACCAATGTGAACCACGCTTGATTTTATTTTAAAAAGGAGTTCCCCGCGAAATAGTGCTAAACCATGTTGATCCAAAACATGGCACAGCCAGGGTCACAGCTCCGCCCGAGGTCTGTTAGCCTGCAGCAACGATGCCCACCGGGCTGCCCAGGCCCGTTTCAGCTCGGAACTGCCAGGGCTGCTGCAGCGCGCATCATGTGAGGTGAGACTGGGTTCATCAAACTCAGGTGGCTGGGGGGATCCAAAGCATCCAAAAACTGCAGTTTTCAAACATTCCCTGGGTAACACAACTGATTTTTTTTGCTGTACCAGATTTGAGACTGCTGTACGACACCATGTTGACACCGGGGGGTCCAATTCCAGCTTCCACCAAGACGCAAAACCCGAGATGGAAGAGGGCACTGAGGGCACCTCAAAAGATCTGGTGCCTTCCAGTCTGGGAATTCACCAATCTCAGGACCAACTCATATCCCATGACGGATCCATGGTGCTGGTATATATATATATAATTATATATACATATATGCTAACATAAAGGGAGTATATTGATGGTAAATGTTGCCATATGTAGCAGCACCATGGATCCTATGGGTATTACTGTTCTATATCTATCCCAGTGCGTTCCATGTGATCCGCATGTACGTCCAACGTCGCCATGTGAAATCCAGCACTGTGACGAGGCCAACTCTTCCGCACTCGCTGCATGCGCCGCATGGACCTTTCCAAGCGCACCGCCTGAAGGGTGGGCGATCTCATGTGCGCAGGCGCGCACCATGGGGGGACGTGCGCAGTTTTCTTCCACCAAAGACGTCCTGAAAGCTCTTGTTTCGAAGCAAAACATGTTGGATGTTCAGAATCTAACTTAAGAAGATCTCTTATCTGTATGTGTAGGTGCATCATGGTGCGCACACACACATATTATATATAATATATGCGTGTTTGTGTGTGTGTATGGTATACGTATGATTATATATGTACTGATATGTATGTACCGTAAGTGTTTTTTCCCCATGTTAAGGCAACAAATACCCACCATTAGTGCTTGGTGACCCCTTGCCAGGTGGCGTTTGCCCTCTCATCTGCGGACCGTTGGGACATAGCCTTGGACTTTGCTGGACAGCATTGCATGGAGAACCAGGCGAAATGGCGCCCGAACTGGCATGAAACCATCCGTTTGTACCCATCAAAATGCTGTTTTGCCTCACAATTTCTGCACTTTTATTTAAATGCGTGTATACATTTTTTGTTGGTATTTGGAGGGTCTAGGCAGAAATAAACCAAAAATGAAGCTGCGCAAAATGGACAAATGGTTGACGTCAATGCACCCAAGCTCCGTGGCAGGTGCTTGAGCCCATTGTGATCAAATCAAACTAGATGCCAGGGGGTTGGCAACAGCAGTGTAATGTTCCCCCAATAGACTTATGAGGCACACATATGATAATCCAGGGGATTTGGAGGTTTGAATATTTGCTGAAATAATCTGAAATATGTCTTTCACATTCCTACTTGGAACCCAATTCCAACCCCTGGATTTGCTGATGAGTTTGCATTTTCCCACTGGGAAATCCACTACTTGGCGAATCTCTATATATTGGGCATGGCTTGTTTTGTGGGGGCTGCAGCAACTCCAAGCTACCATAGGGAAATACCCATCATCCGAATTCCATTGGTTGAAGATATTCATTGTTTTTGTTCAACCATACCCATAGGATCCATGTATGGTATATATGCTAACATTGGGGCTATATTGATGGTAAATGAAATGTTACCATATATACCATATATGGATCCTATGGGATATATAAACCTATGTTTGGAATGGGTAAAAAACCACCAGCCAGATGACGTTTTCGGTTCCAGGTAGACCACTAAAAAAAGCCGCGTTTTGGCGTTTTGGCAGGCCATGTGGGCCCTGGTCTTGGCTGCAGCTGCCAGGCCGGGCACATGGCTGCGACTTGCCATGTTACGACAGAGATCGGCTGAGGATTTCCAAAACAAATCCTGAACATCTCAATAACTCAAAGATCCTCGAAAGTAGAACATCAAATTTTCAGATTTTTCCATCACTTCAATTTACTGTACGCCTTATTTTCTCCACCTTTCCACGTAGGCCGAGCCAGCGCTATGCGGCGGCCGCCTGCATGGCGCAGCTGAGGACGGAGCCGACGGCAGCGCAAGTGCTGGAGCTGGCGAAGAGGGCTGCAGAGCTGATGAAGGATGGGGCCCTTCCCTTGGAAAATGCTGTTGTTGAAGCAACTGGTGATCTCATGGGGATTTTTTAATGGAGTTTCATGGGGTTTCATGGGGCAATTGGGCGTGTGATGGGATATACAACCTCCCAAGGGGAGTATGGAGTGCAGTTGTGGTGACATGACCATGGATATAACAATGGCAGTAGCCTCAACAAGTTGGGATACAACATGATATAACCCCCATAAACTATGAAACTATGCCCAGATGCTCCATGTATGGAATATTTACCTACATTTGGGCCATACATGGAGCATCTGGGATGGTTATATTTATCACTTGTAACTGGAACTGCCCAAGTCAGGACCCCATTTTCGTTATTCATGGGAATCACCCGCACCAAACACGGGGATTGGATGTCGACATGGGGTGACACATACCCTCTGGTTATGTCAAAATAGCTATTGAAAATGGCAATTTATAGTGGATTTTCCCATTGAACATGGTGATTTTCCATATTGATGTTAGTTTACCAGAGGGTAGTTTGAATGTTGACATGGGGGTCGGACTTGCAATTCACCTCAAAATTTGACATCACCCCGAGTTTTTGTTTTTTTTTATGTAAGAAGGCAAGAAGAGACAAGAGCTAGCCTCATGACCATTTTGCTGCCAGCTTGGAGGATTATCCAGATCAGTACTTGGTAAAAGATTCCTGGACATGTTGAAGTCTCCATATTGGGTTTATCCGATGGTTATCCCATGTATGACTCGGTTGCAAGTAGAACCCTGGTCAGGCACAGCTTTTTTTGTTGACTTTCGGCGCCCGGCAGGAGGATTTCAGTCTAGAAGAGCAGTTGGAGTCGTTGGATGCTGGGTGTTCATGTGTGCCATTGAATGGTGTTATCATGCCAAAACATGCCAAAACGACTGAGGGATACTGGGGGTTTGGTGAAGCCACCAATCGATTATGTGAGTTGAATGTGATTGGGTCAGACTCACATCCCAAAAACATACATATGCATACATATGCTACACCTTGTGGGTGCTCTTCCTAGGTATATGCTCCAAACATGCCCATCCGTTATTGGTTGCAAATAGGTGCATACACGTAATCATCTACACATATTATATATTATACATACCCGCATATACCCGCATACACGCATATTATATGTATATGTATGTATATATATATATATATTACACACACATATATATATTATATGACGTGCGCACACATATATAATATGTATATGTGTATTATTTGTTATTATTTGTTTATATTTGTTTGTGTATATATATATATATACATCAGCACACGCACAGACAGAGTATGTTCTTAGGGGCCTCACCGGCTCGAGAAACCTATCCGACATAGGTCAGGAAGGAGCGGCTCGGAGCCATTTGACAAAGCGAGAACAATGTGTCAGATCGGCAAGTCATCATTCCCATACAATGTGGGGCCCCCCAGTTATAAGATGGTTTATAAACCCCATTAACTATAGTTATAGGTACCATAAACCATAGTTATTGGAGTTATAAACCAACTTAACTTAGCTATCTAGGGGGGCCCACTTTGTAGGATCCATGTATGGTATATGCTAACATTAGGGGTATATTGATGGTAAAAGGTTACCATATATACCATACATGGATCCTATGGTTTTTTTTTTATCATCTATGATATATAAAAATGGGCCATCGCTTCCATAGCAAACTGTGTCAGAGATATCCAGAGGGTAAACATGGTGATTGTCGAAGTATGAATCCAATGACCCCGGATTTCGAAAAGCTAAAATCAGGGGATCCATGAGCCACGCAACCTACCCAAAAACCCAAATTCACCACCAGCCAGCCACGAGGACGCCTTAGTGAAGCTGCTGGAAGTTTTGAGTCGTCGAAGCCAGAGCCTCGAGGTCCAAGATTTGCGTCTCGGTGACCTCGGTGATTGGCGCTGGGATTCCATCCAAGTGATTTCATTTTTAGCCATGGTATAGATGGCCCTAATCGAAATAGATGGTTTACCGAACTTAAAAATGGTGGATCTTTCCATTCTGGAAAATAGATGAACATACCCTCTGAGTGATTTCATCATGATGTATGGTTTAATAGGTTTACTATGGTTTAATATGGTTTAAAAAAGGGATGATTGGCTGGGATAATGATGGATTACTGGGATATTGATGATGCTTACCCTTTGGTAAACAAAGAGTTTGCTATTGAACATGGTGATAGAAATAGTGGATTTACCATGATTTACCCATTAATAGCATGGTGATTTTCCTAGTTATGTAAACGTTTACCAGAGGGTACATATCACGGAACTCGACTGAAACCAATGGTTAAACCCATGAAAAACTCGACTGAATTTTCTGGAACATTAAGATTGACATTGGATTTGTTTACCTGCAAACATGGGCATGATTAGACATGAACATATTTTTGGAATCCTTTCAGGACTCCGAAATTCACGCAACAACAGTTTCTGATTTATCATTGTCATGTTCCGTATCATAATTGTTCACCACCATCATCCTCATCATCATAATAATAAAGAAATATATAATGATAAGTAATCCCCCTTGGAATTTCCCCTAGGAAATGGCGGGCCTGGGCCCCACGGTTACTTAGTGATTTGGATTTTATGGGTTTTCCATCTTTGACCACTTGCATTCTTTAGAGGCATATTGGTCGCTATTTGACCTCATCTGGTGGAAGCTGGAGGTTCCATTTTTTTGAGTTCCGGGTTATCATCCGGGATCACCTCTAAATTTACAATTTCCCATTCTTTAGACACCAGTTGTGTGTTTTCAAAAAAAACGAAGTTCCATTTTTTAGAGCACATTGGTTTAATGACATCACGAGGCCCTCCTTTTTATAGAGCTCACTGGTTCAATGACATCAAGGGGTATGTGCTGTGGCCCTCCATTTTATAGAAAAAAACGTGCGGAAACAACACTGACATATCATAAACAGTTATAAAATATTATAAATCTCTAAAGAATGGTGGTCCAAGATCTTGAAATACAAACAAAATTTTCACATAATTTTACAACTTCTCTGTTCACCATTTCCTAGGGAAAAAAATAGAGGAAACAAATGAAATTAAGCACTTTTCAAGCCAATCACCGGTTCTTCCATTTTATAGACATGCCTCTGTTTGTAGGACCCTCGGAGGTTCCATTCTATAGAGATTGGGGTTCCATTCTATAGAGATTTGTTATGATATGTTAGTCCGGTCTCTCCATTCTATAGAGCTTGGGGTTCCATTCTTTAGATGTCCCACTTCTAGCCCCCCTTGGGTCCACTAAAGAATTGACCCACCCACCTTTTTTACTTAATCCGGAGGGGGGTGATAAGCATATAATTATAATAATAATAAGAATAATGATAATAATAATATACGGATGTAAAAGTAGATGGCTCAACTCAAAAACCAAAATACCCATAAGATGGCACCGCGGGTTGAGAAAGAAAACGGCGCTATTTTAGCTGGAACATAAAACGACGTCCGCCAATTGAAGAAAAAATTGCCCTACTTTAAAATGAAAAGGTAGATGGCGCAACTGCCACTCCAGTAGATGGACACAAGGGTATATATTCTTAACTAATTTTACTACATTTCCGATCATTTTTGTTTGTTTATACTGAAGATTGCACATGTTTGTATTGTAAATATTATATATATATATAAAATTCCCCTATATTTTTTATCCTAAAAATGAGTTGCGCCATCTATGTCCCTTAAATCCCATTCAAACGCCAGAATTGTTTTTCGATCGGTTCAAAAATGAGTTGAGCCATCTATGTCCCTTAAATCGCATTCAAATCTTCAAAAAATAAATCATTGCAATACCTTGAAAATGAACCATTGAATGTTTTAAAACTGATTGTGGACAGAATTTATGGATAAAAATATCATTTTTGAACATGTTTTGACAATAAATATTGAAAAAACTTTTAAAATTGCATTGCAATACCTTGAAATGAGTTGCGCCATCTATGTCCATTAAATCGCATTCAATTCAAATCTTTCAAAATTTCAGTGCCACACCTTGAAAATGAACCCCTGAATGTTTTAAAACTGACTGTGGACAGAATTTATGGATAAAAATCTCATTTTTCAACATGTTTTGACAATAAATATTGAAAAAAACTTTTAAAATTGCAATGCAATACCTTGAAATGAGTTGCGCCATCTATGTCCATTAAATCGCATTCAATTCAAATCTTTCAAAATTTCAGTGCCACACCTTGAAAATGAACCACTGAAGGTTTTAAAACTGATTGTGGACAGAATTTATGGATAGAAATCCCATGTTTCAAGATATTTTGACAAAAAATGACAAACATATATTGACAATAGAACGCTTTTAAACATTCATTGCAGCACTTTGAAAATGATCCACTGAATGTTTTAACATTGGTTGTGGACATTTTTTTTTGGATATCAATATTTTTTAAAAAAATGATTCAGCACATTTGCACAATTTTAACATTTCAATATGTTACTAAAGCAGCTTTTCTGGTTTACAAACTATAAAAATGTCATTTTTCATTTTGCATCATTTTCCCGTTGTTGTTCCCCTGGTGTTGTTTTCATAATGAGTCACTCCGCTGTAACACCCCGTTGTGTCTCCCCGGGGCGGTGATCCCAATGCAACGAGTCGGGCGTTGGGGGAAAACGAAAGCGAGCAACGTTTTCACCGCGAGTTGTGCCATCTATGTCCCAAAAAATGACATATTTTTTGCAATCTTCTGCGCTGTGGCAATTTGCCACTTTGCTTGGGCCCGGAAAACGGACCCCACCAAGTCCCCCGAAAAAGAGCTTTTTCCTGAGTTTCCCAAAGGAAACTTGGCACTTGGTGGGGTCCGTTTTCCGGGGCGAACCCAAATGGAAAATTGGCACTGCGCTGGTTTCCCCCCATTTTTTTTCTCAACATCAAGCTGCCTTTTGGGACATAGATGGCGCAACTCCCACTCATTCGCCAAAATCAGGCTTGGAATGCCCACATAGATGGCACAACTCCCTCATATCTCCCGACATCCATCAACCAACCTAACCAAAATATACCACATCGATCAGAGTTATCCCAAGACAGAAGGCAAAACCACCAGGAAAGACATCAGAGTTGTCCCAGGACAGGAGGCAAAACCACCAGGAAAGACATCAGAGTTGTCCTTTTTGGGACATAGATGGCGCAACTTCCGTCATTTTGCCAGCAAAGGTCGAGACGCTTTAAAACCCAATTTTAACAAGTGACCTGAGGAACCGTATCTTGACGGCAAAAATGGTTCCTCAGGTCACTTGTTAAAATTGGGTTTTAAAGCGTCTCGACCTTTGCTGGCTCAAAACAACTTCCGTCATTTCGCCAAAATCAGGCTGGGAATGCCCACATAGATGGCGCAACTCCGGGAGTTGCGCCATCTATGTCCCAAAAAAGCAGCTTGATGTTGAGAAAAAAAATGGGGAGAAACCAGCGCAGAAGATTGCAAAAAAAATGTCATTTTTTGGGACATAGATGGCTCAACTGGCCTGTTTTAAAGGGAGTTGAGCCATCTATCCCCCATTTTTTGTTTGACATAGATGGCTCAACTCAAGATTCAGAGCCATCTACTTTGACATGGGAGTAATAATAATAATAATACCAGTAGTACCGCACAAGGCGGTGGCGGAAGTTTCAAAAATAGGAAACCTATAGGAGAGGTTGGTTGTTGTGAATCAGGGATGGCAGAGCGAAGCCACTGACGGACCGAAAGGTGCTTGAGGTCTCCTCTCTTTCTCTCTCTTTCTCTGGCTATCTACCTACCTACCCATCTATTTTCTATGTATCTATCTATCTGTTGATCTAGCTATCTATCTCTCTCTTTCTCTCTTTCATCTCATTACCTATCTACCTATCTACCTATCTACCTATCTACCTATCTCTATCTATCTATCTATCTATCTATCTATCTATCTCTATCTATCTATCTATCTCTCTCTCTCTCTATCTGTCTCTGTCTAGCTGTCTGTCTATCTATCTATCTATCTCTCTCTCTCTCTCTCTTTCATCGGTCTATCTGTCTAGCTGTCTACCTGTCTATCTATCTATCTATCTATCTGTCTGTCTGCAATGTAGTGTAATTGAGTGTCATTGAGTGCAGTGTAGTGTAGTGGAGTGTAGTTGTGGAGTTGCAGGTGTAGTTGTATTTTAGTGGAGGGTAGTGCAGTGTAATGTAGTGAAGTGTAGTGGAAGATGGTGTAATGGAGTGCAGTGGTATTTATCTGTGTAGTTAAGTTAGTCAAGTTAGTTAAGTTAATCAGTGTCTACTTTTTCGACATCTTAACGTCAAAAAAGGCTCAAAACCCTCAGTTTTTTTACACTTTTGACTTGAAATGTGCTTCGCGCCACAACGGCGTGCACTTTTTCGACATCTGAACTTCCAAAAGTGGTCCGAACATGGTGTGTTTTGTACATTTTGACTTGGAAATGTGCTTCGCGCCACAACGGCGTGCACTTTTTCGACATCTCAACTTCCAAAAGTGGTCCGAGAATGGTGTGTTTTGTACATTTTGACTTGGAAATGTGCTTCGCGCCACAACGGCGTGCACTTTTTCGACATCTCAACTTCCAAAAGTGGTCCGACCATGGTGTGTTTTGTACATTTTGACTTGGAAATGTGCTTCGCGCCACAACGGCGTGCACTTTTTCGACATCGCAACTTCCAAAAGTGGTCCGAACCTGGTGTGTTTTGTACATTTTGACTTGGAAATGTGCTTCGCGCCACAACGGCGTGCACTTTTTTGACATCTCAACTTCCAACAGTGGTCCGAGAATGGTGTGTTTTGTACATTTTCACTTGGAAATGTGCTTCGCGCCACAACGGCGTGCAATTTTTCATCTCTCCTCTGGCCAGCTGGCTCCGCACCCGCCGCTTTAGCGAGCTTACTTTTCGACCCTCCGGAGCCACAAATCATCGGAAAAACACAGTGTTTCGCGACTTTCCTACCTTTTCGCGCATCTGTATCTTCTGTCTTCTTACTCTTTCTCTTCTAATCTTCTTTCTTCTAATCTTTCTCTTCTCTATGCCTCTTCCCTGCTCTGCTTTTCATCTCTCCATATTGTCGGAAGTTTGACTTCTAAACTTCCTTCGAATAATATAATGATAATAACAAAATAGTAATCATCATCATCATCCCCGTTATCATCGTCATTGTCATTGTCATTATCATCATATACCGTCATCACCAGCACCAAGATTTTTTGCAGTCAGTCAACATTGCCAAGGCATTTTCAATAAACATAACCACGTAACGTTCGAATCCACCAGGCTTTTGGATCACTTCTTCCCGGAGATTTTGGCCCGTGCGAATGTCCCCGATTCCTACGATGAAACATTGGCCTTGGGTTCCACGGATCGCAGAGTGAGTTGCAGTGATGTCTTGCAGCTGATAGCTCAGCTGACAGGGCAGCGGCCACGCATTGTTGACGCTTCGGTGTGCTTAATGTTTTGAATTTGGTGATGACCCAAAACCAGTAGAAATCACTAAGAAACTCACTGATTTTAGATAAAGTTTTTTTTTTTTGGTGTGGGGAGGGGACATTTGGCACATGTAAGACATTAAAACAATTCAATCCTCCGCCAGCACCATGTGATATACTGGTTGGTGGTTTGGAGCATGAATTCTATGATTTTCCATATGTTGGGAATGTCATCATCCCAACTGACTACATAATATTCTTCAGAGGGATTGAAACCACCAACCAGTATACTCTTCACTTTTCACCTCTTGTTCTAGTTGCTCGGCATGGAATGTGCTTTGGGCAAATCGAAGGATGGCACTTGCCATTTTTTAGCCGCCCCACTGGAGGGTCACGAAAATTCCTTGGACGTGAAACACGTTGCGCTATGCTTTGCAGCGGAAGTGGTGGCAGTGAAGCCACAGGCAGGTGCCACATTCGCTGGGATCTTGTGCACCATGATGCAGAAGTTTGAATCTCCACTACTTATGGCGGACACTTGGATAAATTTGGGCGAATGTTTTGCACACCTTTTTAGAAATTTGGGTTGGAAAGAGCCAGCATGTCACATCATGTTACCACTGTTACCATCACCCAAGAAACGGCATCATGTCACTCGGCTGGGAGTCTACCTGGATAAGGGTACCCTCTGGTAATTTAACATAACTATGGAAAATCACCATTTTTAATGGGAAAATCCACTATAAATGGCCATTTTCAATAGCTATTTTGACATAACCAGAGGGTAATTGAGAGCTGAAGATGCTGAAGTCTTCACCAGGACAGCTTTCGATTTTTCCACCGTTTGCGTTTCGATGGCCTGTCCATGAGTGACGCAGAGCAGTTGCTGAACATGACTCTGATGGGGCTGCGGCAAATGGCCAGCGATCCAGATGTCGCGAGATCTGGCTTGCAGATTTTGGCCGATCTTGGGAAAACCCCAGGCGCAATTTTTTTTGGGGCCGCTTTCCCCAATGGAATGTTTGGGATTTTGCATCATTGACGCCCCCATGTAACCTGATTGTACATGATCAATTTGATGTGTGAATCATCACAGATACTTAGTTCCATTTAGTTCCCACAGAAATGCAGATATCGAAAAGAGCAAGAATGGTTTGCTTTGCTCGAACTTTCACCTCACACCACCATGTGCAAATCAGCTTGTTGTCCATCCATTACAGTAAATCGGCGAGAAACTTGTAATTGGGAGTCCCAGCCTGATTTTCCATTTTACATCATTTTTCCTCATTGAGATGTACGTTACAACGCTCATCCTCGCATTTTCAAATGGATCCCTGTGAGGTTCCTTTCCGCTTTTCCAGTCCCATTTTCATGGCGTGTGGACGGACCCCATCCTTCCACTCAGTGTCATCACGGGCTTCTGCCGGAGTACCAAAGCCGCCGGTGAAACGACGCCAGCAGGGCTTCAGGCGCTGGCAACGCCCTTGTTGGAAGATGTCTTGAAGCAGTTGGAGACATGGGATCCGAAGATTGTCACGCAGCTGAATTTCATTGGCTGCCTATAGATTTTATAGATGTTAAACCCCCAAAAAAGGGTAGAAAAGTATAGAAAAGTCTTGTATCACTATACATCGAGTTTATATGATTTTACTGTTCTATCTTTTGTTTTGGGGTGGGGTGGCGGTGCAAGGGTGTGCTTTTCATGCCGTATGTTCTTGTTTTAAGGAAAGAAGAAAAATAAGGATTCATCCACTTGTAATCAACTGCATAAAACCCGTGTTTGTGTAAGTTCCATTTGCTACCATAGATGGACGACATATTCAAGCCTTTTCTATCGAATACAGCCCCTGAAGAACCCCAAAGTTCAATGTTACTGTGAGCTGAAGTGCGTTATAGCTCCAATGGACAAAATAATCAAACCACTTTTGGTAACACGCGCTGAAACATTGAGATTCGGGGTCGGGGGGGTTCAAGACAGAGTTTGTTGCAGGGTTTGAATATGTTTTTTCCATCTACTGCAGTAGAACCCAGTACTGGGGGACCCACTCGAATTGTAAACCAGCCCCAATTTGTGGTTTATATGGTTCATGAATTTGGTTTGATTTGTCCATATCACAGATTTGCATGGATTTATAGCATCCAATATCCTTCCAATGACAATTGGGCATGGTCCCCCGAGCTTCGTTCGGTACGTTTTTCCGGGGAATGCCTTGAGTTGGAGCATGGAATATCTTAAAGCTACTGCCCACAACTTTGCAATGTCATATTCCATATACATACATACACACACATATAATATATATATATATATATATACATATACGTATATAATTACTCACTCCACAACTGAAAGTTTACCAGCATTGCTGTTATCCACAGCTGATTTTGGTTGGTTAAAGCCACACGTTGGTTGTGGTTGTTGTCTTGAACATGTGTTGCCATCATTCCAATTAATGAATTTGCCCCCAACTATCACTGCCATCCAGAAAGTAAAGCGAACACATATCAGATATCTGACGTTTGAATGATTTCCTCAAGTTCCAGTTCCATGTGGCCAGCTAAACTCTTATTCCTTGATCCATCTTCGAAAAACCATGCAAAATCATGATTACAAACCTGTCTTATGGCTAGAAAATCAAGGTGAACACCCAAAAACTCGAAATAGTTATATATATACCCTCTGGTTATTTAACATAGCCATGGTATAGATGGCCCATTTATAGATGGTTTACCTGGGTTTACCTATTAAAAATGGTGATTTTCCATGGCTATGTTAAATAACAAGATGGTATATATATATATATGTAACATATGTAGACAACTTCCTGAATCATTTAATCACTACTTCCAAATACAAGCCATTCACTACGTCCTAAAGTTAAGGATTTATAGTGGATTGTTTGCTTCTTCGTCAATGTGCATCATTTTCCCATGACTTTCCCCATGAAAGTGACCGAAAATTACATCCAAGTCCAGTAAACCAACAGACCTATGGAAAATTAATGAACCTAACTCTACATATATATATATATATATATTCATAGGTAAATCATTTTTCTACTTAGTCCCTTGATGAGTTTCCACCATACGGAATGTTTGATGGACAATTACCATTTTTAATCGGAAAAACAACTATTTGGACTGGGCCATTTTCAAGTTCGCAAACTGTTAGTCATTACCAGAGGGTACCAGAGGGTACCAGAGGGGACATGGGAATACCATGTTCATTGCGCCCCTTAATCTCAAAAAACCAGGGTTACATGTTAGAAAAAATGTTAGCCACAAAAACTCAGTGGGATGAACATGGATGAAGCACCATGGTACCCTCTGGTAAACAAACAGTTTGCTATTGAAAATGGCCCAGTCGAAATAGTTGATTTACCCATTAAACATGGAGATTTTCCATAGTTATGTCAACGTTTACCAGAGGGTATACCTTTCAGCCAGGTCAGTGGCAAGTCGCTCCACCTCACTGAGCGTCGTTTCTGCGCCCTGGCAGGGCTGGCACCGCTGGACGCGCAGATGGATCACTTGCTGGTGGAGGCCGTCCAGAGGAAGCTGAGTCACTTGGCGTCGCCCATTTCACCTACAAAAACCTGGGATTTGAATGGGATTTACCAAGAACAATTTAACATGATTTAACCATCCAAAATAGGGATTTAACATGGTTTAACCATCCAAAATGGGGATTTAACATGAATTAACCATTCAAAATACGGATTTAACATGATTTAACCATCCAAAATACGGATTTAGCATGATTTAACCAACAAACATGATGATATAGTGGGTTCAAAGTCAACATGATGGTGGAAATTTTTGCGGAAATTGGCTCTGAAAACATGTTTGAACCCGGCCAAAATTTTGGAAACATGCAGGGGTAGAAGATGATTTCGCTGGTGGAAATGACAGCAGCGGGCGCTTTTTGACATCACCTCACAATTATACCGTATCAACATTCCATAGATCTCCGCCTGCGCCTCCTCATCCTCCGCCTCCTCATCCTCAACCTCATCCCCATCGTCGTCGTCATCATTATTATCATCGTCGTCGTCCACGTCGTTCTCCTCCGCCTCCTCCTCCTCCTCATCATCATCATCATCAGTATATAGTTCTTTATTTATTTATCTATTGCTCTAGTCATGTGCGTATGTATTATATATGTGCAAATATATATATTTATATATATATATATATACATTTACACATGCATACACAGCCTATATATTCTCTGCCAGATTTTCCAGGTGGCCAATTCCCGGAGCATTTGCTGCCCTGTGCCGCTCCCTTGTTGGCCGCCTTGACCAAAGCTGCCGTTCGCGCCGGCAACGCATCGCTCAACTTGGCAGATCAGATCTGCCGAGCGATGGCAGCGATGGCAGCGAACGCTGAGCTGCAGGAGTCTGTGATGTCATAGTTGTTTGGGAACTTAGAAGGTTACCCTCTGGTAAACGTTTACATAACTATGGAAAATCACCATTTTTAATGGGAAAACTCACTATTTCTATTGCCATTTTCAAAAGCTATGTTAGTTTACCAGAGGGTACGTGTCGGACTATCAACTGCATGTAGTTTTTTTTTTGACCGTTATATAAGTTATATTATGATAAACCCATGATTTGTTGAAACGGAAATTTGAAAGGAACTGACCATATTTTCGGCATTCGTGACTCCGCCTATAGTGGTTTTGGATGTGGGACCCAAGGGTGTTTTGGACAGGGAAGGCCCCAGACCATCGTGAAAGATGGTGTCAAAGGTCTATTTATTTCGGCAAGCCCCATAGGAAACCTCAGTTTAGGTAATTACGGTTTCTGAATGTTTCTAGCGCCCCCAAGAGTGCAAAATATGGGGAATGGTTGTTCAGTACTTGTTGGACTGCAATACTTGATTTCATCTTCCATTGCGATAATGACCCCAAGTGATTGTAAAGATTGTCCTGACCATGAGACTTAACCATTGAACAAGTTTTACTTGCATTGACACCCTTGGGCTTGCATCAAGAATGCTGAAACACAATTGCAACTTGAGAAAATTTGGGGGCGTCATCTCACGCCCCCTGGAGGGGAGCTCTTCACCCTGCGCAAAGCAGCGTCTTGCCATGGTTTTTTAGCTGGTAAACCAATGGTTAACCGAACCCAATGTTTTTTGAAGCTTATACGACCACTAATATACAGTGTACCTGGTTATATAGATAAGTTGAAATTGGCATAATTTGTCCATGAACAGTATTTGTAATTGGCATGCAGCTTCACATGAGTTACTGTTCTCTGACCATATCTAGGATGATGAACCTCAATGACTTCCAGATTTGTTAAGGGGGTGGCGCAACAACCAACCGGAACATGTTTGGTAAGACCATGCTTTAGAGTCAAACATCGTTTTTTTTGATGAAAAATCTGCATGAATTCATTCCAAGTCCAGCTGCATCGGCTAGGACCATACCCTGGAGCTCTGTGATGCCCTGCTGTCAGCTGGGAATCGCTGCGTTTCTGGTGGGGCCAACGCTTGCGATGCCTTGGCGCTCATGTGTCAGCAGGGGCTGAATGAAGCTGGCTGCGATGTATGCGATGTGCTGGGGGTGTTTTGGATGGTTGTGGTTCATGCTCATAATGATTGCAATGATTGCAATGATCTGGGTAGATTATAATGACCTCACTGCGACCTCACTGGAATCATGGTTAGTAAGGGGAATCATCCCTAAATGGCCTTAATTTCAGGTTAGTGAAATATTATAATTTACCCAGAATGATTGCAATGGTGGTGATGAGGATGATGATGATGCTGCTGATGAGGCTGTTGGTGTTGTTGTTGATGATGGTGATGATGCTGATGATGGTGGTGGTCGTGAAGATGATGGTCATGATTGGTGCACTTTTGTTGTGGGTTCAATCAGATTCAGGTGCCCGCCCCATGAGGTGGCAAGAGTCTTTGGGTTGATCGGAATGTTGTTTCTTGTTGTTTCTTGCGTGTTATTATTATTGTTATTATTATCATTATTTTATAATATATATATATACACAACCATTTCGTATCTTTTTGTAGAAGGTCAGTGGCTTACAAATATGGTTTTCCAGAATGTTTGTGACTCAAGGGCTTCAGCTTAAAATCAACTTACTCGATGTTTCCTTCATGTTTGATGCTCCAACCTGCAAGGCACCTCACTTCTAGCAACACCACTGATCCCAGATTTAGATAGTTTTAACATTTTTTTTCCAGAAACCCACCTCCACATTGACCACAAATTTCCATAGAACTTAGGAATGCCATGAAGTGCGTTGCTACGAGCTTTTGTGTCGCGTGCCACGTTTGACGCCCGCGGGCTTCCAATGTCTGCTGTGCCGCGGCCTCGGGCATCCGAACGCAGCAATTCAGCTCCTATCCTCGCGACGCCTTGCGGGAGAGACGCTTGGACGCGGGCTGAAGACCTGGGGGAACCCATGGGATTTCCAGGGCATTTCGAATATTCTAATCCGCCTGTTGGGTTACATTTTTGTACCGTTGCAGTGTCAAAATGAATCAAACCAATCAACCCGATTGTTGAAATAGACATGCCTAGGACATTTTAAAGATGCCCAGCAGGTTGACAATTGATGTTGGAACAGCAAATCTCAGGAAGGGTGCCCTTGTTGATGCTATGGCCGCGCAAGTGATGTCCAGAGTCTTGCAGGTTGCGCTAGGCCACTTGGACCAGTTGATACCCGGCAGGGTGCGTTCAAAAGGGTAGCTTGGGCCAATGGGAAAAATATGCTATGGAAGTTTTGATGGGGCTACAATTGGTAATCTCGGCTAGAAAGATGAAAGATAGCATTCCCATTCGTTGCTTGCTTTCAGGCTCAATTCATCCCTGAGTAGGATGATTAGGTCCGTCCGTTACATGTATCATAAATTGTGATCTAAATGGCTGCCACAAACATCACCATCAAAATTTCGAAGGTGTGGTGTGCTTCTCTCCTGGGGTATTTGCTTGGGTCAAAAAGCCCATGACTTCCACCATCATTTGAACGCAGAAAAACATGTGTGTAAAGCATTAGGGCCGACATGCCCTCAAAATTGGTCATGTATGTGAATATGCAAGAGCGAATGCAAAGGGTGCTGTGGCTGAGGTAATTCCATTGATGGTCCTTTGATGGAGTCTTTGGCGGAGCTCTTCATGCTGTGCACGACCGTCACAGCACTCATGGCAGCTGCACATGATTTAATTGTCCCTTGACTTGCTGGGACTTGAGTAGGGTAGGGCAACAATGCCATCTCCAGAAGGAATACGCTCATCGCCATAGGCATGTGGGACATCTAGATATACATGTACATGTGTCCAATTCTTGGATGATTGTTATATGTAATTGAGAATGAACCATTTACAATTTCTCAGGGCCGTCTATAGGTTCCATCTTCAGATAGTTATTGAGAATTCAGGGGTGCACATGACCAGGGCTATATTTCCCACTCTTTTGTAACCAAATCAAATCAAAACTAACAGCTATGTGGTTGAATGTCCTGTTCCGCACTCATGCCTTGATATTGCCACTCAGCTGGAACGAACAGAATCATGCAGAAAGCAGGTTGGGATTACCGACCACGTTGTCAGAAGTCTCGTGCTGCAAAGCTTTGAGAAGTTGAATGCACAGAACTTGGGCTGCAAATCTGTTCTCGGCTGATGTCTTGTGCCAGAATGCTGAAAACAGAGACATGTTTCCTTGCAATGATTTTCCAGATAAGTCAAAGACTTTGAGTGACCGCACATATCAGGTTATACAAACTATATATATATATTTACATATTTATGCATGTAACATGTATAATTAATGAATTATATATATATATATATTATAAATGTCCTTATATCTATGTATACACACACAATATATATATACAGGCATTTTCCTGATTGCATTTACCCACATCATCCCCTCACGGAGAAACTCGGGTTGGGTCGTTAGTGGGTTTCGTCGGGTCGGGTTGGTTTTTCGCCTCAGGCCCGGTGATCCAAAGGCCCATTTCCTCTCCTTCATTGCGGAGATTCGGGCGCTTGCGCTGTGAAAAAAAAAAATCCGCGGAGAGCAGGGAAGATCGGCGTGGATTCTGTGGATCGCGATGGTAACATCCCACTGGTTTCGAGAAAAATGGTGCTTTTCTGGGCAAAATCCATCCATTTTTGGGGATGTTTCATGATGTGTCCTAAAACCATCCCATAAAATGGGGTACCTTCATTAAAAAAAATGGAACCCACCCATATGTTTTCCATTGTATCGGATTGTATTGGGGGTATCACCCATTGACATCCCAGCGTAGGTGAGGTGCTTGTGTGTGCTCCGATGGCGGGAGATACCCTCTGGTTTTGTCAAAATAGCGAAAATGGTCATAGAAATAGTGGATTTACCCATTGAAAATGGTGGATCTTTCCATAGTTATATATGTATGTTTACCAGACGGTAATGCATGATCATGCGAGCAAAAAAGGGTCAGTTTTTGATCACATCTCGACAGTTGTAATGTCATGCATCGGCTTTGAAAGAGACCTAACTTTGCCAGTGTCCCGAGGACGTTGCCAGCTGCCTATTGCTTCACGGGTACAGATTTTCCATTCAACCGATTCTGGGATATCCAATAGTTGCTAAGATTTGGATAGGTTTGGTTAGTTTTATGCCATTAAAATCATGAAACATAGAGAGATACCCCATTACCCATTGGATCCATGGTGCTGGTATATATGCTAACATTGGGGGTATATTGATGGTAAATGTTACCATATATTTAGATCCCCGTTGCCATTTCCTCTACAGAATGGGGGGGGTTGGGGTGCCTATTTTCAACCATTTTATGGGAATTGGTGGCCTTAAATGGGGTCGGACATACCATTTTGTAGTAATTTGTGGGTTTTACCTGGTTTTATCATTTTTGTTTTGAAGGCATGATCATTTTTGGGCACCAAGACCAACCATTTTGTAACAAACAAAAAGCCATTTTGTAGATGTTTTTAAGGGTATGATTTGGTGGTTTAAAAAAATGTGAATTAGTTATTGACAAAGAAAAATCAGCTAGCCATTCTGTAGAGAACCCATCGTTTCAATAAATGTACCATTTTGTAGGTGTATATTTGTGTTTGCAATGGTTGGCTCATATACACTTTAGGACACAGTCTCCATCCTACAAATTAGTCTGTGTATAACCCATGGGGATCCATGGGGTATGTTTTTTCTAGAAAATGGTTTGGCCTGCTGCCTAGAGTCAACCATTTTGTAGACTGGTGTAGGTCTGAAGATAGATCATATTTTTATGATTGTGTTGAAAAGAGCAGTGGCAAAGAATTGTGATTGAATTTGTTCCTTCTGGATCCTTCTGGATCTTGTCGGATTCTTCAGCCTTATCCAAACCTCGATACCGATTGTTCCCTGGAAGATCTGTGTCAAAATAGCATTCTTCTCCTGATCTTCGTTTTTGCTTTGGAACATTTTGGAACCGTTTTTGTGACCGGAACATACTGGAACCGGAAAAAAAATCCATCTTCAGAAGGATTGCCAGCACATTGTTGGCAAAAAAAATAGAAAAATATTCATGCTGCAAAAGTTGCATGAAAAAAAATGGATCCACCTCCGAAAAGGAGGAGTGAAGACGACCAGAGGGTAAAAACCCTACAAAATGGCACTGGGAAAAAGGCAGTTGACGCTGAGGTCTTGCCAAGATAGAGGCTCTACAAAATGGCTCTGGGATTTTTATATGTTTTATAAAATCATGAATGCACTGGTTTGATCATTTTTTGACTAAATTGTCAAAATATTTGTGGATCAAAACAGGTGACAGGCACTACCATTTTGTAGAGCCATGGGTTATAGACCGACCATTTTGTAGGATGGAGATTGTGTACCAGAGCCATTTTGTAGAGACAGGGGTTGGTTCACTACAAAATGGGGCCCCCCAACCCCACCCAGGGAATGGGAAGGAGGATATATTTAGCTTATATATACATGGATCCTATGGGTTAGAGAGATACCCCATGAAACTCCACTAGATCTCCATTTCCCAGCTAGCCATGCCCTGCCAAGGCAGGCTTCCAAGTCCAAGAGCACCTTGCAGCGCAGACAGCTGCAGAAGTCGTTGCAGAGTTGGTCGCCAGGTGAGATCGCCCCGATCGCCTTCGAAGCATTCGCTATGAATAGGAAAATAGACGAACCATACCCTCTGGTTATGTCAAAATAGCTATGGAAAATTGCCATTTATAGTGGATTTACCATTAACAAATATTAACAATGGTGATTTCCCATAGTTATGTTAGTTTACCAGAGGGTAACATACACGATTTGATTTAACAAAATAGTTGCAAATGAAAAAAACATAGCCAGTTAAAGAACACAGTTCTTTTTTTGGGCAGGCTTATTTAAGATTGGCACCATTTCGTTTGAATGTTGGATTAGGAGATCGGGAGCTTGGAACTCACTGGTTCAATTCATTAGGGTCTTGACGGTCATGAAATGTGGGCGACTGTACCATATCAAGCTTTAGGAAGTGCCTGTACGTTCCCTGATGTAACATAGATTTAGGTTCCTGAAACGGCGAAAAAAAGTAACTCCATAATTTAATCTCCTTTTATCATAACACAATAGTTGGTTGGTTGGTTAGATACCCATGTTCCATCATGCTCCCATCGATTCCGGGTCTCATATATTAGCACTTGCCCATTTCGACGTCCACTGTGTCATTAGCACGTATTTTTGTTCGATCATCAAAGAATTGAAGTACTGATGTTGGTTGGCTATGTTGGTTGATATTCAAAAAAATCGTCCATCATAATTTGGTTGATATTACCCCGCAACAAAACATCTTGAGATATTTCATCATAATTTGGTTGATATCCACCATAATTTCATCATAATTTGGTGATATTTGACAGTTCACCACCTCCAGAAATTCCAGGCACTCCTCGCCCGGAGAGGTTGCCCTGGCCACCAGGTACTGAGATTCCACCAATGGTGATGACTTGGGGATGGTGACGACATGACGTTGGGTTTACCACAATCTCTATATATATATACTGGTCAAACAAAAATATGTTCGTAAAAATATGTAAAAATATACCTAGCAAACACACCTCTTGAGCACATGCTAGCAATACTTCTACAATGAACATACTATACTGTAAGCGTTTCCAACGACAAGGGAAACCCAAGATCCACCCAACTGTTTGAGTTGAATCCTGGTGAGTCAAGATTCCCATGCCTCACAGCAGCTTGCAGCATGTTTTATTTGCATCCCCAAATGGTGGCTGGAGAGACATGACTATGGTATACTGGTATACTCTGGTCATTTCCATTGGTTTTCCTATTAAAACCTCTATAATTTATACCATTGCCACATTTGATTACCAGATGGAATTGTTCAAAAGGCATGACACTCATACTTGAAAGACTGATTCTTGGACAAGGGGATGATTTAATTCGGTCAAATGATTTCGATGGACGTCTTGTAAATCATTTGAAACCCAAGATGATTCGATTATTTTGGCATATATATAATCATTCTGAAAATTCATGCCTGATGACATAAAATTCTAGTTGTTTTGTTGTCCCAGCCCAATTAACCAATACTTTTCCGCCTGGCAATGCAACCCCGAAAAAAAAAAAAAAAACGGGCAGGGAAGCCATCGTCGGCAGCGGCTGGCGCACGAGCTCGGCGGCCATTGCCAGCATGGCGCGGGGGCTTAGGAAATCTGATGGATTTGATGGCCCCACAGACAAGAGAATTGAACATCTTAAACTGACTTTATGATTACCCTCTGGTAAACGTTGACATAGTATGGAAAGATCCACCATGCTATTACTGGGAAAATCAACTATTTCTATGGCCATTTTCAATAGCTACGTTAGTCATTACCAGAGGGTATTTATGATCGCAATATAATCATACAATCGTGTCATACTATATTGTCACTATTTGGAACCATTGATCTGTGTGTGTGCGCAGGTAAAAAGCTGTCTAATTGTATGATGTCTCCTTGTCTAGGAGCACGGACTCTGTACAAGAAACATCTGATGGAATCTATATTATCTATATATCTTTAAATATAGAACATATATATAAATATACACATTCATACATACACACACACATATATATATATATATATGATATGTATATACTTATATCTTTCATGGGGGCTTAACCAACCTACCCAAAGGCAAAAAAACACTGATAGCTGGTTGAAATTCTTTCTTATTTGTATAGTTGTTGGTTACTACGCCCCAAACATTACCCTCTGGTGACTCTGGTAAATGAACAGTCGAAACTAGCCATGTTTGAGTGGTTTCAACTAATCTTCCCCCAAAACTGCTAGGGTTGAACTTTTTTTTTTACTGGAGGGTAACCCTTGTTATTATCATCCCAACATGATAGGAAGGTCACCTGTCGACAAGGCTGGCAAGGCAGCTGCCAGGGCCGTGGCCCACCAACTGTCGAAGGCTGCTACCAAGGCGGGCTGGAGAGGTCAGGGATCTGCAGTTAAACCAGGCGTTACCCTCTGGTTATTTAACATAGCCATGGAAAATCCCTCATAAATGGAGGTTTTAATGGGAACATCCACTATAAATGGGCCATTTTCCATGGCTATGTTAACCAGAGGGTACCCCCTGGCGAACTAACAGTTTGCTATGGAAAATAACCATTCCCAGATGCTCCATGGTGCTGGAATATTTACCTACATTTACCCCAAACATGGCCCAAATGTAGGTAAATATTGCATACATGGAGCATCTGGGATTGATATCCACTTAGTTCGATGATTCTTATAAACTCCTATAAAACATTGTGTTTTTCCATATCTATATTATGCGTTATATGGTAGTTTACTGGAGGGCAACTTGCAGTTAAACCACCCCAAATCGGGATTTCAGCAGGCAAAATTGTGACTCATCATGACTGGTTAAATAACCAAAGTGAGCATATGTAGCAAAAAATCTGGTGTTATACCACGTGCTTACCAGATAGACATGGTCATATCATTTTCCGTCAAATTCTGCGCCTCAATGGAGAGATCCAATACGTCCACCCGAAATCTGGGAGAAGGGACTGGGTTTCTCCACCGAGCCCCAAGAGAAGTGAGGCTGAGATACCCTCTGGTAAATTAACAGTTGGACCCTGAAAATAGCCCTAGTTTTAATGGAAACTAATCTTCCAACCCCTACTGTATCTGCCAGGGTCCAACTGTTAATTTACCAGAGGGTATCCCAAATCCTAAGACATGTCCGCGAAGTTATCTGGGAATTTTCGTTGAGATTTTGTCCACCATTTGACGGGAGAGGAAACCATCTATGAAACTACGCCCGCACCAAAAATCATGCGTCCCAAATGGGAATAAACAACAACCACACAATACAACACATAGCTCATATGTCTCCAAATTGTGTTATTTTGTCAACTTTTAGTTGTACAAATGATAAATATCAACATTTCAGCCGGAAGAGTCGACCGCTGTTCGTGACAGAAAAATCCGCCAGGATGGATGGCAAGAGGTGGCCAAAGCAGCTGTATTGCGCTTAGTCACGTCTGAAATCTCTCCTCGATTTGAAGGAACTCAGGCGATTCTGGCGGTTGTTGGACAGGATTGACATGATTGAAATCTTTTATTTTGGGGAGAGCGATGTTTATTCAATGGGCTATGGGTTCAACATGCTACGTAACGATCCGTGAGTTTTTTTCGACGCGACTGCTGCGCTCAGTCGGATGCGGCCTATGCATCTTTGATGCCTCCAGCTAGGATCTCAGCCGAACTGCGACTCAGTTAGACCTTACCTGAAAGGTACAGGATGGGGCCCTGCGGGCCGCCAAGATAGCTAAGGTGCCTTGTTGGTTTATGGTAGATGTAACTTTAGTTAACCTGGTCTATAAACCAACTTATAACTGAGGGGCACCATCCTGTAGCTTAATTTGTTGTTTGGTGATTAGGCGGTTGTTAGGAGCCTATTGTTTTGCGAGCCGAGGAGCCGTGAATTAAGTTGCCCAACAGCACTGATTGTTTAGTCATGTTGTTTGCGGGCGATATTGTCTTTTTGGATCTACACTCCTCAGATAAATTCTGGTTGGTGGTTTCAAACATGAATTTTATGTTCCATTTCCTATATGGGATGTCATCCTTCCCATTGACGAACTCATATTTTCAAGATGGTTAAAACCACCAACCAGTAAATTAATAGCCAATGTTGTGTGAGTAAAGCATCTATTGTTGGGCTGATGGGCTCATCATTAGACAATCCCCTGGCATGAAACAAGACACATCCACAGGCCACTAAAACTTTTAGAGACCGGTGAGCCAGGGTTAAACGCCTTTGTCTTTCATATGTCTTCAGTTTTTTTTGCTTCGAAATCAATGCCTGACTATAGTCATGCCAGTATCCCTGAATTGGGTTGGATTGGAACTTTCGCAGTAGATTTACATCTAGATTTACCCTCTGGTAAACTAATAGTTTTCTATGGAAAATGGCCATTTATAGTTGATTTACCCATTGAAAATGGTGATTTTCCACCTTTTATAGTTGATTTACCTATATTAAAAGCGTTTTTTTTTTCCATAGCAAACTGTGAACGTTTACCTCTGGGTGTTCCCTCTCCAGTTGAAAGTGGCGCCCCAGGCTGAAGTGCCGCGCGTGGCAGCTGAAACGTCATCACTGGAAGTGGCCAAGGAGACCACCAAAAAAAAGGGTCGTGTTCGACTTGGCTATGGAAAAAAAAACACAAGGAATCCCAAGGCAAACCGGGTTATATAATTATATATATATAATTATTATGATTAGATATATGGGCAACTGCGGTTTATAGTAGATTGACTTAGTTGACCATAGTTCGACAATAGTTTGTAGCACTAGGTTGTGTCCATGGATGTCCATGGTTTATAGTATATAATAATATATAGATATAGATGCATAGAGATACACCGAACTATTGTTTTTATTGGGTGAGAAATCAGAAAGCAACAAAATCCAACAAACATAACTGGTGGCGGTGGGGGCCTCACTTTCATTGATGGCTATAATTATGGAGCATCCTCTTATGGTAAGTCTCAGGCAGCCGCTACAGATGGCAAGACTGGGGAAGAGGCTGGCACCATCCTGGACCGGAAGCGGTGGGCGAACCAAGCGCTTCAGCAACACAAGTGTTCAACCAATGAAGATTGGGTTTCTCATGGTTGAACTGTAAAATTATATGCGTTGATATTATATATATATATATATGGAGGGGTTGACCCATTAACATATCTGGGAATCCCATCCTCCGGTCACATTAGTCGTCATTTTTTGTTACACCCAATAAAACACGGGTGTTTCATGCCACGGCCAGGTGGGTCTGGCTGCCATTGCTGCGGTTCGAGCTGCTGGTGTTTCTTGGGGCATCAAAAAAGTGGATGTGGAATTTTGCCTGGCTGCCATACACCTACCATGACTGGGGATGGTTTTTTGGGCACCCATAACACTGGTGATGACTTAGGACTGATTTTGGTGATGGTTTATGGCATTGGGGTTTGCCATTTTAATGTCCAGCAAGCTGTGAATGTGCTGTTTTTTCTCAATTGCAGGATGTCCAGTCGACTGGCAGTGGCACTGCGCGACACCGGATTGATTTCATCCTAATTCCATTGACGGTGAGGGTCATTGTTGAATATTGTTGAATATCATTTGTAAATCGATATCCTTTTTGAAGGTGTTGTATGTGGATACCCTCTGGTAAACTAACATAGCTATTTAAAATGACCCATTTCTATAGTTGATTTATTTAAAGTTGTGTTTTTCTATAGTTATGTTACTTTACCAGAGGGTAATTCGCAAAGCCATGCATTGTTATGCACATACACCTGGTAGGGACGCCAGCTTACTAAGGTCTCCGCAGCCTTGAGTCCTGTCCATGACTCAGCGGATTCTCTGAGGTTCCACATCAGTTTACTGTGGTAAAAGGATGGTTATATATCTGGTTAGTAGTGATGGTTAATAGTGGTTAATAGGGTATAAACCAACAACAATGGGAATATGATGGTTATATACTGGTTGGTGGTTTGGAACATTTTTTATTTTTCTATTCAGTTGGGAAAATCATCGAACGAAATGGTGAAATTGTTCACCAGCAAGCTATGGCAAAGATGAGACCGGAGGATATGAGAGGGATATTTATCTGGTTGGTGGTTTGGAACCATGGAATTTTATGAGTTTCCATTCAGTTGGGAATGTCATCATCCCAACTGACGAACTCCATGATTTTTCAGAGGGGTAGGTATACCACCAACCAGTAAAAGGATGCTAAAAGTATCTAAAAGTAAGGTATATACTTTCCGTTGTGCAGTCAAATAGGCAATATGTTTGAAAGCTGTTGGTTAGCCATCGAAAGGATGTGGGCTGCACATGGCTGTACGACCTGCATCCTGTTTGAATTCTCAATGGATTGGTTTGAGGGAAAATCGACAGGAAAACCCCATGATCTTAATGGGAAAATCGATGGTTTCCGGTTAAGATTTTCCCGTGAAAACCAATCCTGTTTGAAATTCCGAAGGTTATTGCCAGCTCATCCATTGCGCTGGCCTTGTCGTACCCGACTCAGAGCGATGCCTGGATCCAGAGGTCCCCCAGTCGTCACCATGGGTTTCAATACTCAACTGGCCTGACTTGGATGACCCGTTTTACCCCGGAAACCCCGGAAACCCCCTCTCTGAAATCTTTGGGGAACACTTCAAAAACAAACGAACATCCGAAAGTACACTGTATCAAATTCTAGCTTGGGGGTTGAGCATGGACAGATCTGTGTGGTTATGTTCCAAGTCTTAGAGATCAGAACCACCGCGTGGAATCAAAACCACAGCGTAGGCATAGATAATGACTGCCCTCATGGATGCAACACTGCAAGTGATCACAGTGCAACAGGTCTTGAGCCATCTATCAGGTGCCAAACTACCAAGACTATAGACTATACGTTTTCTATACATCTTCCATACATTTCTATACGTTTCTGTTCGTGGTTGGAGATCTTTCACACCTCCAAGAGGTTTCGTTTGACCCCAAGGCTCAGATATCAACCCCAACTCAGGAGTTGCCATCGATGCATGGCAAGTTTCACCGTGGAGGATGCTGGGGCCTCGAAGCCAGAGATACGGAGCTTTCCCTTTGTCATGATAGTGGGGGTTACCCTCTGGTGAACTAACATAGCAATGGAAAATGGCCATAGAAATAGTGGATTTTCCCATGAAAAATGATGATTTTCCATTGCTATGTTAGTTCACCAGAGGGTACCCCCAGTTTTTGCTATCCATATTTTTGGATAAAACCATCGATGAACCAGCTATGGATAAGAATCTGGGGGTAACCATGATGAAAATCTATTTATATCGTTTTTATGATCAATATTTATCATGAGTGGATTTCCATGAAATAAACATAAATAAAAATCAAAATTAAAACCAGCTATGGGGGCACCTCCATGACTCAGGAAGCCTCCATATATTCAGCTTCTTTTGTCATGTTGGTCATGTTTGGGTCTCCGTATGGCAGTGGCAGCTCGGCCCATTTGAAGGCGCAGGAAGTGACAGCTAGCAACCCAGCAATGTATTGGTGTCGAAAGGGACATGATTAGACGGAATGGGATAGAGATGATGGCATGATGATGGCTATGAGTAACTTTTGATATCTTTTGATCACATAGTTTTCTTCACGGCACGGAAAAAGCAGTGACAGCTTTGTGGCAAGAGCAAGGCTAAGAGGGGCTGTCAGACTCGCGGTTCGGCGCCATGGTTTTAAGTTGCCCATAGCATGCTGGCGGCCAGTTTGCGTGTGCCTGACCACGTCCCACACTTTCCTGCGGATGTTCCGAACGACCCACCGGTGCCCACGGTGCCCATTGCACCAATGGGCATGAATCCCCCGGCATCCAGCGCAGCTGAACGCGCAGAGTCCTTGAAAGCATTGCGAGGACGGGGGAAGTCTGGGACCGCGAGGAGATGCATTGGACAACTTGCATACCCATGACGGATCCATGGTGCTGGTATATTAATGCTAACATTGATTGGGGGTATATTGATGGGATCCATGTTACCATATATAGCAGCACCATGGATCCTATGGGATATGCCAGAAACTTATGTCATTAACTGGCATATGTTGGGGAAGTTAGTGATCAACAATGGAATGTTTTTCGGTGCCATGATTTCAGACAAGTCCATGGGGAAAATGTTGAATGATTCAACTTAGTGATGCAACTTCAATAGAGAAGCCACGTTGAACTGATATACCAGGCTCCACAGCAGTGACAACTATAGTTTTCTTCAAGACAGCTTGGGATCATCAAGGCAAAAAACATGGACCACATTGATTTCAATGAATAAGTATCATATTCAATCCCTTCAAAGGCATCAAAAGGCTAACTACCGCGAGGATGACTTCTTAGAATACTTGTTCATCAACACTCGCGGGAGTTTTTCGAAAGGTCATATTAGACTACTAGACCCCCAATAAGATGGATGGTTTATTGCTATCCAGTGGAGTTTTCCGGAGGGACCACTCCGGAGCTACGGGTATCCATCTTCCCGATGAAACGGGGGCCCGGTTGGAGCTACGAACGGAGTTTCTCCATTTTTATACGATAGATTGACGCTGACCAATCCATGAATGCCAGCCATTTTTTGGGCCTTCTGGTCCCATCTTGGCCCGTAGGTTTGGTTGGGCCCCATGCCTCTTCTGCTCAGCTGAAGAATCAGCTCCAGCGCTTCTCGAATGACCCACGCAAAGCTGCCAACGGCCCCCTGTCTGAAAATGGGTATACTGCAATACTTCCCAAAGGGCAATTTTAGATCATTTTAGTATGTTTTACCATCTGGTTATTTAACATAGCCATGGAAAATCACCATTTTATAGCTAGGTAAACCATCTATAACCCATAGGATCCATGTATGGTATATATGCTAACATTTGGGGTATATTGATGGTAAATGTTACCATATATAGCATACATGGATCCTATGGGTAAATGGGTCATCTATACCATGGCTATGTTAGTCATAACCAGATGGCAATAGGGGAATGATGATCAACCAGTGGATTTCGGTGTGTCCGCTTTTGAGACCAGCCCAGTTTTCGCTGTGCAGTTTATCAATTGATTCCGATGAAAAGATCAACGGGAGACCATGTTCTTTTTCTTTACCATCACATATAGTGGTTTCCCGTATATTATTTTGTATTTATTATCTATCGAAGTACTATATATATATACACCAAATGATACAGTTGATACTATATACATATATATATATATATGTACATCCCCTCAAGTCGACCGCTTGCGTTGAGTGTGTGAGTGGTGGGTCTGGAAGATGACAATAACTTAAGGCTGCAGGTTGTTAAGGTCATGTGGAAGTTCTGACACTTTCCACAGTTCATAAATTGAGTTAAGGAAGCCAAACCGAACAAACCCTGTTTGGTGATTTTGAATCCCTTCTATTTTCAACCCTTTGTTGGTTAACTTTTTTCCAACTGACTCTTTTTTGGAACTGCTGAAGAAAACCTACGCTGTCGGTGAAATCCACATTTTTCCTGGTTGTTGTCAGTTGTTGTCAGTTGCATCTCCATTTTGAGTGGTGGAATCTCTATCGTAGACCAGCCTCGCACAGGCTACTTTCGCAGTGCCTGTGCTTGCGACCTTCCCTTCGACTTTCAACCTCGACCTTTGCAGCCCGGACGGGAATTCCAGATTCCGGGGACCCAGGCTCAGGGGATTTAGGCAGACACTATCCACTTGGCCTCCAGTAAACATGGTTGAGAAATCACCAAATCATACATAAAACTAGCATGAATCCCCTACCCATAGGATCCATGTATGGTATATATGGTAACATGGATCCCATCAATATACCCCCTTTATGTTAGCATATATACCATACATGGATCCTATGGGTAAGTGGGTATTTCAATAGAGAAAATCGGTATATAAATGGTGGATGTTCCATTGCTATGTTTGATGACAATGAGGGTAACCCAATCAGGGTCAACAAAGCTTTGGATGATGATTTTGTGGTTGAATCTACAATTCTTTTTTGGGCTTCCATATCCAGATGTTGATTTTTGGGTGGTGCTGCCTAGGGCATGTCCTGATGTTGGGTATTTTTCATATCATCTTTGAACCTTCAAAGGGCAATCGGAGATGGCTATACCAATTAATGATGTTCGCAACAGCTATCACTACCCCTATGGTTCCAAAAATCCTGTGTCCCTGAATTGAAGAAGGGAAAGTTAAGTAGTGAGCCCCTTAAATTGCCCATGAAATATTATGGCAAAAAAACAGTATATAAGTTTATCTTAAACCAATCAACGATTCTTGTAGATGTGGAATGAGCATATGATATATGGCATACGGTATGCCACAAACAATTGAGAAGTACTGAAAGGTGATTTACAACTTAGTGTTTAGAACCAGAATTTCCATGTCTGCATCTTTTTTTAGTGGGTTACAAGGTGGTGCTGTGGTGCCTAGTTAGCTAAGTTGGTTCCGTTCACTAGATTGACTGGGGTTTATATATGTTTATGGCAGTTTCTAGTGTTTGTAACCATACCAGATGGGGGTATAGACCAACTGATAACTGATGGATACCTGTTTGTTTGGATCACGTTTTTAATCAGGGCTTGGAAAAACCATCTACCATCATGTTCCTGTGAAAAATGGGGCCTACCAGCTGATAACGAAAAGGTGGTGCCCCCCAATTATATTAGTTGGTTTACAACACCAAGTATAGATATATCTACCATAAACCCCAGAGTGCACCAGGTGCTCACCAGCTTCGCTACAATTACATAAATCCCATTAAATCACCATTGCTCCCAAGACGGTGAATTTCCTTGCTCCTGTGATGTGCAGCTATACACAAGACACATCAAGACACCCATATATCAGACACACCATATGTTGAAATCATCATTTTCCTATGTTTGCCATCATCAATTAGCCATAAATCCCATTAAATCAGTATTAAATCCAAATTTTTGGTGGTTAAATCACCATTTTCCTATAGTTAAATCACCGTTTTGCCATCATCAATTAGCCATAAACCATCATAACCCCCATACAAATCACCATTTTCCTATGGCTAAATCAGTTTTTTTTCCCAGCCGCATGACCCAGGTGCCGCAATAGCTCCGCCGCGGCCTTCACTGGGCCACGTCATGCGCTCAGCTGGTTGGACCTGGATGTGCAGCTCTTTCCGGCCGCCCGGTCATTGTCCGTAGCCGGGGTGAACCAACAGGGCTAGGGAAGGGGGAAATCCTCGAAAAACATAGGAAAACCAGAGGAACATGTGGAAAAAACACGCTATAAACCATGGGAACATATGAGAAAAGCATAGGAGAAACATGGGAACATATGAGAAAAAAACCATGAACAACGACTATAAATGGAGGCTTTAATGGGAAAATCATCTAGAAATGGTGGAATTGTTCACCAGCAAGCTATGGCAATTTGATCAGACAAGTGTAGGGTATGAGAGGGATATTTAACTGGTTGGTGGTTTGGAACATTTGGATTATTTTCCATATACTGGGAATCATCATCCCAACTGGCGAACTCATATTTTTCAGAGGGGTTGGTCAACCACAAACCAGTATACTATTTTCACTTTTCAGCTCTTATACCACAAAAAAAAACATACTAACATATACTAACCTAATATTTTTCGGGTAGGTTGAAACCAGTTTCTATGTAGGAAAGAAGCTGTGAAAATCCATGGGTGAAAATCCATGGGTGTCCCATGCGAGATGATCTACACCGGCAGCTTCCAGGCAGCTATGGTTGTTATGGTCGTTGACTCACTTTGTTACTTAAGTTGGTCAGTTGGTTTATAGAAGTACACATGTATATATATATATATATTATTGTATATCTATCTACATGTTAAGTCGCGTTATGATAGATATATCTACAGTTGATTGAGTTTATAAACCAGCCAGCTCATAGAATATACAGTATATATCATTAATGGTGGGCTCCACCTTGTAGGGTATTGGTATTATATGTTTCCAACAAATTAGTATTTGAGGTTGTCTATCAATGGCCATTTCAGGAACCGATTGATTGGAGGTACCTACTATATATAAGGCCTATTTTTGAGGCCTATGTAAGGGGATATACCCCCAAAATATGGCCTTATATGGTACAGTACCTCCATTTTAGGATCCTGAAATTCCCATTGAATCTAGGTTCAAGATTGTTCATATTCGCCGGTGTTGTGGTCGTTGGTGGGTGGTTGAAAATCCCCCAGCCCTTGTCTGGTCACTTACTGAGTAGCCATCGAAAAATGGGGATTGAACCAACCATAGTGGTTCCCTCTGGTAAAATAGCTATTGAAAATGGTCATTTATAGTGGATTTACCCACTGAAAATGGTGATTTTCCATAGTTATGTTAGTTTACCAGAGGGTAATACAGCGGACAATATTGTGTTTGCATTGGTTTGTCCATGTTTGTCCAGAAATGATGGATTTTTCCTGCATTTTCATGTTACCCTCTGGTTGTTTAAATGTTATTTAACATAGCCATGGAAAATGGGCCATTTATAGATGATTTGCCTATTAAAAATTGTGATTTTCCATGGCCATGTTAAATAACCAGATGGTATATACTCAAATTGATGGTAAGCGGCTGGATTTTTGTCGGTATCCAATTTCGCGGACTCAATTTCATGAAGGTAAAGTGACCTTTTGGATCCCTTTGGTAATCTGGACATGTCCAAATGTTTTGTGTGATGTCATTTGCACATTCCCTTCAAGAAGGTAGGGATTTCTGAGCTTGGAGTATGAAAGGGTGGTATGCGTTAGGTAAGATTGCTTAGCTAAAGTGATGAGCATCAAACATCTAGCGTTTTTCACAGCATGGGGATGCGAATACTATGGGGATCATCCAACTTGCCGAACGGAACTATTGGCATTTTCTGGGAGGCTGAAACGTATATAGATTAACAATGATTAACACCAAGCCGAAGGAAGTTAGCTCGGTCACCCGAATCCAAACCCGAAGCCGGCCTTTCTTTTTTTTTGTTTATCTATAGACAAATCTCTGGAGCAAAATTTTGTGCTTGTGCTCCGATCCTAAAAAGAATCTTCAAAGATGTGGGTATGGATCAATACCTATTAATACCATTTTTAGGGGGTTATTCACATCCATTTACCAGCTATTTTGATGTGAACTACAGGTACTATTGGTTTTGACACACTGCCATGTTGATCAGCGCAAGAAGTCAGCCTCAGGCCCCAGCTTTCTTGCAGATTGTGGACTGCTGGGCATTGTTGCCAGCGTCACGAGAAGTGAATCAGCGAGTAATTCACCAGGAGGCATTCTGGGCTGCGGCCTTTCAGAGCCTTGGGATGTTCGAAAGTTACCCTCTGGTTATGTCAAAATAGCTATTGCACATGACCATTTATAGTGGATTTTTCCATTGAAAATGGTGATTTTCCATAGTTATGTTAGTTTACCAGAGGGTATACTGACTGCAAGCTGCAAAGAGTTTCATACCCTGCCATACCCCCGAAGGTTCCCCTTGTGCATTGGAAGATGTCTCAGTTCCCCCTTGTGCTCGGTGTGTTCCATGCTGCATTGATTGTGCACCTGAGACCTTCGCTAAGGAGTGTTTTCCTGGAGGCGCTTTAGGGGCGGCAAATCATAGATGATCATAGTGGGTTCGACAGAATATGGGTGGAAAATCATAGAATTGGATGATGGGAACATTTACAGGAAAGCCCGGAAAGCCCTATATTTGATGGTAAAAACAATGGTTTCCGATTAAGATTTTCCCTTAAACCAATCCATTGAGAAAATCCTTTCAGCGAGTGGTTTCTATGACCCATTCGATGACCAATTTGAAGGGCTTGCAGTTGTTCCGCCCTGGCAGGTGCCCTATGCTGACGTGGCTTCTGCGGCTCCGGGAGTGCGAGGTATCGTGAGAAGGGATCCAGGGAAAAGAATGGTTTTCCCATGTACCCTTTGGATCCCTCTGGTTTTTGAGCATAGCTATGGAAGCCATGAACTATTTTCCATGATCTGCCTGTTAAAACGGTGATGTTCAAATAGATGTAGCCATGTTACCGTACTAAAGGGTATAAAAGGCCCATAATTCGGGCCTTTTCTTGGTGGGAATGCAAAGGATTTTGGGAGATTTAATAAACGTCAGGAATTCTTCTTTTTGGAGGGGTAACCTTTTCCATTCATAGTGATCATGTTGCTTGTAAATGATGGTACCCGAGAGAAATATCTCGACCAACAATACCTTCAACCTGGGTACCCCAAAAACCATGCCGCAGGCAGTGAAACCAGCACTTTATAAAAGGCGGATCCACACATTACACACACACACATATATATATATATATATATTGAATTATTGAATTATTAAATCCCATGGGATCCATGTATGGCATATATGCTAACATTGGGTGTATATTGATGGTAAATGTTACCATGTATAGCATACATGGATCCTATGGGTTAAATTATTAAATATAGGGTCACGATGGGTCACGCAATCAAGGTCTAGCCATTTTTTTAAAATCATACAGACTTGACATCTTTCAACCAGCTCTTTAGTGCAATCTGCCGGACCTCTATGTTTTTAAGGGCTGATTTCATGATATTTTATGTTTTAAACATCTTTCATCCAAACCCGGGTTTGCCCACACTCAAACAGCACATCCAAACAATATGATATACTTTCAGGATTTAGGGTTTAGGGTTCTAGGGTTTTAGGATTTGTTGTTTTGGAAAGTTAAAAAAACAATCTTAAATCCTACGCAGTGATTTGAGCATGTCAAAGGATATGCAGGATTCGCCGCGGGCAAACCTAGGGTTTGCAGCGAACATCGTGTCGAACATCTTTAATCCTGTAGACTGTAGATGTTCCCTCAAACCATCTTGAACCAATCCATTCTTCTCTGCCACGGCCCAGGTAGCTCCGTGATGTCGGCTTCCTTTCTTCGCTTCACGGAACGCTGGCGGCAAGAACTGGGTCGCGTGTGCCCCAAGTGCGGCTCGTCTCGATGAAGTTTCAGGGGTTCTCGTAGGATTATTTGATTGTATCAATGGACTGGTTTAAGGGAAAATCTACAGGAAACCATGGTTTTTACCATCAAATATAGGGCTTTCCTTAAATGTTCCTTAAATGTTCCCATCATCCAATTCTATGATTGTATGCTCAAGGATGTTCAAAGGAATTTCATGGATGTTCAAAAGATGTTCAAGGGATTTTCATGATTAGGATTGTCAGGTATTTTCAAATGATTTTCATGGATTGTCATGGGATGTAGAAGTACGCAATTTTAGGATTCATGATTTGTCTCCACTTCCTGCATTCTAGAAAGAATAGGATTCCTGGGTGAGGGGGATCTTACTGCAGGAAACCGGAAGGTAGGTACTTGACATATTCTTAATTTGTGGCTGTTTCGGCACCCCCTTTTCTGAACCGTTTCCAAGGATGTTCGACTTTCATTGAACATCCCAGCCTTCGGAACGAGTTCATGTTTTCATAAGTTTTGGTGCCCTACCGACTGTAACTCCTTTTGTTTGGCATTGTTGACGCACGATTATAGCAACCCCAAAGCTAGAAAAGTAGAATCCTACCAAACTATCCAAACTAGTGGTCAGTTCCACTACAAAGTGGGGCCCCCTAGATAGCTAAGTTGGTTTATAACTCCAATAACTATGGTTTATGGTACCTATAACTATAGTTAATGGGGTTTATAAACCATCTTATAACTGGGGGGGCCCACATGGTAGGTTCCTATTCTTTTGGGTGGTTTGGTGTGGATCTGCTATTGATGTTGTTTTGCAACGTGACTTGGGCTGGCATTCATTTCCAGAGTTTCCAGCATCCAAACCCTGGTGATGATGTCGCCATGCCCACAGTGCCCACGCTGGGCCACGAAACAAACGTCCAATATCATCCAGTGCTTAACATCTGGTTGGTGGTTTGGAACCTGAATTTTATGACTTTCCATGTTTTTTTTGGGAATGTCCTCATCCCAACTGGCGAAACCCATGATTTTTCAGAGGGGTAGGTCAACCACCAACCAGATCGGAAATCCCTGTGTTGTTGAAGAAATCTGCAAGAGTCTCTAGGTTTTCATGGATCACCCGGCCAACCCATCATACACCCCTTACTGGATTGCACCTTGAAAAGATTCAATATGAACCCCAAAAAATCCACAGACAGTGAAATTGGAAGGTGAATTTCCACACTTGAATGTAGCCCAAACAGTGGGATATTTTTTGCATTTTTCCGCATATAATTAGTCTATAAATATAGGGCTTTCATTTGAGTTAGGGGGGTAAACCTTTGATGGGTAATTCAATGGTCTAATCTGAAAATTCCCAGAATTCATGCGATAATTTTCCAAAAAATGATGGTGAAAACCGTGGTTTTCTTCATAGAAATAGATAGAAATAGCATAAATATTAGATGTTCCCAAGCAAACCCATGCATAAACATTAAAATTGCTTCAATAGCCATACTAGTTGCTTAGATCCCAAATCATTGGAGTTCATTATGATCTATGCATTATTTACATATCCCATATCATATCGTCATTGTTCGGTGCGGCCTTCTGAACGGCCAGGTGCAGCACGACAGGCCATCGTTCCCATCGTCTACGGCTTCCCCAGCGCACCGCTGACGGCACACTACCGCCGTGGAGCGTTGGTACTCACTGAGGAGGGGCGTCGACCGGGGATGGCATCGAATGAGGTGATTGATGGGAATTGTACTATCAAGCATGAAGAACAGCCAAGTGAGATTACTTCGGATTACTTCCCACTTAGTAAGTTTTTTTTTTTTTTTAATAACTCATATTATCCCATCATATTAACCCCATACTATCCCATCATAATCATGGAATAACTCATATTATTATCCCACTTAGGTCCCCATTTCGAAGCTTATCCCATCATAACCACTTCCCATGGAATGATCCCAAAGGACTCGCAGAGGGATGAGATGTTTTTCATGAGGGTGACTAACTAAGAAAAACAGCTTAAACTTGCGCGATTACCAACAACCAATGCGCTTTTATCATCAAACAAGTGTAATCTATAGCCAGTATAATTGTAATTGACATAGTTTACATTCTATCAAACAAAGAAGCCGTAAGAACCTAAACTAGAATTATGGTTGTTTTGCGGGCTGAAATGAGGACAAAGATGTTTTGTGGTGGGCAACTGTTCCAGAATCAAAAGTGGCAATGAGAAAGAAGAGATATGAAGAGATATGAAGAGATATGAAGAGATATGAAGAGATATGAGAAAGAAGAGATATGAAGCGGCAATTAGTTTGTTGCCCAAACGCAAAGAGATTTTTAACATTGAGTTGTAATGACATGACATTGAAAACATGTCAAAACTCACCAAGGTCTGTGGCTTCCTGGGTCCCTGCTGGGCATGCCGCCGCTGTCACTTCGAATTTGAGCAGTACCCATATGTTGGAGACCTGCAGCCCGTGGGAAATGTGGCCCCTGGGCGTTTTTAAAAAAGGTGCCGTGGAGAGGGTAGATTGTGAGGTCGGCCAAAAGGTATGGCACCCTGCTAAGGTCAGAAAGTATCCCTTCCTGCGTGTTTCTTGGATGAAACGATGGGCAGAGGGTGAGGTTGGGGGTGTCGCTTGCGACGGTTTGCAAGACTTGGAGGGTTCAAGACCACATAGAACATCATACCCATAGGATCCATGTATGCTCTATATATATATATGGCAACATTTACATTTACCATCAATATACCCCCAATGTTGGCATATATACCAGCACCATGGATCCTATGGGTCATAGTAGACAAATTGTAACGACCTCACGGCCACATCACTATGAATGATGCAGTTCTCAGGTCTGCTTGGCCGCTGATGGCGCTGTGGAAGAAAGTGAAGACGAGGAAGGTGAGGCGCCATCTCAGTAGTTTGAGATTGCTCAAATAGGAACGGAACAAAATACACCCTGATCACAAGGCCAGAAATCTTGGAAGTTCTCATTAGCATGTATATATATATAATTATATATATATACATATGTTATATATAAACATCTTTGAGGCTTGAGACTTTGCCGTTTTTAGGCAAATTTACCAGTATCATGTTGTCTACTCTGGTCAGTTTGAGCAATCTAGCCATGAAGCCATCGAGATTTCAGATATTTTCAGACTGCCACCCTGCAAATGTGACCCACTTGGCATTGAAACCTTGGCCACTTGGGGATCCACTTGGCCACGGGCCAATGCCATTTGACACCGGAACCATCCGGAACCCCCATTGCTCCGACCATGGGAATCTCCCGTGAGCGCCGCCGAAATCTAGGGCAGCCATGCACGCAATGTGAAAAGATCGCAGGCGTCATCTCATCGCCGGTTTCGTTTGGGGCATGTCATGTTTTGGGGGAACTATAACATGGTTTGAAATGGGTTTCGTTTGGGTCGACATGATTCAACATGACCCTTGGGAAAGCGGGTCTTGTAGCATTTGGGACAGAACTGGATGTCAACGTTGAAAAGGGTTGGTAGTTTGGTAGTTTCAAATGCACCCCTTAAATTTAACAATGAACTTCTCTCTCCAATGGGACAATATTGTGCATACCAAATATTTGGGGTTCCGCGTTGAATTAGGCAGTGCATGTGATGTTATCCCCAAATGACTCATACCAAATTGGTGACAAATCACCAGCCAGTACCGAAATACTTCCTTAAGAATCGCCTCTATCAAGCATCATGTAGTATAATCTGTATATTATAAATTTATGCTAACACACATGCAGAGACGCACCGATATGTCTATATTCATTTTATCATAGGCTCAAGCCTACGAAAAACGTCTGGAAGTTCATGACATTAATCTCATCAAAACATCAGCGAGTGATTGGCATAGGGGCTTGTGTTGGGGAGCCAGCTGACCATTAGAAACGTGATGTTTGCTAGGCAACCTGACCTAGCTATCGCATGCGACAGCCATGCGATAGCCTAGCTGAAAGATGCTCAAAGTAAGTATCTTCCCCTTACTTTGGATGTTTTGTACCAGCTGCTTGAAACTCACATACTCTCCGAGTCTCCCACAGGCATCAGTTGTCCATCGACTACCCTTCAAGTCTATTGATGAAATCGTGGAGATTAACCACCCATACTCAACCTAACCAGTTGGGCTTAGACTTGTTTTTTTAATGGCCTTATAGTTGTGTTTATCAGATTGTCGTTGCGGGGGCAGCTGCTGATTCCATTTTATTCTAGAAATCCTTCCGGAGTAAACATGCCCAAAGCTTCTCCTGCATGGATGATATCCATGCGCCACGCACTTTGATATTTTTTTTTTGTCTTTTTGGTGTTCAGATGGAGCCGCTTGTCCAACACGCATCAACAAGTAATCCCCAAATAGAAAAGTGAATTTGCACTATAACTCTTAGTAGGTGTAGGTTAGGTGCATAGGATTCTATATGATTTTACCTTTCTATCGATTAAAACTTAGATTTTTTATACGTATAGATAGAAAATATGCACAAGTTTATAGATTGTATAGGATTTTAGGGGTTGCTTTTTCTAATACGGGATGCACAAACCACCTGGGCGAGCGCCCGCAAGCGAGGTCATTGACGCAGCACGGGCAGCTGGGGCACCGGGGGCAGTGCATATGGCAATGCTTGGGGCCCCAGGACCAGTGTGTAGGAAGATAGCAACCGGCCTTATATAATTCACATTGATATTTGCGCTTAAATGCATGTGGTCCTGTCCAAAGTATTGCATAGTATTGCATTGGCTCCCCAGACCAGCGAATCTTTAGACCATGATGGCCATGCACCTAGCCTGTAAATATGGGCAACACAAGAGTGAAACCATGTGAAACCCCAAGGCCCCATGAATGTCCCTTAATGATATATTTGCCTTCATATGTTAAAGCTATGTGTGGGATAAATTGGTGTGTGCAGTCTCAATGCCAACTCGCCATTCCCAGTCTTGATGCAAGGGAACATCTACAGGAAAATCCTACATTGGATGTAAACATATCCGTTGTCAATCCATTGAATCTTATATTGTCCCTTTAAATTAAAGCAGCTTATGGATTCAAACCACTTTTCCTTCCCATTTCCTGAGTTTTCCTATGCCAAAACCCACTGTCTTCCTGTAGATTTTGCCCCGTGCTACGAGAGGCCACTCCTGGCCAAGTGCAGTGCACAGGAAGCAGCACGACTACACTCGTCTCCACGGCAGGTTTGCTGCCTGGAAATGTCGATGAAATGACGGAGCTGCTGATTGGTAAAGCCACAGATATTGTAACAGCAAGAGAGGTCTTCAATTTTCTGGCTTTGGTGTCCCAAAAAACTGGGAGAAGTTGTGATTTGACCCAGAAAAAAATGGTATTTACTATTTACCAACCCCTTTTTATTTTTGGGGGAAAGAATAAAGGATACTGTATATAATATCTATATATATATATTCATATATATATATATTATTAGATATATTATATATATTATATTATATTATATATATTATATTATATATATATTATACTACATATATATATATGGATATATGTATATATTATATTTTATATATATATATATTATATACTACATATATATATATATGTATACATAGGCATGTATGTGTGTGTATAATGGGAGATGTAATTAACTTTAATTAACATTAATTATATAACATTCTGAAAATATGGGATTCCCCAACTGGTGGGTTTCAAATTTTTGATTTTCCTCAATTCCTAGGATGTTTCAGCGCTCTCTTCAAAGGAGAATCCTCCCAAAATTGCCTTACTTGGCAATCACCAGAATTACTTCAATTCTCCGGCAGAATCTGTTCTGGACTGGTGGTTTCAAGGAATTTCTCTCAATTTGAAGCAACCTGAGAGGGTTCCCAACATGGAAACGGACTGTCCCAGTCCACCAGTTGGGGATGAATGCTGAGGCGGCCAAAGCAGCCGCTGAACTTTTCGAGGAATATGAAGGCCGGTTTTCGCGGGTGCCAGGAGGTGACACTGCTGGATCTCTAGCAGTTGAACGAGCTGGAGTTTCAACTATGGGGATCATGGGGATGGTGTCCCTATTTATCTGACCGTCAGTCTTTGGGTGGATAAATATGCAGTTTCTGAAAGATTTTGGAGATTATGTGTGCAGTTTCCTCTTCATCCTAAGGTGGATAGACAGAAGAACGCACAGTTTCAAGAAGTCAAGAAAAGGAGTTAGAGCTGTCTTGCTAGGTGTGATTCTGAAACCACGGCTGTACCACGTGTCCGATGATACCGTTGAGGTATCCCAACTGCGTCAGGTAATGGTCTTTCAGCCCACGAGCAAGGGCATGCCATTGCCAAGGCAATTGCAGCTTGACTTTGAAATTAGGATCAAATGAGTGGGATGCAGCCCTTTTTTCAATGGGGTTCGGTTTCTTTGAACATGTATAGGCTACCTCCAATTCAAATGGATTATCAATATTTGCTCGATTAAAGTGTGCATTTTGATGCATCATTCAGACACAGCCATATGTAACTCAGTTGAGATTGGAGCCCTGTTTCATCTCGGTTCATGTAACCTTGACGTTAAACTTGGACACGGGCTTGCAATGCCCATGGGACCGGGTCAGACTTGATCTCAATGCACGACCGGGTCTTTCAGAAGACCTCAAGATGCACGCGCAGAGGTGAACCCGCATGTGCGGAGATGATGTCCCATAGGATCCATGGTGATGGTATATATGCTAACATTTGGGGTATATTGATGGGATCCATGTTACCATATATAGCAGCACCATGGATCCTATGGGTGTTGCGTGTAAATGCGGTGAATTACCCGTAAACGCGGTGAATTACCCTGACAGGAGACAAGATGGATTAGAATAGTTGGTAATGCGGATATGTCCCATCATGATATCATTGTTACCCATAGGATCCATGTATGCTATATATGGTCACATGGATCCCATCAATATACCCCCTTTATGTTAGCATATATACCAGCACCATGGATCCTATGGGTTATGTTGGGGGGATCCAAGTGATGGCAGTGATGGTGGAATTTCTCTGCAGAATGGTTCTCCCCATCTCAGCCGAGGCCGAAGTCCTCCTCCTGAAATCCGTCAAGGGCGGTGGCAGCGGTGCCCCGCTGGACTTGGGCCGAGAGGTGCTCGGAGTGCTGAAGGCCTTGCGCTTCGCAGACGCTGAAGCGGCCTGGGACCTCGGTTGTGGCGTGCCAGGGGTTGGGATCTAAGAGCTTTGCCGAGTCGTGGGTTCGGATCACCTTGTTTACCCTCTGGTAAACTAACATAGCTATGGAAAATCACAATTTTTAATGGTAAAACTCACTAGAAATGGCCATTTTCAATAGCTATGTTAGTTTACCAGAGGGTATTTTTGCAGAAGGTGAATGAGGCAATGGATGGTGGATATATGTGGATGTAGGATCATTGCCCTGGTGAAGATTACTCCTTGTTGGGGGTCTTGGGTCAAGGCTCAGTGAAGGCTGGATTGATAGCTTAATATTTGGTTTTCGACCATAGATTGGGCAAGATGGGTCATTGTCTTTTTAGTGACAGTTTATGTTCTGCTTGTCGTACATGGCGAAACCATGAATCATGGATTTTCATCTGGATTTTCCGGCTGAAAAAATCACATACAATGGGCTTTGTATGATTATCAAAGCCCTCGAGGCACAAGATGCAGAGTTGTTGTGCGGGGAAAGCCTCGGAATCAACTGTGAGCTGCAGCCATTGACACTGCGATTCAACGAGCTGCCTTAGCTGATGGTACGCTGTGTGGTGTCGTATACCTGTATACTACCCCTATGGTAATCTAATCTGCAGAAAGCAAAAATCTGCAAATGGGATCAAATGGGTGGTTTCTATCTTTGGAGGAAGACAAACCCCCGAGCAAGTCCCCGAGCAACTCGTACGGAGATGAAGTTTGTGATGTGATCCTAAGATATCCTATAAGTACTGTATATCTATGAGTAATTTTCATTTGCAAAGCGGATCTGGCTACTGTTGCTAAGTGGGCTGATGTTTTTATGTGATTCTGGCATATCATGGAAATTTACTGGAAACAGATTATGCCATGCAGCCATGTTTCCAAAGATACATGAAGCATTTGGGGCTATAAGGGTTGGACAAGCATTGCAACTTAGCCATGCTCTTCCCACCACCCAGTTCAGGTGGTTAAGTGACCTCATAAGGCAACTTAGCAAACGGTGGCTGCAAAAACATCTCCGTTTGCTGCCTTGGCCATGGGACCAATTTGACCTTAAAAGGTCCGGCCTCGTCCAGGACTTTTCGGGCAGGGACCATGGAGATAATGCACCAATGATGTGCGCAGGTGATGTCAAGGGCAAACTGGATGTTTAATTCCAGAATATGAACAATGGGACAACTTTAACTTTGATGAAATAACGAGAAAAAAAAACGAAAAACAAGTTCCATGAAAACGAACATCACTGTTTTTGCGCAACATACTTCTAGCATATTGTTGCCGTCAAAAGCCCAGATCAGCCCTCATGCAGTTCTGACGTCGTTCGGACGTCGTTCGTCATGGCAGCTTCACGTCGTTCGGGCGTCCGCAGCTGAAGAGCTCAACCCCGGCGCCGCCATGTCGCAGATTTCCCACAGTACGGAGGCGGATGGTGCGATTCACATCGTGACACTGAACCGGCCAGATGCGCAAAACGCCCTGACGATGGACCGCGTGGGTTGGATGATTGGATCGTTTTTTGGTCCCTGACCTACCCCCTAGTAAACGTTTACAGTTCGATGTGAAAAATCCAGCATTTATAGATCCTTTTCTTCATAGTGGGTTTTCCACATCTTTTTGTATGTTTACCCCAGGATCCCCAGGGTATATGCTATGTTTTGTGCATGACTGGGCTATCAACCGTTGCAACCCCGATGATTGCGGTCACCTTGAGTCACCGATGATTGCTTTCAGGACATGATGAACGAGATTGCTACGCTTTTCCATGGCTTGCGAGATGACAAGAAGGTGGGATTCATCCAGAAATGGGAACTCCATGGAGGTTTGTTTTTTTGTAGAGTCAGATCGTGACACTTGGAGTTTGATTCGTTCTGATTCTGACCGTGAGTCAAACATAATAAACATCTCTCTGCAAGCTTTCCAAGTGTGGCTACTACATGCTATTATAGTTATTTTGCCATGCGTTATAATTTGTACTGTTTTTTTTGCCAAGATGTTTCACCTCCAACACCGACATCCATGTGTAAAACCAATTGAACGCATCTTTGGCGCCCCTTTTTTCAGCTTCTCGACAACATGATTTCTGGAGCTATGAGAGTGACTAGTGGAGAATACTTGGATCATCTTGGATCCTTAGTCACACCTTGGCACACCCTAAGTCCCTAAGTCCCTAAGATTTCTCGGCAAAGCTGGGTCAACTGGGTCAACTCACCCAACAAGCTGCCCGGAACCCGTTACGATCGCTGCCCGGAACCCAGGTCCGCGCCGTGATTCTCACCGGCGCGGGGGAGAAGGCCTTCTCCGCGGGGGTGGATTTGTTGAAAGCCGATGCTGGGCGAGTCGCGTGCTATTCGTGGGGTATTCAGGGTACATGGCAATGGGGGAAGTACTGCGGTCCGTGCCTTTGAAATTCTGTTTAAAATATTTTAAAATATTATACATGGATGATCATGGATGATACATGGAGGTTTGAATGAGAAAAACATGTTTTGACACCGCGTGAGTTGAGTGCGGTCCTGAGTTGGTTTATGACTAATGGCTGTTTGTGGCGAATATAAGCATATAGTTTGAGGGTGTTATAAGTTATAAACCAAGTTATATCCGGGGGGTACCACCTTGCGTCTGGTAGTGAATAGAGGGATCGGAGCTATGGTTGTATCCAGTCTACTGCACTCTTTTTTTTCAGACATGGGTGAGGTTTGAGACATTTGCTAAGGGTTTCCTAACGGTTGGGGTTTCATGTGTGTGGTCCGTTCTGGTTGTGATGAGGAAGCCATTCTGAATTCCGGTGGCCAAGTCGTGCCAACATCGTTCAAGGATGGGATCTTCACCAGCTACTTCCCCACACCCTTGGAGAAGGACCCCAGGGTCCAGATCGAAACCTTTCCATGGCCTGTGCGCCTTGGATTTGCCATGGGTTCCTCTTGATCTTCATTTACCCTCTGGTTATTTAACATAGCGGAAAATGGCCCATTTGTAGATGATTTTCCCATTAAAATCTCCATTTATAAGGGATTTTCCATGGCTATATTAAATAGCCAGAGGGTAATATATATTTAATCCGCCATCAAAGGTCGGGAAGATTCCATCTATATAATAATCGCGCGGGATCATCTATCTATCTTTGTCTTTCGAGTAAGTTCATCCAGATTAACAAACTAACTCGATGACTAGGATCCTTATGATCATTAGATAATATTAGATATAGGTAGCTTATGATTGATTAGATTAGATCAGATTATATAGATGATATATGATGATATACTAAGAATATAAGACATGTAAGTGACATGTATATTGACATGTACTTTGGCTCTGGCGCATCAGCCTAAGGATTTGTGCCGTGAATGGCTTCGCCATCACAGGGGGGTTTGAATTGGCGCTGGCCTGTGATATCCTCATCGCCAGTCACTTGGAAAAAAAAAAACGTCCCACGCAATTGGGGGGTGGCCAGAGGTTACTGGATATAAACCTGGTGAAGTAACCTTCATAAGTTGGGATATAAGCCCTATAACAGTTAATGATATAACATCCTATAGCTATGGTTTATATATCCACTTATAACTGGAACTGCACTTCCAAGTAAAATGGAATACCTCCATAGGCATGATGAGATTCAGCACCAAAGCAGTGTCTCGTTTGGGGTATTTCATCTGCGGGGGAAGTGTTGGGTTAGAAATCCTGAAGGGTTTGATCAACGAAGGTTCTGCACTGGGCGACGAAAGTTGGGTGAGTACTTGGTTGACCTTCTGGGATATTTCCCTAGTGATGCCGTTCCTTACGTGTGATTCTCTAACTCTCCCAATCCAACTCGATTTGATCGAACTGTCAAACTGGCTGCTAATGAGCAGCATTCTTATTTGCACTCATGCAGCTGTAAGATCTAATCTTTCCCATAGGTTCCATGTATGGTATATATGCTAACATTGGGGGTATATTGATGGTAAATGTTACCATATGTGCCATACATGGATCCTATGGGTTATACTAGGTTCGAAGTCAATCTTGTGTTCTCCCGGCAGGTGAGAATGCGAGCTTCGCAGACACGCATTCTAAGTTTGGTGGCTTGGACTGGTGACTATAGCCTCCGGCTGACATAGCTATGAAAGGTAGGTTAGATGAGATAGATACTAATTTTTAGTGCAGATTTCCATAGATTTCCTGCAATGATGTAGCAAAGTGTCACAAGGGGCGAGAATGTTCTACTTGTTTGGGATGATGATCACGATGAGAAGTGGATAAAACCACAGCTCCCATTGGGGGCTTTGGCAATCAAATATCTCAATGGAAACCAAACCATTTATGAATGATGTTCCTCTTCCAAGATGGTGTTGTTCCCTTCCGATTCCGTTCACCCTATTATATCCTATCATCACTTGTCTCCCAAATGGGGCCTTCAAATGAAAGATCGAATGCCAAACCAGGGCATCTTGGAGTCTGGGGGTTATGAGGGAGATGGAATTGCCAGACATGTTGAACCCCACACGGCTTTCTGTTGCTTCAAAATGTGTTAAACCCAAGAATAATAGCCGTAGGTTAATTATTGGGGGGAAAACCCGCATGTTTATTGGGTTTCCCACATTGTTGGGTTGATTTTTGGGTAAGATGTATGCATGATTTATTTATATGTATATATATTGATTTACCTACTAAAGATGGTGATGTCCCAGTTTGCCATGAAACAAATAACCAGAGGGTATATCTGATCAATAACTATGAACAACTATGACAAACCATTCATCAAATTCAATTAGCATCAATCACCATTAATAACAATGAATGACCATTTATAACAGTGAATCATCACTAATAACCATATATATATACTGTATATATATACTGTATATATATATATAACCATTAAATCACCATGTTTGTTGGTTCAAGCACCATTTGCCCATGCAATCCCATGAAATCTCCCATGTTTTTTGGAGTTCAATCACTGAATTTGTTGGATCTTTTAGGCTCATCGCAGGTATTGCCCCCGCATGGGGCTTGAGTCAAAAGTTGGCGCGGAGCCTGGGCCCCAGCCGGGCCAAGGAGCTGCACTTCTCAGGCGCGCAGGGAGGGCACCCAGAAAATTCATGAACAAATGCTGGTTTATAGGAGATGATAGGAGGTGTTGGATGGTTTTTTTGATGGTGGAATGTTTCATTTTTTATAGGAGATCCATAATCATAATTGTAATGTTGGATGTCTCGAAGATGTCAGATGTCGGCTTCAATTCATCCATCAGATCTTCGAGTTTTCCGAGGGATGGGGCAGAGTTGGGCTTTAGCGCCAGCACTTTTTTCTCCATGTTTGGACCAGAACAGCCAGTTCCTCTCCAAAAAAACAGCTCAAAATATCACCAGCTGGTTGGTGGTTTGGAACATCTTTCATTTTCAATAGATTGGGAATAACAATCCCAACTGACGAATTCATATTTTTCAGAGGGGTAGGTTGAACCACCAACCAGCCAGAATCCAGGATGATCCAAGGGGAGCCTGGCCCTGGCAGGTCGTTTCATCGGTGCCAAGGAGGCCATGGCTTGGGGCCTGGTGAATCGCGTGCTGCCACCGCAGCAGCTGATGCCCCATTGCCTGGACTTGGCCAAGGAGATGTCGAAGATGCACCTGGACATGCGGCCGGGCCGGGGCCAAGGGCTGTGGCAGGTGGGGCCAAGGCCCCATGAGTTTTTTTTGTGGGTTGATCTAAGGTAATTTGGCGAAAATTTTAAATCTGGAGTAAGCCTACTTACCTAAAAATCCTGAAAATAACTGATGAAACCTGACTAACTGGTGCAGTGGGTTTTGTTGAATGGACTTTGATTTATGGCTGGAAGGTTTGACACGTTGTATCATTTTATTGTTTAATTGGTCGGAGTTTGAATCAAGGGACAAGCAATGGGACTAGTGGGAAATGTGGTGCAAACTATCTTGAATTTTGCTGGAGTCATTGTTTATGTGGGGTATGCTTCAAATAACGTAAACATATTGACGCCATTTGACAGATAGTGAACTGCAAAACATGTTCAATTTCATGATACATTCTGATCATCAAACATGGCTTGCTGGAAAATCATGGAAAATCCCCGATTCATAGATTATTTTTCCCAGCTATAAACCTTATTGATATTGGGTGTTCCCATTTTTAGTTTACCCCCAAATGTTTATAGGGATTTCCAGTTCCCAAAGTTCCCACGTTTGATGACACCGGAGTGTCTCCCATCAAGGAATCCGACCATGCTGCGGATGATGAAGCAGACCGTGAATGACGGATATGGGATGTCCTTCAAAGATGGATGTGAAAACGAACAAAATGTCGCCTACAAATACTACAAGGACTGCTGGAGCTTCCCAACCTCTTGATTTTTGAAGATGTTTGACGTACCCTCTGGTAAACTAACATGACATAACTATGGAAAATCACCATTTTCAAAGGGAAAATCCACTATAAATGGCCATTTTCAATAGCTACGTTAAATTACCAGAGGGTAATCAGTGGGGTGATTTAAATCAGGTCCATGTAGACACTGCCTGGCACGCGAAGCATCGCGAAGCTGGATTGCTCTAGCCACATCTTCAGCAACGATTTGATGGTATCCCCTGACACATTGTTTTTTTTAGAACGATTGATGCCAACAACCAGAACATCAGCATGGCGAAATTCTTGTTTTCCAAGACCCCGCTACCGCAATTCGCCCTGTTTCAATGGTGCACTCCCCAGTTGTTCATTGGTTTAACTACCATTTTTGTTTTGTTGGTTGAATATGGTGAAATCATATGAAATCATTTTGGGTTGGTATATTTTATATATATATATATATTCACCACTTTTCCAGTAAATCCCAGCATTCAGATCATTTAGGAGATGGGTGCGGAGCTCTTTGAGAAGATGAAAGCATTCATCATGTCGCGTAGCAAAGGTGCAAAGTCCAAGCTCTGATGGACGGCCATGGCCGTCTGCTGGATGGCTTGTGATGTAGCCATGGAGTCATATATACACTCTACAAGCATCTACAAACATCTACAAACATCTACAAACATCTACAAACATATAGACTATAAACATCTTTAAACATCTATAAACATCTATAAAATTCTATAAACATCTTTAAACATCTATAAACATATTGAAACATTGCTGAGCGGTTATCAAATCTAATCACACCATCCTTCACCATCCATCTAAAGGAACATGTGCTGTTGAGCTGGTTGGGGTGGGCCTTGGCAGCGACGCGTGGGTTGGATATCAATATGTTCCCAGCGGTTGAAGGGAACTTTTGCAGGCTAGATCCCTCTGGCTTTGCGATCTTTGAGGGTAGAATCTGTGATTTCCAGTTAGCTTTCACTTCTATTCATGGATATGTGGATTGCAAACCTCCTGATTCATAATCCATTGGCTAGAGAGACTCTTGGTTCACAGGGCATTCCATCTCAGCGTAGTCGTACTAGCTGCGCAAAAGTGCAGCTGCACTCCTACATATGCTGCCCATCGGCAGGAAATGCGGGATTGTGTTCGATCAGTTTCGGTAGTTTCAGTTGTTGCGCATTTGGAAGGTGAGAAATGTACCAGCTGCTTCTAGCATGAATTGTGAACATACTGATGTTGAACGATGTTGCACTGAGTTTTGATTTAATTACTTCAAACATGTTTGTGCTAGCATGTCAAAGCATTTTTCATTGCTCGTCCATCATGGGGGTTGTGTCAGGATTGGGAACCCCATTCCATCCCATTTGTTCATCACGATGCTCACCTTCAAAAAGGCTATCAATTGCAGCTATCCCTCGTTTTGAATCGTTTCGATACAAACCCATTTCATATCCCATAGATCCATGGTGCTGGTATATTTACCGACAAGACTGGGTGATTTTTAAGGTAAATGTTACCATATATAGCAGCACCATGGATCCGTCATGGGATATTGTTCATTGATGCACCGGGTGCCGTTCTCCAGGTGCAGTTGGTTTCACAGTTGGTTTCCCATGAGATGCCCGCGTGATAGCTATGAATCATACATTGGCACCTTTACCCTCTGGTTATGACTAACATAGCCACGGACAATCCCAACCATAAATGGAGGTTTAGTTCGCTGGGAAAAACATCTATTTCTATGGGCCATGGCTTCCATGGCTATGTTAAATTACCAGATGGTATATCACCATGTGCCGTTATATTCCCATGGTATCTGATCCTGTCAAGAAGTTCTCAAGAAGTCCACTGTCAGCCTCCCTTGGCCCCTGCAAGGACTATGACTGTGACGCTTCGACAGTGATGCCCGATACTGGCATCCACGTTAGCGAGAAAAAGGACGAGCTGTCACTCCTTCTCCTACGCCTCCTCATCATCATCAAACATCCATCATCCATATGGTGGTCGTCGTCATCGTCGTCATCATCATCACCAACAACAACATCATCAACATTTCATGGACATATGGATTGAATTCCCAACTTCCAAAGATGCCATGGCCATTTCTTTTGCCCAGCAGAGGCCGCACACGCTGCAGCAGCGGCCGCCTCATGTGCTGTGAAGGCGCCAGACTGAAGTGAACGGATGCAGAAGCAACACCTTTGCGCTAAGAATGTAGTCAGTACAACTAGTATATGAATATTCAATATTAACATTTTTAGTGTATAAACATGTAAAAGTAATGAAGTATTCACTAATAACATCATATATGATCAATATTTCACCAATTAAAGAACAAACAAATCCAAACAACATGCAGTTGAAATAAATATTCAAACCAATCATGTAAGCCAATAGTTCACCAATATTTGCAATAGAACTCTAACGTCAGGATGATGAATGTGGCAATCCGTGGTTTGAGCTACAAGGTGCTGCCCTCTAGTTATATTTGATCGTTGTATGTTGTTGTTTCATTCAATTTATGGTTCAGTTTATCCAAACAAATGTATGTAGCCCCCCTTAAAAACCATAAATCTCAATTTTCACTCCATTTACCCTCTGGTAATTTAACATAGCTATTGAAAATGGCCATTTATAGTGGATTTTCCCATGAAAAATGGTGATTTTCCATTGCTATGTTAGTTTACCAGAGGGTAATCTCCGTGTTCGACCCCTTTTTCTTGGTTCAATCCCATATTTTGTTGATGAAATCAAGGGCTGTGCCATCGATATCACCGATGCGCAGGTGAGCCTGGCACGAAACGAGTGCCTCGGACACGGTTTTAAGCGGACGCGTTGGGAGTGGGCGACAAACAGACTTGCAGAAGTCCATATTGAATCATTTAGACATCTAAATGATGAAATGACCTCAGGATACTTTTGGAAGAATAACCATGGTAATTCAGGATTATTCCCCATGACTTTCGTTCCCAATATATTGTGGCAATCCAATGATTTTTCACCCCAATGATATGGGATATCAATAGATAATATCGGGATATCGATATTATGTATTCTATATTCTATTACAATGGTATATAAGGAGGTTTCCTAAGTCATGGGGGTACCCGCAAATCATCATGTTTTTGTGCGTTTTTCCACAATGAACCCGTCCAGCTATTGGTGTAATCCCATTTATGGAACACCCTATTTTATTTTGGTACTAGTACTTGGACCTTGGAAAGTCTAATCATCTAATCTGAATGTGATGAACTGAAGGAAGGTTTAGTAAGTCCAGAAAAATGATTGTCGGATCTGTTTGCGAAGGTTAAGGCCTTAAGAAATCCTCTGACATAAAAATTGGTCCCAAAAAGTCGTATGGTGTACCCCCTCAACAAAGTGGCAATTGCGAGCTCAACAAGTGGGAGAATGGGGAGCAACTGGATAACTGGGATGTGATGACGCGGCCAGATGGCAATGTTTGGCCTGTACTTGGTGGCTCATCCCACTTAGTAAGTGGGTTATAACATGTTATAACCCCAGTTATAAGTGGATTAACCCTACAAAAATCCCATTTATAACTGGGGTTATAACCCACTTACTAAGTGGGATGAGCCACCAAGTAGGTTGAACTGGTGGTTTTTTCGGAACCATCAGATGCTGCCCGCCTCTCCGGATATGTTCTCGATGTTCTCAGGTCGGGGTCCTCCGTCCCAAACTCAGATGGTTCTGTGGTGCGATGGATGAAGGAGGGCAACCCAGATACCCTCTGGTTATGTCAAAATAGCTATTGAACATGGCCAGTTATAGATGGTTTACCTATTAAAAATGGTGATTTTCCATGGCTATGTTAGTTTACCAGAGGGTAATCCCCTTGTTCTGTGGTGTGTAGCAGAACACTTCGCAATCCTCCAGCATCAACCCAAGGATTCCCCGAAAAAAAGGCGATGATCTCAATTCCACAAACTCTGACTTCCAAATGACCAACACCCAAACCACGATGAAATCGTTCGAAATCATTCGAATCAACATAATAGATCATCACTCATTGATTGAAAAATGCACATCTTTCCATGTGACAATTCACTTACCCTCTGGTAATCAATGTCACATGGCGACTGCGGGAACATCACCCATGAACATGATGCAGGATTTCCCGTTTAACACCTCCACGACTCTTATTTTTGATTTTCCCATACTATATTCATATGTGATTCATATTCATATGTGTTTCCCGCCAAAAAAACAACTCCATGTATAGGTGTTGAATGTCCCATCGGCTTTCCGATGTTTTTTCCCATGAAAAAACCATCCACACTTCTCGGGGATTTGTCATCGATCATCTTTGATGACTCAGTCGATGGGATCTGCTGATCGCACTGAGATCGGCAGCTTTGCCGTGAAAGTTGCAGCATCCACGGGATTGAAGGAGCGACAAATACCCTTCGGTAATCCCCGATCAATGCACGTTTATTGCTGGGAAAAACATAGGAAACTATGAGAACATCAATAAATGTAGGTTTCAATGGGAACACGTAGGAAACTATGGGAAAATATAGGAAAAAACAATATAATCATAAGGGTGCTTACTTCCCTGGGAAAATCATCGAACTAAATGGTGGATTTTCTGTTGCTATGTTTGAGTATACCAGAGCGTATGGGCAGTCGTTTGGGCGGTGGTAACGACATGATTCTACCATCAACTGGACCTCTTTGGGCTCAAGGAGGCTCAGTTGTTCCAAACCAAGCGCCTTTTGGGCGCAATCCAAAAGTATCCTGCAACTTTGTTCAAGATCCCTATCTTTTTTGGGGTAATACTATGTAATACTATGTAGCTGTGCTGCTGGCAGCACCAGGCGATATTGTTCACCTTTCCACTTTAGGATGAGCTGAGCATGTGAGAAACTTGGCCCTTCCATGAGAGGCCGACGAGGCGAAAGAGGTCGCTGCAATGGCAGTGGGAAAACTCAAATTTCTTGAAGGATTGAGTGGCTGATGAGTGAACACCGATGGGTTGAAGGATTGATGATGACGACGAGGATGAGAATGAGAATGAGAATGGGAATGAGAATGAGAATGAGGAGGAGGATGATGATCAGGAATGATAATTAATGATAATGATCATGCCCTGCCCAAGGTCATCAAAGGCATGTTGGAGTCCTTGAGCACCGTGGATGTCAACTCCCTGAAGCACCTTGAGGCCACCGGGAATTTTGGAGCTCTATGTTCATGATACTTATAAGGCGAATCTAAAAGCGGACATGGCAAGAAATGACCGCATGTTATGTCATTTTGGATGGGAAGATCATGGAAGATCATTCTTGAGTCGCTGTCTTCAGCATCTTTTAGCTTGCCCACTTTCAATAAGCCCGAGCCAAAAACAAAAACCTTCGATAATGGGTACTTGGTGGCTCATCCCACTTAGTAAGTGGGTTATAACCCCAGTTATAAATGGGATAAGTAGGGTTAATCCACTTATAACTGGGGTTATAACCCACTTACGAGCCGTGGGATGAGCCACCAAGTAGTGGTAGAGGGGCGTAGTACTACATTGCAATCTGCAAAAAATGCACCCTGTGCCCGGAGGCGGGCGTTGCTGCAACGGGAATGTGAGGCACTTAGGGGATGCTTCGCTTAGCATGAAGCGCCGATAGTTGGCCGTTGCCTCTGAGGAAAACAAAGGTTACCATCTGGTTATGACTAACATAGCCATGGAAAATCCCAACCATAAATGGAGGTTTAGTTCGCTGGGAAAATCATCTATTTCTCTGGGCCATCTATACCACGGCTATGTTAAATAACCAGATGGTAATTACCCCAGTTAAAACTTATGGGATGATCCTCAAAGTACTTAGGTAGGAACCATTTCGCAAAATAATGGGGGAACTCGGGTGAGCAGCAGCAATGTTTTCACGGACACTAAGATCTAATAGAAGGGGACAAATGACGAAAAAAGATGCCAAAACGAACCAGATGACCTGGTCCGAATTGATCTTTTTCCCATGTTTGAATTGATTCATCCCATCACCTTACATATAACACCCTCCAAATGGTCCCAAATATGTGCTGGTTGGTGGTTTCAAACATGTTTTTTTCCATTTCATATATGGGATGTCATCCTTCCCATTGACGAACTCATAGTTTTCAAGATGGTTATTGCACCACCAACCAACCAACCAGTGTGTATATCTCCTCCTACACCATGCGTCTCGGGCCCAAGATTGCCTGGCTACCGCCTGAGGTCCGTCGAAAAAGCGCTTCGTTTGGTCGCCGAAAATGGTGTCGATGGAGCTGGGCCCTTAGAACCCGTGAACCACCACTGGTTGGTGCTTTGGTGCTTTGGAACCATGGAATGGATTACCCTCTGGTAAACTAACATAACTATGGAAAATCACCATTTTTTATGGGAAAACTCACTATAAATAGCCATTTTCAATAGCTATGTTAAATTACCAGAGGGTATGACTTTCCAGAAACAGTTGGGAATGTCATCATCACAACTGACGAACTCATACGAACTCCATGATTTTTCAGAGAGGTTCAAACATGTTCAAACCACATCAAACCACCAACCAGACCAAGTATTATGGATATCAATGGATATCGTGGATAGCCAGCTATCTAGAGGAACACTTCAGCAGAGGAAAGTGTCAAGGAAAACCTTGCCGTTGTTTTTTGCTCACGTTCTGGCCTTGCCATGATCGGCCACCTTAACAACATACCTGGCAAAAGAAGTTCATGGCATTGATTGGCCCAAACACGTGCCCAGAGCGCCAGTTGGGCTGCAATATCGCTAGATTCCTGTGTTGATTCACCCCAACTGGACCGGACATTTCGAGATGTTTGTGGATTTTTGGCCACCACCCAGCAGTTAGATTACATTAGTCAATCACTGAATGTCATGTATGTGAGTGTGTGTGTGTATTCTTATTTTTGTTCATTTTGAAGTGTATATCACTCATCACTCATTGTAACTCATGGTATAAGGTGGTGCCCCATAATTAGCTAAGTTGGTTTATAACTCTAAGAACTCTATAACTCTTTTTTTATTGTAGATATATCTAATGGGGGTTTTAACATGTTATAAAGCAATTTATAACTGGGGGCGCGCCGCCTTGATAGATGAATCTCACTTCAGATTCTCGATTGTTTCCTACGCTGCATCCAAGGCAGTACGCGGATGCCTCACGATGGGCTCGGCTGTCGAGTCCTGTGGTGCCAGGGCCCGGCGTTGAGCGAGTCCAGCAGAGTAGTATTTTAAAGATAGATAGTTAGATAGATTGACAGACTGACAGACAAATTATACGGACTTATATGTACATATTATATATACATGTATTTAAAATATATAATTATCCTTTTTGTTCATAACTAGCCATTTTATCCTAAAATTTGCAATGGAGCCTCTGGAGACTCGAGACGGGCCTCAGGTGCATTGGCTCATCACATCGTCAATGCTTCAGGCTGGGCACCGCCGGGGCCAGTGGACTGCCTGTACTTTTGAGATTTTTAGAGGATCGTTACTATCCCACTCCACTGATCATGATGCCACATGATGCCATCGTTAATCTTAAATCTGGTAATCTGGATCCATTTTTTTAAAATTTATGATATATTATTATATCCATGTACTCTTGGCAAACCCAATCATTTTTATCATAAACCTGTGTGGGGATATTGGGGGATGAAATCATAATAATCATATTATAAAATCCATGTTCCTGTCCTGACCCAAACTCTTCCGTAGCTTACATCCTCAGGTCTGGCTCTCGACATGCGCCAGGTTTGTCCCAGAAAGAGGCGAACTCCGTGGGTCAGCAGGTGGCTGCTCGTGTGGCGGCCGAACACGCCGCCCAGCACTCGGTTGATTCGCGTTACACACGGTTATGGTCCATATTATGGTCCACATTCCATCTCTACAGTTATGGCCATTTACCAGTTATAAGTACTTATAACCCCATTTATAGAATGTATAATCCCATTTATAACCAGTTATAACTAATAAATGGCCATAACGTCTACACTTGGTGCCTTGTTGGTTTATGGACGTTTTATGAAATTGATTGCTTTGCTCCAACCGTACCACAGTACCTGCTGGGGGTTTCCAGCACAAAAAAAACACAAATTCTTACCATGGGATTGGCCTCAGAATGTCCAGTTTTGGGAGCTGACCAGGTCCAAAACGGCGCTTCGCCCGACGAAGTGCAGGGGGCCCGGGTAGTGCTTTGCGATTTCAGGTTGTTTTTTCCCAAACGAAAGGAAACCCAGTCATGAAATGTCATGAGCATTTTTTTTTAATTATCAATTAGAATCCATTCATTGCTATAATTATTCACAAACTGTTTTCTGCTAAGAATTTGCGGTGTCTTTAGCCCTAAAAAAAGGTCGACCAACGGGGTCCCTTGGGGATGACTCTGATCAGATCATCCCCGGCCGGAGGACCCCGGGCATCTGTGGCCTAACCCTGCCAGAAACCATCAGATTTTAGCATTGGATTTGTTCATGCGCAGATTAGAGGTGTATTTAATATTGAAGATGGGATTATGCAGGTGTTCATCTCATTAACCTGCTATTTCGTTACCTTTTTTTTTGCTTAAATGATGTTATGTAAGTCCTTTCACATCCCTCTAAAATATATTAAATCACCATTACATAAATCACCATAAATTAGCCATTAAATCACCATAAATTGACCATTGCATCACCATTTATGACCATGCCCCCCACTCCATGTTCGGTCCACTCCCGAGGCGCACAGCTGCTGAAAAGGTGCAGAAACCGTGGCACACCAACTTGGCCAAAGAGCGAATCGCTTCGCACGCGGCAGTCACGACCTCACCATGGGTTCGGCTTGGGATTTTGTGAATGATCAAGGTGAGGCGCCTGCGAAATCGCTAAGTTGACGCAGATCGGTTAAGGTTTTGGGTTGATTAGGGGGATACAACGAACTAGCTCATGGGTTTATAAACCTACAAGTGGTCTCACCTTGTGAATAAGATGGTGGCGATTGAGCAGCCACAACATGGTGATGAAAAGCCGGAGGAACATGGAAATATATGGATACATATGATGATCTATGGATAATTTATGATTTTACGAAGAAACATACCTGAATATGACAGAATATTTTGGGAATTAGGTAATTTCACCATCAAACATGGGGATTTAATTAACAGGAACGGTGGTATAATTGTGTTGCAGTGTGAGAGATCAGGTTTCGGGAACTTTCATAATTTGGAGACATTCCAGTTTGATGGTGCTAAGTTCTTGCTTAAATCACGTTAAATCATGTGAAATCGTCATTTCCCTATGGTTTTCCATAGTTTTGCCGTGGTTTTTCCCATGGTTTTCCTATGTTTTCCTATGTTTTCCCATGTTTTCCCGTGGTTTTTGGGGGGCCTCGCATGGCCTCACCTTTTGTCTCCGAGGCCAAGGCCGTGGCTGAGCGGGCGGTCCATAGCTCCGCCACGGCGCGGCGCATCGGGCTGCAGGCCATTTGGGGTTCCCAAAAGTGAGAAGTGGATGATTTATCACTTATTAATTATGTACAATGTGGTACCCCCCCAGTTATAAGTTAGTTTATAACCCCCATCAACTATAGATATATTATATCTACCATAAGTCCTACTTATTGTAGTTATAAACCAACTTAGCTATCTATGGGGCACCATTATGTAATAGTGACTAAGTAACAACTGTAAACATCATTGGTCACTCTAATACTACAATGGGTGATTTATCAGGTGATGTATACTAATAGTATACCATACTACAAATATTATACCCTCTGGTAAACTAACATAGCTATGGAAAATCACCATTTTATAGCTGGGTAAATCAACTAATTTATAGCCATGTCCAATAGCTATGTTAAATTACCAGAGGGTATGTATTATGTTTCAACATAATATTAATCTTAGGTATTTATCATCGACTTATAATATCATAACACTTATATATATTATGTATTAATGGTGCTATCTCATCAGTTATAATATATTATAAATGTATTGTGATAAACCACCCACTTATGAGTATTATTAAATATGTGTTTGGGGGTACACTTTTGCTACTAATGGTACACTTATACTAGTAAACAACTTGATTAATGTATACATTATACTATTAATGGTATCAGTGGGTGGCATTGTAACATACAATATACTGTAATCATATATAAGTAATGATATGTGTTGATGGTGTGTATATATATATAAGTAATGCATTAATTACAGTAATGTATATAATAGTCGCTAAGTATATATGATGTATTACTGGTGTTTATCAAATAAAAGTGTTATTACAATCATAATTATGATTAATATAAGTATAGAAGTGATAATATATTCCATTTACCCTTTGATAAGCTAACATCATAACTAACATAAGTCATGAAATATGTTACGTAACATATGTTTATCATCCCATATATTCCATGCATGGTATATTTACCTATTTCCCATTAGGGTTTCATAGTAAAATATCCATTTAAATATAGTTAAATGTAGATATATCACCATAGAAAACCAGACATGCCCATGTCATTATAGTGATTATATCAATATATTTTCCCACAGATATATCACCCATGAAAAAAAACATGTAGGGATATCCCAACTTATGATATTATAGATGATATAGATGATACCTCAATTAAGTCAATGGCCATTCCAGGAACCCAAGTTGGAGGTACCTACCAATATATAAGGCCTATGTTTGACGGCTATGTAAGGGGATATACCACCAAAATATTGAAAAAAAAAACATCATAGAAAATGATGATGTTGTTTCTCACTGATGATGGTTTATCACTTATGATGTTATAACATAAGTGACAAGTGGAACAATCCCAACACGGAAAGTCCGAAAACATGATGATGTTTATTGATTTTTACATGTATCCTGTATCCCCCCATTTTTAGGAAACCTCCATTTATGTAAATTTAAATCTAAATCTATAAATCTAATCGAAATTGAAGTCTAACAATCAAACCGTAAATGGAATCCGATCCAATCTTTCCGTGGTGTCTTGAGTTTATTCGAGTGATGGGGGCAACTGGGCTTTGCAATTTGCACATTCGACCAATTCAACTCAACGGAACTCGTTTTAGTATCCAGTAAGATGGCTGGATTTCTTCGACAAACTGGCAGCTGCTGCGGCGTTGTTTTCAAGTGGGTGCCATTGCCCTGGCCTCGCGCCCGGAGAAATTTTGCAAGCGCCTTCCCTGCAGAGCCTTGGACCGCCTTTTCTCAGCACCAGATCAACTGACCGAAGCTTGCCAAGACATGCCAAGACGGGTGGAGGTTGTCCGGCCCTTCCCATCTTGAGATCCGCCGCGATCCTCAGATTTGATGGTGACCAGTTTTGGATCCCCAGTGTTTCTACAAATCTCATGATTCCACGGTGAAATGGTGATTTTTGCTGGTGAAATCGGCATGTTTTGGGGTTAATTCATAGTTCTTAGGAAACCCCGAAAAATGGTGATTCTTAAACCATGGGCTTTCCGTAGATTTTCACCTAAACCAATCCCTGGATTAGCGAAGGGTACCACAGCACCAGGTCGCTCAGGCTGCTGGTAGGTGGGAGCCCCAGTGGAGAGCCCAGAACTGGTGGTTGAACCTGCCAGAAATGGGGATTTAATGATCAAACACCTGCATGAATTATTGATTATAACTATACACCATCAAACATTTGGATTAATTGTTAACTCTTCCCATATACATCATCAAACATATGGATGAATTGTAGTTATGACCTCACTGTGACCGTGACGTCACTGGAATGATGTCTAGCCTCAATTCAACTATTTTCAGGGTGTGAATTATTCGAATTCAGCCAGAACTGTCTGGATTCACCCACTTGATAACTCACTTGGGAAGGGGTGTGTCCGACAATTGCCGGCAAAAGCCCAGTACATGGTGATTTCATTGGGAAAATGGATATAACAATGGATAAACAAACAAAGCTCCCCATTTGTCCCAACATGATCGAGTTTAATCACCAGTTTCCATTTTTCTGGGTTGGATCCCCATCTTCCCTGCCCTTGTCTTGGAATTCCCATTAGCAATCTGTGGGCTTTACCAGGTTAAGCCATTACAAACCCGTACTATTCAATTCCAGCATTCCAACAAAAAAACAACTCCATGAAGTTCCAGTGGAATGAGGTTAGATCCCAAGTGTTCTTGGTTGAGCAAATCACCATGATATTCTCTTGGTGAATTCCCTGTGTTTGCCGGTGGAACCACCGTGAAATCCCCATGTTTGCTGCGTTTTCAGCCCTGGTTTTCTCTAGCCTTTGCTACTTAAACCCCAATTTTTTTCATCAACGAATTCTAAATCCCATCATCCCATCCAAAATCATTAAAAAACATCATTTCTATAGGGAAATCTTGGGGAATCCCTTAAAACCCACCATGTTTTGCAGCTTCCCATGGGTCGATGTTTTCGCTTCGAGGTACATCTCAGGCCACGCCTCGGTAGCCTCAGCTGCTTGCGCCTGGGAGGTGGCCAAAATGGCAACAAGGGCAGCTCGGACGCAGCACGCCGATCTGGGGAACGGTGAGGGAACTTCCGAGAGGCGATTTGAGAGGGATTTCGCCAGATCATGGGAGAATTTCAATGAATTTTAGCCAGAAACTGGGATTTGGTGATTTCAACGGGACATTTTGATAGAATTTCAATGAATTTGATGATGATGATTTTTATCGGGGATTATAGATGGGGCTTATTGTTTGCAATTCTATCGTGAATTCGGGTTAGACACCAAGCTGTAACTGGTGGGCACCACCTTGTGCTAATATATCCCATAGGATCCATGGTGCTGCTATGGTAACATATGGTAACATGGATCCCATCAATATACCCCCTTTATGTTAGCATTAATATACCAGCACCATGGATCCTATGGGTATGATTAATGTGGTAAAGCCAGTGTAAACCATCCCCAATATCACCATCAAATGGGAACTTGATGGGGGCTCAATGGGATGGATATAGATGAACTTAATGATTAATTAATGGGAACTTGGTGAGATTGCATTGGAATTTAACATAATTTAACGGTGATTTATATGGGAACTTTTTTTGAATTGGATTTGGGTGATTTTAATTATGTTTAATGGGATTTTAATGCGGCTTGGTGGAAAAACGTAATGGTGAATTGGGAAATCACATGAATTTACATGCATTTACCTCGCCTGCAGTCGAGATTCCATGGTGATTTTTTCATAGGAACTTAATGGGAACCCAATGGGATGTATATGAACTTAATGGTAACTTAAAGGGAATTTCATGGGGACTTCGTGGGCTTTATTGGCATTGTGGATTTCATGGGCATTTGATGAGACCCTGAATTTTAGATTGATGTGGATGAAATTTAACGTTGGATGTTGGTTAATATTAGTTTGGATGGTCAATAGACATCAATAGCGGATATTAATTGTAATGAATGCTTATGCAAATTGAGTTACCATTGTTTGTCGCCAGCGGTTATCAGTGGTAACTGGGTTTGTCTAAAGTAGGCCTTTGCCAACCTTTCCCTTGAAGGGCGGGGCGCTTGCGGTTAAAGCATTGGATTATTTGGATCTTGGGTACGTTGTTTTCGGACGAGCCAACTCGTTTGTGAATTTATTTCTATAACAATATATAACAATCATCCAGGAAAAACAAGAAACACATTAACTGTGTTAGAATCGATGTCTGACATGCAGTGGCCAATTTAATATATGTGTGTTCTCTTTTTAGTGGTTGCTGTATTTCCAGATCATAGGAAAACAGATGACCAGTTGCGAATGAAGTTTGTACTATTTAGACATCAGATGATCAGTTGAAACAGGGTTGGTTTCTCCGAAAATCATGGAAATTGAAGTGGGCACACGCATTTTCTCAATGCGATGGAATGGCGCAGCCTACATTCAGACAAATCCTGGTTGGAGCTTTGGAACATGTTTTATTTTGCCATTTTTGTTGGGAATAATCATCATCCCAAGCGACTCATATTTTTCAGAGGGGTAGGTTGAAACCACCAAGCAGTTAAGTAACTAAGTATGATAATCACTGGGATTAAACCACACAAACATATACTAACCATATATATATATATATATATATATAGGGTAGGTTGAAACCACCAAGCAGTTGATGTCCTCAGGATGAGATCCCAAGGGGATTCCCCCCAAAGGGGACCCAATAGATGACTCAGCCCTTGGTGAATCGGTGACTGTTGGACCGAGGCGTCCATCCCGGGACGCGCCTTGGTGAAAGAAGCCTTGGGTGCAATTCCAGGGGCTTGGACACTCAGGGGGTGAGGCTTGAAATTCGGGGCTGCTGGGTATGATGGCGGCATTTTTAAGGGGAAACCAAACCGTGATATACAGTGTATACAGTGTATACAGTGTATACAGTGTATACAGTGTATACAGTGTATACAGTGTATACAGTGTATACAGTGTATACAGTGTATACATTGTATACATACATACATACATACATACATACATACATACATACATACTCTAACTCCATATGTTGTTTTATTAAATGTTTTATTTCATTTTGTTATATATTTATATATGTATATATAGGAGGCTTTTTGTTCCTTCCTCAAGGAAAGATTGGCGATGTGTGTTGCGAGCTTGGAACCTTGCAACATGTGGGCGAGAGTAATGAACTGCCTGATGTCCCGTGCAGCCGTAGCAATCAAGCCCCACGTCACGGGCCTCGTCAAACAAGTTTCTGAGCCGTTGCCGGAAGCGACCGGACCGGTGCAACTTGGCTGCATGGAACGCTGTGCCAAGATGGCAAACTCACCACAAGGTGAAATATAGGGCCACCTTTTTGTTGAAGCTAGGGACAAAGGTTTTTATAGATGTCCTTCTCAGTCACAGCAATAAACGGGTTGGATCTAAAAAAGGTCCTCCAAAATGAATAGGACACTAAACAACGATTTCTTTGAATACTGTTCATATTTGAGTGGGAAGGAGTTGTGTTGTGTCATTCATACCATACTTGTAGCGACACAGAAAACGGCCCCACAATACCAACGTGGAGATTCAGGGGTCAGCTCAGCAACGTTGCCTCAGGCATGAATCGATATGCCTGGAGGTTATGACTCCATACCGGGTGCAGGACAGCGGGGCATTCAGCTGCCCTGACATGTTGCAGGCCCTACAAGTAATCACGTTCGCTCAGAAACACTTCTCATCCATGGTATTCCAACATTTTTTGTGAGTCAAAAAGCTGGTGTTTTTTCTTCTGGTAGTAGGTGCGATTGTTTTTTGGCTTGTTGAATGTCTCAAATGTGCTACGTCTCGTCATCTCTGCAGGAGTTTCAGATTGGCTTTCAGGCAGGATGGGTGTTGGGTCCTGTCCCTGTCACTGATTCTGAATGTGCCCGTGGCGCAGGTTTGTGGGACACTGCGGGTCTAGACGCGGGGGCCCTAACTTGCTCTTGGTTTGAGGAGCACAGGGTCAATGTGAAGTGCCACCACGGCAGGAAACATGAAATGACATGGACAAGATTCAACAAAAATATTGGGAGAGGAACTGCTGACGGAAATATACGGAAACTGAAAAATTGGATATGTACAATCACATAACAGCTTGGATCACATTGCTATGTGCATCACATGTTTTTGCATTTTGACATTTTGACATGTTCTAATTGGCACCTTCTCGACATGACTGCAGTGATCCAAGGACACGGCAGATGGAGACGAAATCCGACTTGCCCAGCGACTGGGTTTGTGTTGTGGGGTTGGGTTCCTGGTTGCCATGATTTGAAATGGTCGAAAATCTCATGATTTTCTCATGATTTCCTATATGCTTGAGGGTCTATATGTCTATGAAAGTGAGGTGAAAAATGGGCAACCCCAAAAAGAAAACCTCCGGATGGTTCAGATCCTAAGTCTCAAGATGGTGATGACTTGGGGATGGTGACTATGGCATTGGGTTTACTGGGCTTACCACATAAAGTGGTGATGTTGTTGGGGTTGATTGGGAAAAGCTAGAAATCGTTGAGAGTCGCCATGACTTGCCATATACTTTGAACGCGCAACTCGGAGTGAAGCCGATCAAAGGGAGCGCAACTTGCCGTTTTTTTTCGTTTGATCCAGGTTGATGGGATTTTGTAGGATGCAGCTTAAAAATGCCACGTGCTATTATCTGATTGAAGATGTGGCATCCCGTGGCAAACAATCTGATAAACAGCCAGGTTTCCCAACCTTTCCTGGCACAGCCAGGGAAAGCCCTGAATTTCGCTCGTGAGGTCACCGCAGTGGGGCCTCACAGTGCAGCCCAGCTTTTTCTCCGCACCTGAGGTGTGCGACGTGCCGTTGCTATGTGACAGCCTGATTTGCACAGATCCAATGAGATTTTCACATCTCAAAAGAGAGCACCTGGAATCAGATTACCCTCTGGTAAACTAACATAACCATGGGAAATTACAATTTTTAATGGGAAAATCCACTATAAATCACCATTTTCAATAGCTATGTTAGTTTACCAGAGGGTATATATAAGTGCGATCATTGAGTGAACAGATATGAACATCTGAACATGTTACTGCTATGTGTTATAAGGACGATAGAACCAAGATAATGGAATGGCAAACTCATAACAAGTGGAACAAAACATAGTCGTGGGATTGAGTGACATGATCCAAAATGGTCGCGTTCACCGGCGTTGGTCGCGTTGCAAGGTGGTGGTCCAACAGTCGGGTCTCTGCAAGTGGATCAGAAAACTCGACGGCACCGTTGCACTGGCGGCCAAGCCGGACATGGTCTTGACCGTCGAAGGATATCTTGGAACGGGCCACACGCGAATCGTGGTCGCGTGCCCTGTTTGCAAGTATTTTGTTTTTGGATTGCAAGGATGTTTTGATATTTTTTGTCTCCCCTCCTAATTGCAGGGTTGTTTCTAGGGAGAGGAGACTGGATCAAGTAATTAACACATATCACACAGAGTATCATGAAGATTCGCGGAATCCTTACTGCTAAAACCCCCAAAAAGATAGAAAAGTGACTGATGTATCACTATTTCGGTGAGATTTCATTACAGACTCTATCTTTTTGGTGTTAAATTTGCTATACATGATTCGTTCTCCAGCTTACCTTGGGATTGTGCGGGATGGCTCGCATGGCCTCTTTCCGCAACTCAAGCGAACAGCGCCATCCAGCAGGGATCCAACATAAGATCCTCCGGGATAATCCCCACGAACTTTTGATCCCATGACGGATCCAAACGGTGCTGGTATATTAATGCTAACATTGATTGTATATTGATGGGATCCATGGAGCACCATATATAGCAGCACCATGGATCCGTCATGGGTACCATACATTATACCATCTGGTTATGACTAACATAGCCATGGAAAGATCCACCATTTTTAAGTTCGGTAAGCCATCTCTAAATGGGTCATCTATACCATGGCTATGTTAGTCATAACCAGAGGGTAAATCCCATTAGATCACCATTAAACCACCATAAAGATACCCATCTATACCATGGGTTTTGATGGCTTTAAACCAACATAACACAACATAACATGTAAATCCAGGGACCACGTCGACCCGACCCATCGATCCTCAGGACGGCGGGCAGCGTGGCGCCACCCGCCGTGATGTGGAAGATCGATGCGGAGGGACGCATCATGTGGCTGGGACGGAGCCGGATTACCACGATGTGTTTGCAGCCATAGAACGATAACAGGATGTTTTACCTCATGGTCTTAGTCCTTTTCCCATTTTTGTTGGGTATCTGGAGGTCTAGTTGAGTGAATATCCAGATATGATTGATGTGATCATCTATACTTAGGATTAGATAATTTATATATGTTTATAATTGACCCATCAGGGAAACAGCCAATCTAGAATATGAATCTACATGACCTTGATAAATTTCTACATGACCTGGATAAATTATGTTGCGACCTCAGGTCGTGAAGTCTCTGGAACGATTACTGGAATCATCCCGAACATGGCCGTATGATAGCGGCTATTTTCAGGTCAGTGAATTCTTCGAATCCAGCCCTTGGGCTCTCTGGATTGCATGAATGGGCATGACATATAAAGTGGGGCCCCCTAGATAGCTAAGTTGGTTTATAACTCCAATAACTATGGTTTATGGTACCTATAACTATAGTTAATGGGGTTTATAAACCATCTTATAACTGGGGGGCCCCACATTGTACCCTACCCACAAAGTACTTGACACCAGCATGGATTTGGGCAACTGCTTTGGGACGATGAATATCAGCGAATGATAAGCCCTTACTGGTAGCAGTTGGTTATAGCTTATGGCTGGACATAGCTGGCTTGATTATATAGTCATAAGTTATGACTATATAATCAAGCCAGCTATGTCCAGCCATAAGATAAGCCCATCTAAGTCATAGGTATATACCATCATTTGGTGGTAGCTCCATTTACAGTTGTGGGGGCACTTTTCATGCGAGGTTGGAACACTCGCCGGACTTGGGTCTGAGCGTACCATATGGTAAGTTCGAAAGTGGAGCTCCGGTGATTCTCTCCAATGTCACTGTGGCTGGTGAGAACAACAAATTTCGCCTCAACGTACTTGGGCTGCATCACAACTTGGGACGATGCATTTGAATTCAAATCAAAGCCAGCTAGTCTTGCTGGAGTCGTTTACTATACACACATATATATATATGATAAAGAAATGATGACATGAATTCCGACCTAGTTCAATTACGCATCTTTTATCATGTTTATGTTTTTTTACCCACAGGACGAGGGGTTGTCCCGAAGGGACAACCCCTCGTCCTGTGAGGGTATGGCCCGGAGGGCCATACCCGAGAGCGGGGCTAGCAACCCATTGGTGCCAGGGGATTTCCTTGTCATAACAACAGTGACGTCCTACGCATACTTCTACTAGGGGTTTCATTTAGGGTTTACGTAAGTTATAAAATCTCCCGGCCCCATGGAACATATACGCATACTTCTATTAGGGGTTTCATTTAGGGTTTACGTAAGTTATAAAATCTCCCGGCCCCATGGAACATATACGCATACTTCTATTAAGGGATTTCATTTAGGGTTTACGTAAGTTATAAAATCTCCCGGCCCCATGGAACATATACGCATACTTCTATTAAGGGATTTCATTTAGGGTTTACATAAGTTATAAATTCCGGGCTCGCCAAAGAAGTGAAAAAGATTGAAAAAGTGGAAATGGCAGAAACGTGTGAAGTCCGCAGAGGGTTCACTTTTCTGACTGATTTTTCCAAAAAGTCGTCTTAGACCACGCTAACCCACAGATGTACCAGAGTCGTAGAACACTGCGCCTGCGCAGAGAAATGAGCTTCCCACTGACGTTCATGCGACCATTCCGGGACAACCCTCAGTCCTGCCCGTTTTTTAATACATTCTGTTATATTATGTCCATATCATGGGGGTGCTGCAATGCTTCCCAAGTAGCGTCACGGGATGTCACGGCTCCCAGGCTGCAAGTGGTGGCAGTTTGCAGGCAGCGACCCCCAGCAAACTCCGAATCTCTGGTAGCAGCGTCTTGGTGGAATGTCGTGGAGAAAAACGGGCGCCGTGGTCTGCGAAAAAAAGGGCCAGGCGGCTTACGTCATTTGAGTCAACAACGGATAAACATGGCCGAAATATGTAGCAGAGGAATTTATTCGTTCAATTCCCAGATGCTCCATGGTGCTGGAATATTTACCTACAAAACTGTGCCATTTTTGGGGTAAACGTAGGTAAATATTGCAGCACCATGGAGCATCTGGGATTCTATTCAAGCATATTTGCCGGAGCTCCATGTCAACATGTCAATTTTCACCAGGTAGCAGCTCCCCAAAATGGGTCCATGTCAACCATCCCCCGAAACTCCAAGATGCTGTTCATCTAAATTTCAGAAGAATCCTTCCAAACGACGGACATCCAATGGAAGCACTTTACATTCCATTTCTGTATGCCTGTATGCAATTCAAAAGTAAAATCGGCAAAGGCCACCTCCATAGTTCAACTATGTCTAAGGTACCCTCGTTTACATAACTATGGAAAATCACTATGTTTTCATGTGGTAAATCAAATATCAATGGGCCATGTTCAATGCCAAACTGTTAGTTTACCAGAGGGTAAAACCGCCCAGGAGGAGATCCCAACACCCTGTGGACTTCGCTCACTGGAGCCATCACTTACCAGCAGGGCTACATCGCTATTTCGCAGGCCATGGTGAAGCTGCCTTCAAAAATGGCTTGGCCCCAACGGTTTTAAGGTGATTGTACTGCGGTTATGATGAGTCGGTTAACCGGTTGGTCTGATTTTCGTGGGGGAAATGAGGTTTTAGCCCTGCAAAATGGCAAGTTGAACGTGGAAAATCATCAAAGAGGACGTTTTGAACACCTTAATTTTTGGACAGGCTCATTTGGCGGGTGTTGGCTGTATCATGAGAAACTAAGCCGCGGCTGGGGTCACAAGAAGTCAGAGCATTTCTTGGAGATTGAATCCAGAGGTCACATGAGTTGGGTTAAAATGGAGCAGAGATGAGCAGCATGAGGGATAATGACAATGTTATATATATATATTTATGCATATATATATATTATATTTATCATATCATAGTATATTACTATGATAATATATATATACATGTTTAAATGTAGAAGACAATTACATACTGTGCCGTAGCTATGGCTAGACCCAAGTGCTGTACTATTCAAGGGGCCGCAACAGTTGACAATGGGCAGGGTTTGACTTATCCCATAGTTTCAACAATTCTAAGGCGTTCCGCCATATATTTACCGTAGCTAGACTTCCTACTTTCTATCTTATTAGTTTTTAGAACTTGATATGACCATACATGACCGTACTTATATCCATGTATATATATATATATATATGTGTGTGTGTGTTTTACTATCCCATATATTCCCATGTAGTTCTTAGTTATATAACTACGTCTTTACCGTCATATATTTAGCTTAAACAGTATCCGGGAATCCTCCAAGCTTTTCCACAGTCTATCACCATACATGGAGATGTTTGTGTCCATCACAGTGGAGAGCTGCAGGCTTACCGCGACGCTGACTCCTCTTGGGCGTATCTGGGCCTGAGTCGGACGTTGCTACCCCACTTGGGTGTTTTTGAGATGCACCAGTTATTGATAGTTGGGTCATCCAATGATTTGTAGGGTTTCAACATGTTTCAACCGTCCAAGGTGGTGCCGGATTTCCATCCACAGTATGTACTGAAAACGGAAAACCATAGCAAGCATGGAAGATGTCCCATGTTTTTTCCCTATACCAAGCCAACTGAGAGGTGCCAATTTCCAAGATTTATGCAATTAATTCCTAAGGACTGGTTGGAGCTCAATAGTAAAGCAGATCTAATTGATGGGATGGCCGGATGGTCTATCTAACATCCTGCCAAAGGAGCATGAACCATTTCCGCAACTTATTTTTGGCTGTTGTTTCGGTGTTTCCCAACATATCCCAACATCAAAACAACCAGACCCACACTCCAGCCATCGCCAAGGTATGTGACAGAGAATCCACACCATCCACAAATTGCGAGCTTCGTGAAGGAGCCCTGGGGTTCCAAAGGCTTCCTTTTGAAGCTAGTGGAGGGCAAGGGCAAGGCCAAGAACGAGCCACGACGCCTGGATCAATAGCCACAAGCTTTGCAGCCCTGCGTTGTTGAAGGATCATGTCTCTGCATGTCCCACTATCATGTAATATTTCAGGAGCTTCTAGCTGTGTTTGTGAACCTTTTTGGGCTAGTGACGCTGTGCTCGTACGGGACCTTTGTGCGTGTGCCCCATCCTCACATCACCTCTACTGCCAAGGCTATATGTCTTGCATACTGTGCCTTGCTCGCAAAAATGCCGGCACTTCAATTAAGGGATAATAAAACCAACAGACACAGCAGCTGGGATTCCCAGCAGCTGGACTTCCCAGCAGCGTATTTGATGTCCTGACCCCAAGCGCCCTGGCCATCCGCCTTGTGGCCAAGGGATCTCACGGACGACAGAAGAGACGAGAACTCAACCTGGGTCTATGTGCCTTGTCCATCTTTGTTCCATCTGGACACCAGAGTTTTGCTCGTTGACCGGCCTACATGACTTCGTTGATGCTGGCATATCCCATGACGGATCCATGGTGCTGGTATATATGCTAACATTGGGGATATATTGATGGGATCCATGTTACCATATATAGCAGCACCATGGATCCGTCATGGGTATGCTGGCCATTCAGACTGCTATGGGTTGAGCATTGCGAATCCCATGGGTTTTGGATGGGGCCATGGGGTTCCCATGGCCAGGTGACCAAAAAGAGGACTCTGGCCTCCGCCTTCGAGGAGGAATCTACCAAGGAGGGCTTGGTCCTGAAAAGTGGCAGCAGCTCCTTGCCGACCTGGCAGATGCTGGAGACTGGAGAGACTGGTGCCTGGGGAGGTTGAACCTACCAGGGATTTAAGGGTATAATGACATATAATGACTATGGCAAGCCAAAGTAATTTGCACTTTTGTTGATTTCAAATGTGTGCGAGCTTTCCATTCTTGGAGATGAGATGACAAGAAAGATTGAGCATATGCTTCAAGTGAATGCATGTGTTTTTCTGTGCCAAAGATAGCCAAAGTCATTTTATAGTTGTTTTTGTTGATGTTGGGGTAAAATACACACATATATAATCATGCGTGGGAGAAATGAAGCAGCTTGTTGATACCCTTGGCTGCTGACACTCCTGTCTACCCTGGTGGCGCGGCTATTTTCACTCGCCCTTAGCTCAGCTGAACTCTTCGAGAAGGCGATGGAGAGAGATATAATTATATATATATATCTCTCTCTCTCTCTACGGTTTTGCTCTAGATTGAAACCACCAAAATCGACCGCTGTGCGTTCAGGTTACCTTTGTTGCGCCAAGTTCAAAGATCGGCCCACGGAATTTGGCAGCGACTACACCTGGTTGTGCCTTGATACTGCTGTCAGAGGGGTGGTAGTCGGTCGGAAGGTGCCAAAAGGCGGAGCTGGAAAGAAATTCGATGGGTGGTAAGTGAATGAATTCTGGTGGGTACTGGTAGGTTTTTGCTTCTTAAATATCTGGTTGGTGGTTTGGAACATGTTTTATTTTCCATAATATATGGGATGTCATCCTTCCCATTGACTTTCATATTTTTCAAGATGGTTGAAACCACCAACCAGATATGTTTGTATTTTTTTGAACCCCCCAGTGAAGAAACCTTGGGATGCATAGCAAAATGTCCAGGATCCCCCTTCCTGGAGTATCAAGCCTGGGGCTGGTTACACTTCCCTTGGGCTCCTAGTCGATTGATGAGGATAGCAGCCCTGGGTGAGAACAGAGTTTGTGCTTTGGGTTTTGTGACCGCTAGAGGTCCCAAGTGCGCCTATAAACTTGCCTGAAACCTGAAACCATCCAAAAATGGGATTAAAGTTGTGTTTACGATTGGTGTTGGCATGTGTTGGCCGGGTTTGGCCAGGTTTTTTGCTCTCATTCTTTCCTTTTTCTTTAATCTTGACACCTGCTCATGTTCCAATATTATTTTCATCTATCTTTGAAACATATTATTTGATATCGAATCTGATCCAATATTTGGCCCGATACTCTCCGGCAATTTAAGAGTGTGCTATTGAACATTGCCATTTATATGCCGTTGATTTACCCACATGAAAACACGGTGATTGTCCATAGTTATGTAAACGTTTACCAGGCAATCACCCTGGTGGAATTTCAATTTCTCAACCCCCCCAAGGTACAGTGTGCACAGCAGCCACCTGGCGGCCTGTGTCGTGGTTGAAGCATTGCCCGACGCCAAGCAGGACGGGGAGGTTTCCACGGTTTTTTTTGATGACCTCACTGTGACCAGAGTTGATTCAATTACATTGAAATTTAAGGTGGTGCCCCATACTTAGCTAAGTTGGTGCATTTAACTCTAATAACTTCTATATTTATTGTAGATATATCGAACCAGTTAATGATACTGATACTTAATGCTGGTTATAAATAAACCAGTTTTTAACGGGTGGGCACCACATTGTACCATAAATCATCATTATGAATCTGGATGAACAAAAATAATGACCTCATTGTGAGGTTACTGGAATGATGATTAGGGTTCGGGGAATCATCCCCAAATTGCGGCAAGTTCGGCCATTGTCCAGCCAGAATTCATGTCCACTTGACACATTTGAGTAGCATCAAGACTTTACGCGCTTTAGGGAATAGAGTTCTGCCGGATGTTTCCGGATGGTGCGAACTTCTGCATACATGGCCTCTTTATCTGCACATCGTTTCGATGTCCAGCCTGCAGGAGGAGCCCTGGTGGAAGGCCTTCTTACGGAAATATCAAAAACACATTCAGCTGTTTCTCATCCTCCTTGGAGTGTTGGCTGCTTGACCTGGGCACTGGGTGCTTGGAGTGGTTCTTGAATGTGGTTGATTTAACGCGCCTGGTTTCCCAATCCATAACTTTGGGAATCTATAGGGAAAATGTGTTTTTGTTTTGTGGGGGGGTCCTTATGTCTAAATTTGGCCTATCATGGCCTATCCAATAGGAACACCATGCTCCAGATCCCCAGTTTTGGGGGTTCCACATTCAATTTGGGAGGTGTACATGTTGGTGAAGAGTGCTTGGGGTGAGGTTGATTATTTTGAAGTGGTTCATGTGTTGTTCTTTTTCTAAACTACCCAGCTGAAAATTGAGCGCGTTGCACGTTTGGTGTCTAGGATTGATTCACCATTTAAACATCTCATGCGCGACCCAAGCTTCTAGATTCTGCGGGGGTCCTAGCATCAATCAATACTGGAAGAATCGGTTTGCAAAGAACATTGTGCCTTTTAGTAGCTATGTTTCTTTGGGTTCCTTCCCAAAAAAAGGGTCGCTTGAGTGGCTCTACCAGCCACCTGGCCCTACCTTGGACCTTGCCTTTGTTCAGTGATGCGATCAGGTTGTCGTTTCAATCATATTGGCGATCTCTCAGCCTTCTCCGGCAGCCAAGATGCAGTTCAGCGGGCAGATGGATGGAAAAAAACTTCAAGGATGGATCAGCATATGCCCATCATTTGGTGAAAGTGGGGGTTTCGAGCTACAGCAACCCCAAAAAAGATAGACAAGTAAAATCCCAGCTGAAGAGTGGCACATCATTTTTTTGAATATAAGATGATCTAACACTGTCAACGTCATAGCTGCAAACAAAAACGACATTCATTCTACAGCAATGTGGGATCCACAATGACAAACAGGCGATGGTTTATTGCAAAGACCATGCATTATCCCATAGGAATAGCCTCCCCCAAAAGACAAACGACATTCATTACCACTTGCCCACATTCCTAGACATAATTTTAAATAATTGCATAACGTATATGGTTGATCCCACATGAAAATAGTGGTATATATATACATATATATATATATGTACATACATACATCATGGGCCTGGCATACGCCAGGTGAAAAATGCCTAAAAAACTTGGGACGTTGAGCGCCAATCTTCCAGACAAACCCGACGATATATCCCATAGTAATAGGGACCATGATGGGTCAAAAATCTCCAACCAGCCACGGCGTCACGGACAGCCGCCGTGCACCGAGCAGGCACGGGATGACCCGCTGCAGATTATCGTTCCGCACCTTTCTGCAAGATGTCCTCCGCTGACCTCAAAATGAATAGATCCACCGGTGATTTCGTGAATCTATGCGGTTGGCGGGGATGATTTCCTTTTCATCAGCCAGACTTTTCATGTGTTTCATACTTTTCATATCATTTAGTTGTCTTTTTTTCCGTTTACAAGCAGGCAAGGCCAATCGAATCAATCATATACAATAATAACAACATGTTACAATCATTTGGTCACTCCCTTTGGTCACCGGTTTGCGGAAGGGTCCCCAGGGCCCCCTGCTCGGGGATAGGTATGACTGCAACCACCAGCCGGAACGCATGTGGTCCAACACCAAAACGAAGCTTGGCCGTGAACCCCCTGTTTTCAAACATGGCAAGGATCCCAAGGCGATTACTCTTGATCCATTACACAAGTGGGGATGGATCAACAATGATCAACACCTTACACAAGTGGGGATGGATCAACAATGATCAACACCTACCCTTTGGTCAACAAACATAACTATGGAAAATCACCATGCTATTAATGGGTAAATCCACTATTTCTATGGCCATTTTCAATAGCTATGTTAAATTACCAGAGGGTACCATATTTGGGGAATAAACATCCATTGGCCGGTACCTAGCTGACTAGGTACCCAAGGTCGGAGGGTTTTGACTCATAGCCAAGTGTGAATGTATTTATGCCGGTTTGATGCCTTACAGCTTTCTTGGATCAATGGGGAGCAACCGTTCCGAAGAGCGAGCTGAAATGGATGCACATGTTTCCGAATGTTACCATAGTGGATGCATTCCACTTTGCACCTGATTTGGCTAGACAATTGTGGCCAGTTCGTCAATTTCGTCATGTTGCGCATGTTTGATTCAGACCCACTAGCAGGTTTCAAAACGAGTGCATCCATGAAACCAAAAAAAAAGACCACAAGGCCATCAGGTTTCTGGTAGTGACAGTGTTTGATCCTTCTTGGAATCCCAAGTTGGAAAGTGGGCAGAACATGTCAGAACGGGTCACACGCCGAACTTGTGCGATCAAACCTGGCAGAGTCATTCGAGTGGATACCAATTGGATACCCTCCCTCAAAACAATCCGTATACCGATGATGCCCCAAAATTCCTTACACCTTGAATGCCAAACAGTGTTGGAAGATGATTTTCCTCTTCCACGTTCGATGTCGAGCCCATCAATAGAGACAGGGCCATAACATGCTATAACCAAGACATCTGGAATTCCAGTGGTTGAAGGGGTTGGGTCAAAATTGGGCACCCGAACAGTTACTACGCATCTTTTTCCTATATTGATTTGTTGAAAACATGGCCAAGATAATTTTATTAGTCTCCCATCTCGCAACATTTAAGTGCGACTTGTGGACTTTCATGACGTTCTTCATTGGGTGTACCACACTTAAAAAATCCTTCAAATTCCAGGGGGGAGTCCATTCCCCCCGTGCCATCAGGGCTTGGTGTTGCAAGCACCACACTCTGGGGTGCCCAACCACGGAAGCTCCGGCCCGCGCCCCTGTCGGGGGAGTGCCTAGGTGAAATACCACCGCTCCGGTGGATGGTGGGTCAACGGTGGGATTTCTGCTGAAAAAAAAGGGGGATATGCGGTTGAAGTACCCAGCTTTAAGGCAACACAAACATCCCACCAAACAAACAACCGCGCTTGCGGTTCTTCATTCCCCACCTGCCAGGTGAGGGTTGTTAGATTTTATGTCAGTTGCTTCCTCCTCGTCCTCCTCGTCCTCCTCCTCCTCCTCGTCCTCCTCCTCCTCCTCGTCCTCCTCTCCTCCTCTCCTCCTCTCCTCTCCTCTCCTCTCCTCGTCTCCTCTCCTCTCCGCCTCCTCCTGCTCAACCGCGACCCTCGACGCACAGTGTTCTCTGTCGGACGTCAACCACGACCATCCATTCCAGTGTTCCCTGCCGGACCTCAACCATCTCCGCCCAGTGTTCCCTGTCGGACCTCAACCACGACCATCCACGCTCAGTGTTCCCTGCCGGACCTCAACCACGACCATCCACGCCCAGTGTTCCCTGCCGGACCTCAACCGCGAGTATCCACGCCAAGTGTTCCCTGCCGGACCTCATGTAGGAAGATATGGGACAAAGAATGTGCAGAAGGAAGTTAGAAAGAATGTCAGAAAGAATGTCAGAAGATATGCCAGAAGATATGCCAGATAGAATGCCAAATAGAATGCCAGATAGAATGCCAGAAGATATGTCAGAATATATGCCAGAAGATATGCCAGATAGAATGCCAGATAATATGCCAGAAGATATGCCAGATAGAATGCCAGAAGATTTGCCAGATAGAATGCCAGAAAATATGCCAGAAGATATGCCAGATAGATATGTCAGAAGATATGCCAGAAGATATGCCAGAAGATATGCCAGAAGATATGCCAGAAGATATGTCAGATAGAATGCCAGAAGATATGTCAGAATATATGCCAGAAGATATGCCAGATAGAATGCCAGAAGATATGTCAGATAGAGTGCCAGAAGATATGCCAGATAGAATGCCAGAAGATTTGCCAGATAGAATGCCAGAAGATATGCCAGAAGATATGCCAGATCATATGCCAGAAGATATGCCAGATAGAATGCCAAATAGAATGTCAGAAGATATGTCAGATAGAATGCCAGAAGATTTGCCAGTAAGAAAATGTATAAATGTCATGGTGGGGATCACACGAAGTAAAGTATCTTTTTGGAATTAACATGTGCTTGGTGCATCTTGGCGCCGTAGTCATTTCACGATAGAATTTCAGCTTGAGAATCCCAGAGATAATTCATTCCATTGGTTTTTGGAGGGCAAAACCTCCTCAAAGCACGACAGTGTTTCTTCTCTCATCACTTCAGTCGATTTCTCAAAGCGTGGCCAGTGATTGACATTAGGTCTTTCTTATCACTATTCAGCATTCAGCATGTAGCATTCAAATCTCACAACGTAGCATTCAGGATGCTGGAAACTGCGAGAGAAGATCTCACAATTATAGCATTCCCTAGGCGTGCGAAGACACGAGAACGTACGTAGTGCAAAGCAACAGGAACCTTATTGGCCCCACCCCGCCCCCACCGCACCCCAGCCCATGCTCAACCAGGACAGCCAGCTGGATGTGCGACAATGTTCACAAGACATTGGCTATTTTGTTGGCGGACAGTGTTTGCCATTAAGAACGCTTTGGTTTCGAACTGGTGAATCATTATGAATAATTAGTATACCCAGATGCTCCATGTATGGAATATTTACCTACATTTGGGTGATTTTTAGGGTAAATGTAGGTAAATTCCAGCACCATGGAGCATCTGGGATATGTTAGCCTCATTGTATGTTAATGGCATTTGTCATAATTATGAATAACTATCAATGAATGGTGAATAATTAGCGTTAGCCTCAGTGTATGACATTGAGTAGGGAAAATGATTGTCAACCCTTCTCAGCCGCGTTGCGCAGCTGAGGTGCCTGGGGTACCTGGGACTGCTGGGACCATGTTAGCTCCAAAAACCGCGGATGATGATTGCTTCACGGACGTTCTCAATTGGATTCTTGACGGGAAAGGAGTTTGACCGGAGAATTTCTTGTTTTAATAATTCATATAAACTCTTCAAGGATCGTAGTTCTTGATGTTTCTTGTTTTAATAATTCTTCAAGGATCGTATAAACTATAGTTATTTCGATATGTTGGTCCCTAGTGCTTGGATTCTTTGCACAAAAGATACTTGCAAACAAGATCGGGTAGGTCTATATCTGCATATCTATGTTTGGGAAAGATTATGAAACCTCCTGAGCCAATGTGCAAAATGAAAACGCTTCAACTTCAGTGGTTTTCGGCGAACCATGTGAATTTCTGAACTTGGCAACATGGTTTCACGTGGTAAACCCACTGCCCACTGATAAACTCCATGTAGCCCCCAAATGGTGAAATTGTGCTGGTTCGCTCTTGGGCCTACCATATTGGCAGAGCAACTGAGGCAACGCGATTGGACCATCAGCCTCTTGGCTGGAAACGGCTGCAGGCTGCTGATGTCACTTGGAGATCTTGGGGGAACCAAGGTAAGCAGAACTTCTGCTGCGAGAAGCATGGCATCGCGTGCAAGGCTGCTCTGACCACACCAGCCTTCAACTGCAATGAAGACTACCACAGCTGGTTCCTGACCTGCATAGCCAGCATGGGGCTTGTGGTATGCCTTGGGCTCGTGAATTTGGCACCAGATATAACACCCCACCAGTGGCCCAAACAGGACCAAACCCCATCCCAAACCCCAAAAGAAACCAAGGACAGCTCTTTTTTTTGCAGGCAGATGACCAAACTGTCAACGATCACCAATCTCAGACGTGCCGTAGATGGCACATTCGCTCACATGCAAACCGTTTTTGGGATCCATGATTCGTCTGAGTGCATCATGGTAAGGGGGATCATCCCAACAATATCAATAACAGCTTAGTCCGAATTTGGGATATTGTTAGCACATTGCTGGCTTATCCCACAAATGGGATACCCTAGGGTAAACTAACATAGTGGAAACCCCATGGATTCCTTAGGAAAACAGTCTACAACTAGTGCCAGATTTTCCACGTCCAACTGTCAGTTTACCCCAGGGTGTGTGGTGCTTCAGGCCATATTTTGCCGGGATATTTCCTTACATCGCCCAAAGACATAGGTACCTCCAATAAATTGGTTCCTGAAATGGACATTGAAAAAAATGGATACCCTCTGGTAAACATACAAAAAGCCATGGTATAGATGGCCCATTTATAGATGATTTTCCCAGCTATAAACCTCCATTTATGGTTGGGATTTTCCATGGCTATGTTGAATAACCGGATGGTAGTTCATAATGAAACCCCACTGAGCTAATCCCGGGACCACCCGCCATTCCCATTTGCCTTAGTCGTCCTCAGGACAGAGCGCTGGTCCTATCGGACACTTGGCGGTGGAGGTGAGGCAGACAACGTGGATCTTATAATGCTCCCCCAACATGGTGAAATGAGCATTTCCAACATATATGATAGATAGATATATATATATATAGGTCTATATCAACTGACTAAGCACTTTAATTGAATTGAACATGTCCAACATATATTTCTAACATAGAGTCATAGAGTATAATTACATACAGTATCATGTAATTCTATTAAATCAATTGTATATAACTAACTTTTGAACCCCTAACAATGAATGACCCAATAATGTGCTCCGTTTTTTTGGGGGGGGTATGGTGCTGTATTCATCCAAGATCCACTGGACAATACTCGCCTGGAAATGGGAATCCCCAGAACGGCAGAGACAAAAAGGGAACATTGCTCGAATGGGTCTGGGAGTCGTAAGTAGTAAGTAGTCAAAGTGCGAATCTGTTTTTTTTCCTATTTGTGTGTCACATTGTGTCTTCTTTCTATTATTCTTTGTCTAAAGTGATTAACATGTGGTTCCTACTGTGTCTTCTTTCGCTCCCAGGGAATTCGGAATCTGAGGAAGAAGCTCTGGTGTTGCCTCCATCATGAGCGCGGCTGCCCTGCGGGCGGACAGGTGCGGATTGAGCATGATTGAGCTGAACGGTTGGCCCAAGTGATAGAAATGATGGACCTGGAGCCTGTTCCAAATTCCAAGATTTTCCACCATATTCCAAATGCATTTTTCTTGGTCCCTTCAGCAATGCCAAGTATACTCCGTCCGAAACCTTGATCTTCCAACGTTAGACGGATACAATCGGTTTCCGAGCCACCCGTTGGGGACACCCATCGGAGATGGTTGGCCACAGCAGGTAACCAGGTAGCGGAAAGTGTGAACTCCACTGTGAAAAGAATGGATTTCATCGTGCTGTGAATGGACCAGAGTCATATTGTAGTAACATTGCACGTAATTTGTCGACAAACGTTTGGGGAAAAAATGTTGGTATAGTGTTAGTATATGTATTGGTTTTGGAGACTGTGCTTGACTTGTAGGAACATGACTTGACTCGGACCCAAACGTTGGCTTCTCATGTTTGTTAAGCATGTGGGGAGAAATGAAGGGTGTTGATGCTTCGTGATCAAGAACACCCAAGTTTGTGTCCCAATGAACCCTGACAAAAACCAGTACCAGTATTTTACCCCTTTGTTCATCAACTATGGCAAAAGAAAATAGATCCTTTGCAGATGATACCCTGAATTTCCACTTGGTGATTTCGACATTGCCATCTTTGGTTACCAGAGGGTACCAGCCATTGCTCAAAAATACCTTCTCACAATATGTTTTGAACCCCAAGTCCAAATACGGCCTGGCAAGCTGTTTGGAGCTGCACGCTGGCCATGGCTGGCCCTTGGTTTCAACATGTTTCGAACACTGCCAGGTTCAAAGCACTTTTGTGTCACGGTTGATCTAGGGGATCAGGATCGGAATCCTGCGGTAAAGCTGACTAGCCTGGCTTGGTTGGAGGATGTTTGGGGGGGTTCTCTAGGTTGTTAGTGGGTTATGAGCTATTGTTAATTTGAAGGGATTTTCCACTGCCCACGTCTCTGTTTTGTCTCTTTGTGTCGAAGATACATTGTTTACCTCCTTGAGATTCCCTCAATGACTCGTACGGTGCCCAGGGGATTTGAAAGATTGAAGCTACGACCCTGACTTGTCGTGGGAAAAGTAGCAGCCCACTGGCCGTCCACTTTTTGTCCCTTCATGTTTTACCAACAGCAGTTTCTTCATCAAGAGGTTCTAAAGTTGTTTTTTGTTCACTTTTTGTTTCTGATCTAGTTTGTTTCATGTCGTTTTGTCTGCTCTTGATAGTGTGTTCTCCAATGTTCTCCACATCTTCAAGGAACTTACCTTCAACATGACTTTCAGTGGCCGAGGGTGCCCATTTGTTGCCCAACAGCCACCTGCACGGGTGCCAAAAAGATCTAGGCTTCAGTTTTATCGAAGTTCACAGGTTTCATTTCCGAATGTTTACCCAGACTTGCCTGAACAGACGGATTGGAGGCAAAGTTGATTTCATGAAAGGACTCTTTTTGCCATGTGACTGTGAACCAACTTTTTTGATGCCAAAAAGTGTCCGCCCCTTAAGGACTGCGCCGCAGGCTATGAGGATTCCGACACCTGGGCTCAGGAGAAGAGGGAGTGGTGTTGCTGCTTGGCGGACCTTTGTGGTCCAAACATGGCAATGGACAACTGCGAGGTCTACTGATGTCTACTGTGACACGTCATCTTTAACTGGACATCAAGACAGGGCTTTTCAAGGGCCAGGTTGGAATACCAATCTTTTTTCATTTCAAAGTTTCAAAGCAACTTCATTTGTTGAACCCTCAGCCGTGATTCGGTATATTATGACGAAGCAAGGATCTAAGGGAAGGTCGAACCTCACCGGGGGCCCTTCGGGCCCTTCTCCGATGTCCCAGGTTATCACGCTTCTGTGGGCTGTCCTACTTCACCATCTGCCAAGTACAACTGCGATGCAGGATACACCAACTGGCTCCACGGATGGTCTGAGGCGCCAATGATGATCCACCGTTCCACCATGATTTGGGCGATGTTTGAATCATTTTTTGCAAAGTCAGCGGTTGCAAGTTGTAATTGCATATCCCATAATTAGGATCCATGTATGGTATATATGCTAACATAAAGGGGATATATTGATGGGATCAATGTTACCATATATAGCAGCACCATGGATTCTATAGGTATGGGTTTATGATATTTATGGTTCAACTCAGAAAAACCGGCACTTGTAGCCCTAAATCCACTGGTTTATCGCCATGTTCACATATTTTCCCTATTGTAAGTAGTAGCCATTTTGAAGTAGCACCCGAGCACACCAGACACTGAAAAAAATAGGTCAATATATATATATATATATATATAAAATATACAAGGTGGTGCCTTGACATATAAATCATTTTATATTTTGTATATGTAATGTTATAAACATGGGTTAAGTAGATTTATAAATGGGGCTATCTTTTATAAGTTATGTTGAATTTATATCAATAGATAGGGAGATATAACATGAGATAGCGCATGCGTCAAAAAAAGATACAAAAAAGTTAGCAAAGATAGCGTTTTTTGGTTGTCGAGAACGATGTTCTTAATGACATTGCACTTTTGGCCCAAATGAAGCGGCAAGACTTGGAAAGCATGGCAGAAGCTGGCACGGCTGTCGCTCAAAGAGCGACACTGCAGGATTTCAAATCTTGCAGCCTGTTTTTGTCGGAAGAAGTTTGGAAGACTTTGACGGCTGGAACAGCGCATTCTGCGTTGCATCGCGCAGATGTGCTTGTGAACTATCTTGTTGAGACCCTGGGCCTGCGGCATCCTTCGGAGCCGACCAATGCAGTGATCACTGCATTGGTGGCTTGCTGCTCTGGGGAAAATTCGATGCAGTTGCAAACCCTTTTGCAAACTGTGAAGTCGGTTTTGCGAACAAGGACAACAAGGGCCCGCATCAGCGGGCTGCCGTTGCCCGCTGGTGCTTACATTGAAGTTCTGCCGAATCAAGTGGATGAGTTACCATTGAACATTCGTGAGGCGGTGGCGCCGCAAGGCTTTGCGGCCATTCCGGATGGTGTGGATCTGGCAACAGTGCTTCAGACTGCGCGACTGATTCCGCTGCGGTCAACGCATCGGGAAGTGCAAATGCAACGTCAGCTGCAGCAAGGCGTTCCCGCAATGCTGGGCATGCCAGCAATGGATCCTCGCGCTGCAGGGTGGCAGATGTTACAAACAGCACACATGGCCCAAACGGCTTTCTCTTTAGCCAACTCCTTCGCCATGGCGGGATGCCCGCGTGTGCCCGAGGGCGAGCTGAACAATTTGCAAATTTTTCCCTCTGGCAATTGGCAGCGAGACGCCCAGGCACCGTCGTCATCTGTAAGAGCGCTGATGGACCGTGCAGAAGCCACTGTGGAAACGCCAGCGGTTCCACCTGCAGGTTCTACGCCTGCCATTGCCGCGGAGGCGCCCGCGCCGCTGCCGAGACCAGTGGCGGATCTCCCTGCAACGGAAAAAGACGTGGCTGATTGTGCCACTGGGGATGAACCAGGTCCTGACACTGCGTTGGTGGTGTCCAATCCATCAATGCCAACGCATGTATCGGAGGCCATGGAACGTTTGGCCAAGACTTATTATGGCAAGGAGTTACCACAGCCGGAGGAGACCGCTCTGCCTGGGACGGCTTGCAAGCGTCCGGCGGCAGCAAAAGGTCACCCGCGCAAGCGCCCGGCGGCTGCAATGCCATCTGCCTCTGCGGAGGCCGTGGACTGCAGCAAGCCCGCGGCTGCCGCCGACAAAGCGGCGCTCATGAGGAGACCTGCAGCGAGCTGTCACAGCGACAAGCAGCGTGGTCCGATGAAAGTGATGAAGACTGTTGTTGCTGCTGTGAAAAAGAAACCGGCAGCTGCAAGTGCCGCTGCTGCCAAGACGCGATGCATTACACGCAAGCAGCAGCTCAAATAGAGACCTGAGGGCTGTGCTCGCTGCCGCAGAACCCCAGGATGTTGCCCCAGCTGTTGGGTCAAGCGTGGCTATGAGGTCGCGTGACTGGGGACTATTTTGTTTCAGAGCATGTGGCTGCTTCCAATTTTGATATGCTTATCTTTCGGCGCCGCAAATCGTGTTGGCCAAATGGTTGCAATCAGGGTTGCTGTTCTTGTCTGGGGTTCATACCTGTGCATGGGGTTTAGTCACGTTTATTGAAGAGTAGCCGAATGTGGGATTCTTTGCAGCGTTTACATACAATCAAGTTATTAGGACCCATTCCCCCGTGTTTTCTGGTTCCTTTTTTGCTGCCATGGAAGCCAAGCATGTTGTAGCAACCACTCAGGAGGATGGAACGGTGCGGCTGGACACTGCTGACAAAACAGTGACGCTGCCATCTCCCACGCTTGCTGCTCTATATGCGTCTGGTGAGGCTCAGGGAGCCGGAAATCAGGACGCTCTTGCCAGCGTGGAAGGCCATGGTCGGCGTGACGGGCAGGACTTGGTCATAACGCAGCCATGGCGCCGAGCTGCAGTCGCTGCAGCAGAAGCATTGATTGCTCAGTTTGAGCAACGCTCGGATATCGATCTGGATGATTGTCCGATTTTGGATGAATTGAAGAGCATTGTCACGAATGCTGCCACTGACATGGACATGGATGCGCAGCACGCAGGAGACATCTTGCACGGTGGGCAGATGTTTCTTTTCATCTGCGACAATGAAGAGGACCTATGAGACGCAGCTGCCTGGCATCCACCACTGGAGATGTGCGCACGAATTTTTGCAGTCGCTTTGAGGGTGCGAAAAAGACTTGCTTCCGAAAGTCACACCTGTCTTCACTTGGTCCCCGCATGTCCCCGCAGCACTGTTTGCTTGCAGTCTGGAGCCCTTTTCCGGGTGTGCATGTTCATGTCGTGTCTGTTTGGCTCGAGCTCTCAGGGTTCTTGGGCGAGCGGTTTCTGTGCTGCTCGCGTGGGACGGAGAGGCAAGATGGCTGGTCTGGGTCGGGAAATGCTTTTATGTTCTTTCCGCCATATTAAGATGAATTTTAAACATATATATATATATATGATATATATATTTGGGCTATTTGTGTCTATACATATCGACTATAGCTCCGGCCTTGCCATTGGAGAAGCCAGGGTTAGAACATTTTGTTCCACGGAGAAACTGCAGCTGTGGACAAGCTGCGGCTCTGCCCACGGGCCAGCCGACAAATTGGGCTGGAATGGCTTTGTCTACGGACAAGCTGCAGCTGCGCCCACGGGCCAGCTTGTACTGTCCAGCTTTGTCCACGGACAAGCTGCAGCTGTGCCCAAGGGCCAGCCGTCGTGTCTGGAATAGCTTTGTCCACGGACAAGCTTCAGCTGTGCCCAAGGGCCAGCCTGTCGGGCTTGCATTTGCTTTGTCTGCGGACAAGCTGCAGCTACGCCTACGGGCTGGCTTGCTTGGACCGACATGCGAGCCTTACTAGCTGCGTCTGCGACCAGCTGTGTCGACGGACCAGCTACGTCTGCGCCTACGGGCCAGCGGGGTCTGTGTATCCGGCATGGCGTTGCCTACGAACCAGCGGGGGCTTTATCTCCAACTCTTAGCATCCTCCCATTCATCCTCATCCTCATCCTCATGATTTTCATGACTATATCACGCGCATCTCTTATAGTTTCCAAATAGCATATAATGCAATGACTTCGAGATTCCTTTCGGAACATGTTATCTTGCAAACCTCTCTCACCCTGCAGGCCACATGGTGTCGTCGAGCGCGTCACGAAGCAGGTCGAACAGGAGGAGTCCAGCGAGACGCACGTCACCGTCCGCAGAGCCGAAAGCTGCGGTGGCTGATGCAACACTGGACAAGAGCAAAGAGGGTGCCTCTGCTCCTGTGCATCGCTTGGATGGACAGGATGGAAAGCGATCGAAGGGAAGCGGGGCCGTCGCGAACAGGAGACACAAGGGACAGCCGGGGACATGGCAATGTCCGGAATGCTCACGGGTGATAAACGATAACCCAAGCGCAAAGCAGCAGCATTGGGATAGCATTTATTGCCAGGCAACACGACTGTGCAACCAGCATGGTGGAAGCTGGTGGGACCGGAAAGCAAAAGTTGAGAAGAACGTCCACAAGGAGACATGGCACCTGAAGGAAAACCTCAAGTCGAAAGGTCAGCAGCAACCACCAGAACCAGCGGTGCCTCCGCGAAGTAGTTCTTTGTCAAGCTGGTATGACAAGCCCAGGTATGATTGGGACTATGTGACCTTTCGAAGCGATCGGGAGCGCTCGCATCTTCGTGATCGCGGACATTCCCGATCTGGAGAGCGGAGACGCCGCGGTTCGCGCTCGGCAGATCGACGGGATCGTCGTCGCCGAGCGGCAAGCCGGGAGCGTGGGCGCTCGTCGGGTCGCAATCGGGAGCGTGAGCGCTCCTCGGATCGCAATCGGGAGCGTGCGCGCTCGCCGGATGGCCATCGTCGGCGTGGGAAGGACGCCGTGCGGGATGCGACCTGCACGCCACGGGGCGCCCGTGGTGACAATGTGAGACTGGAGAAGGTAGCATCTGCGGATGCGTCCGGTGGAAGTCGAGACAAGAAAGAGGCACAAGCTGCCGGAAAAGGGGATGCCAAGGAGAAACCAAAGGACACGGAGACAAAGGCACCACACGCAGACAAGGTGTTGCCGGAGCAGGAAGAGGAAGGCGGGTCTTCGGACTACTCCTACACGTATGAGTCTTCGTCCACGGGCGAAGACGGTCCCAAGGAAACTCCATCTGTGCCAGCCAAAGAGAAGACTCAGAACCAGGTCATTGCCAAGACTGGCGCCGGAAAGAAACCTGGACCGGTTGCAAGTGCACCAGAACCCGTCGCTGCTGCATGTGCAGGCGCACCTGCGCTTGGCTCGAAGAAGCCTACGGGCAAGGTGGAATCGGTGGAACGTCTGAGCCTGTTGTACAATAGTTTCTTACGCACAGCTATGGAAGCGGTGCACGGAATGGAGTCTGGTGGCCAATAGGCCTTTTTTTGTCCTGACACAGACTTGCCAAACAGAGCACTGCGGCCATTTCTCCGGGAGAAAAGACTAGCTGCCCTAGTGTCGACGGAAGAGAGAAGGTGGATTTTGAAAACGCGTGTGTGTTTCCAATGACATATGCGGGAAAACCCACAAACGCGCATGTGTTCCCTCTGCAAGACGGAAGAAAAGCATGGAAACGCGCATGTGTTTCCCGCATGTATAAAAGATATTGCATAAACACGCATGTGTTTCCCCAGATAGTAACGAAACAGACATCGTAAACACGAATGTGTTAAAAATGTGTTTCCATCCACAAAGTCATGACGATGAAATATGTAAGTTTTTCGGATGTGTTTCCACAAAAAGAAGGGAACGCATATGTGTTTCCGCATGAAAACCTGAAAATACTAGGAAACACGCTTGTGTTTCCACGTCTCAGACCAATTGCATGTGGAAACGCGCATGTGTTAAAAATGTGTTTTTTTGTGTTTCCTAGACACCCTGTTTCCGTAGCTGTTTTCCCCTGCTCCAGTCCACCTTGCTTCGCTCTGTGACAGACATGGCGTCTGCATCTTGTGACACGTCGAAGAATGCACTGGCAGATACTGATTCGGTTGCAAGTGGCATTGCGGGGCCAGCCTTGCAGCCAGAGGTTGCCGGTTCGCAAGATATTGCGACGGAAGGTGCAGAGTCTGCCGGTCTGGCAAGGGAAGATGCGGCAGATGGCGAGCAGCTTGCCCACGGGCAGCAGGCTGCGGCTCCGCAGCCGACTGGCTCTTTGCCAATGGCACCTGCGGGAGCTGACTCTCGTGCGGCAAGCAGCGATGCTGTGAAGGTGAAGTGCCGGCGCTGCTGCATGGAGGTGAATCTTGACGATGCACTGGAAAATCCAAAATTTCGACCAGAGCTTCGTTGGACCTGTCGGAGTTGTCATGCATGTCACACGCAGCTCTCCAGACACGGTATCCAACTGACAAGTTTGTTGACAGAAGCTGAGACGGTTGCCTTTTTTGCGGAAGCCAAAGCAGTCCGCGAGAACTCGTGTGACAGTCGCTTGTCGTATGGTCAGGCAAGAGGATTGCTGAAACAGGCGATGATCGAGTCGTCATCGCGGGAGGACCGCGAAGGACAGCACGGGGAGTTTCAACCGCTCAGTTACTGGCAGCTTCGAGGATACAATGTGGAGAACATAGAGCTGCACGCTGAATGCAGGGACCACCCCATACTGGGAGCAACCTACAGAGTGGATATCACGAAGAAATCGACAGAGTTCATTGCGAAGCTGACAGAGGAGCGCATAGTGCGCATGGAAAATGAATGTCTGCAGCGTGCTGCCACGGCGGCCTCAGCTTCGTCAGCTGGCACAGGTGCCCATCCGGTTAGTTTGGATTTGCCTCTGGCGGCGCCCGAGCCGGCACCGCGTGGGGGCAAGAAGCGCAAGACTCCGGAGGAAAAGGCGCAGGACAAAGAAGCTGCGAAGACCGCAAGGGAAGCCGCCAAGAAAAGACAGAAGTTGGAGGCCACAGCCGTGGCAGCCGCTGGAAAGCATTTGCCTGCGTTGCAGAAGCTTGTGACAAAGGTAGACGATGCCATTAACAAGGCTGTGTCTCTGAATGTTGTTTTGCCGCCGGACGCCGAAGAAGTCGTGACATCGGCGCGTGCTGAACTCGAGCAGGCCATCGGCAATGCCACAAAGATGCTCAATGGGGCGGCCAAGGGCTGTGGCTTGGGCAGCATGGCACCGGAAAGTCTTTTGACTGAAAAGAAGGCACAAGAACATCTCAAGAAAGGCCACGAGGCTGTCCGTACCCTCCAGTCGATCACAAAGGTGACCAAAGGACAGGCGCCGAAGGCCAAAGGGAAAGGCAAAGGTGCCAAGAAGGACTGAGCGGTTAGGTTTGATCCTTGCCAATGGCGTGGGCTGTGTTCCTTCAACACAGCTCATCGCACAATCTGTGCACTTATACATACAGGGTCTGCTCCGTGCGGTCTTGCCGGAGCAACCCGTAAAGCACCAAGGCGTGTTTCCGCGCAGTTGGCCTGGTCGTGGACTCACGATGCAATACTAAGATGAAGGCATGCCTGCCAAAACAGAAGGCGCGAAGTTGTCCGGACTCTGCGCCTGATCAGGCATCCTGCAGACATGTGTGTTACTGTATATTATATATACTAATATATATATATATATATTATATGTTATCTGTGTCGATATATACACACACATATATATATATATATACGTCTCAATGTATATATGTAGAGCATGTATATATGTATATATGCTGGGAAATAGAAGAAACATGGGTAACTTTCCGACGGGGCAACCATTTTAGAAACACCGGCGTCTGGAATTCTTTACCCCTGATGCATTCGTCTCTGAAATACATGCAGAAATAAACATATAAATGGTATATATATATATATATTTATATGTATATATGAGAACGTCGACATAACAGAATCAGGCTTATATCAGCAACACACAGACCTGAGAAAAAATGCGGATTCTTCATACCATACATTCTCCAAAGCACAAGTGGTGGATAGGGACGATGTCTATGCATGTGTGCAAGTAAACATACACATAGCATCAGGGTCTGAATTGTTTCTGTCCATTGCATCATGCCGTCTGAGTCTAGATCTGTCTCGGTATATAGAATACATATATATATATATATATAAAGATATAAATTCTTGATGTATAAACGTGTCTGTTTGCAATGCCATTATATACTTCTATATCTATATTATAATATATATATAGTATATATAGAATTTCTCGTCTTCATTGCCATATTATGCGATGAGACTTGTTGCATGTCAATCTAGATGGGTATAGGTCCAAGTGTGTCAGACAGGTTGCCGTTGTCCGCACAGCCGTTTTAGGAGGCAGCAGCATGGTATAGAAATGCGATGCCGGTGGTCACGGGCAAAGGCGTGGCGCTTCCCACGGGCAAATATGCCGTGGATCATGACCTAATCCGTCAAGCAATGGCACGCTATAGTTTACGGTCAGCATCGCTTCTACGAGACATGGAGCGGAAACGGGAAAAGAAAGCACAAGCTTCTGGCGCTATGAAGCGCGCGGCACAAGAAGTGCTTGGTCCATACCGTTTCTGCTTCCAGTCAGTCCATCTGCCGGCAGTGGATGCCGGAGAAGAAGACATTAAGTTTTTTGTGGCTGATGTTCGAAAAGTCTTGGATCTCGTGTGCAGGCGTTGTCCGTCAATGCAGAAGGTGCTGACTTCGACACCAGGTGGCATGTTGGAAGCTGTGCCAGCGCACGACGAAGCCACAGGAGGCAATGTTCTCAATCCCTTGCTGTCGAAGAAGATTTTGCTTTTTTATGTGACATTCACATGTTTGAAAGATTTGTGGTTGTCACACCGCGCTTGGCTGCCTGTTGCTGCGATCACACATGATCAACTGCAAAGTTGCAGGGGTGGTATTTCGGGAGCGACCGTGGCGTTTCTACGGCTGTGGTCCGAGACAGTGCAACGCTCTCCGTTTCCGATTGGTACCGCGGGAGCGCAGGTCACCGTGCAGTTAAAAGTCTTTATTTCTGATTTAGACTCACAAAGGGCAACAATGGTGGCAAAAGGCTCAGCTGCCTTGAAACCATGCTGTTTTTGCATGAACTGCATTGCCAGGTATGCCGGAGAGCACTGCGACGATCCAGGCTTTAGAACTGTCGAAGAGCATGAGTTCAAAACCTTTAAGCAGTATGATAGACAAGACTTAGAAAACTGCATGTTGTCTGGACTGCATCGTGTGGTGCACATGACCAAAGCGGAACGAGAACTACGTGAGCGCGTGCTTGGTTTCAATTTTGACCTCGACAGCATTTGGGCTTGCCCTGTGAGCCGGGCACTAGTCCACGTTGACATGATTCAAAACGATGCCTTGCACTGCTATTGGAGCAATGGCATATGCAATTCTGAAATTGTGCTTCTTCTTGGCAGGGTAAGAAAAGAAGTTGGCATCACCCTGCCAGCTCTGCAGGACATGTGCTTGGCATCAGAGTGGCGGCGACAAAATAAAACGGAAGGCAAGCATTTTGTTCGCCGTTTGTTCAAGGAATATTTGTTCGGGGAATCTGGCTTCAAGGGCAGTGCAGGAGACACAGTCGCTCTGTGCGCCTTGCTGCGTTGGGTGGCTGAATCACATTGGCTGAATGTTCCCACATTGCGTGCCTCCGCCATGTGCTTCCTGCGGCTTTGCCGCGTGACAGACTTGCTCCGTGGTAGGCTGCCAGAGGAAACGATGTGGCTTGCGCTCACATCGGAACAAGAAGAACATCAGCGAACTTTTGCTCGCGAATACCCTGGCTGTAGCCGGCCAAAACATCATTGCCGCTTACACCTGCCTCACCAATACAAAAAACATAACCTGGCTTGTAATTGTTGGGGGGTAGAGTCCCCCCACAAAAATTACAAGAGTTTATATGCAGACAGCATGCAGCAATTCCTGCAAAGACGGAACGGTGGCTCAGAGATGTCGCGGCACCTTCTTCCGCGCATGCTGTTGCGTGCCACTGAACTGCTGCAGGAACGACCCTTGCTGCCGTGTGGATTCGAATTGCAGCATCCTTTTTCTGAGAAAGAGGTCGAGGACGCAAGCAACATGGTCAACACACAAATTTCTGGCAAGTGCCGTTTGGAAATGATTGATCTGCAGGAAGGTGACTACCTTCTTTACGGAGTCGGCTGGAACAAAGCATGCCAAATTCATTTCTTCCTTCAAAGAAACAATCGCTTGTATTTCTTCGTTACAAGCTTGCATCTAATTACTGCAAAGGACTCTTTCAAAACCTTCCACAACAAAAACCAAAAAGATGTTGTTGAATACACGTGCATGACAAACATGCATGTGCCTGCATGGATCACTGCCAAAGGCAACGTGGTCACCTAATTTGTTCGCATTTCGCGATCAAAAACCAAAAAAAGACAGGCAATGGGAAAACAAGACAACTGTTCCGGCACACATGCAGGATTGAAAAACATAGTACAGATTCGACCAAAAAAAGATACAAAAGATATAACTTAATTTACAAAACCTATAACATAACTTAACATAACTTCAAGTTAACTTCCTTAAGTCCTTTTATAAACCCCATAAGTCCAACTTAAGTCAAGGCACCACATTGTATATATAATTATATATATATATATATCTAAATAATTATAAATATAAACATATGTCATATCCCAGCAGTCCCTGATGATTGCAGGGCAAGAAAGTGTGGTGCTGCTTCCACAGTGGCCGTGCATGCTCTGAGACGAGCAACGACAAGGCGCAGCTCGGTCCACAGAGGAAACCCACCCTGGGACTCTTTGGATGATACTTGGAGGATCACCCTGGTGGTTTCTATGTGTTGTTTTAAAGCCATAGTACATACATTATATATATATGTTATATCAAATATAGTCTATATATATATTATGTCATTATGATATTAGATTAGATTGTTTAAAAATTTTAAAGATATGTTTTTACTTTATAGCATATTATATTTTACTTTACGAATGTAACTGGTATGATACGGTTGCCAGCCATTTCAATCCTCAACTGCACCCCCAGGAGGTGAATGTTTTCGTTCTGCACAAATGTGGGAAAACCGTGTCAACCTTGGATGTCTAGTTGTTGACTTTAGTACTCTTGTCGCTTCCTACAATATGGATGAATGTTTCCCAGCCTCCTATTTTTTGCAGGTTATTTCAGATTGCCAATGAAATGAGAGATGATACAATTATGATACATATTTTTCCATTGCAACTAATATATCCCACAACTTCTTTGATTCAGGGCATCAATGCCTTTTCATGCCATGGTGTAGCAAGATTTCCCCAATCATTTCGCGGAGAAGTATGACCGGCTTCAACACGCTAAAGCGCCACCTATCGATATCGAGCGGTAAGAGTGTCTTTGTTCTGAATACCCGGCCTGGTAAACATAGAAAAAACTATGGAAAGATCATGAAAGATCCACCATGCTATCAATGGGACAACTCACTATAACTCACTATTTCTATGGCCATTTTCCATAGCTTTTTGTATGTTTACCAGAGGGTAAGCTGTAAATGACTGGAGCTGCAAAGCGTGCTGATGACCTGCTGAGGTATGACTGCGACGCAGGTTTCGACAACTGGCAAGTGGGCTGGTCCAACAGCAAAATCGATTTCTGTTGCCAAACGCAGCAGAAGGGCTGTGCTCATGTGGTGCCTTTGGCTGTCAGCTTGGACAGAAAAGAAGCTGACTGCAAAAAGCATCAAGAAAACAGTGTTACCACTATTACTGTCAAGCTCTGATTTGCTTCCCCAGTTTTGATTGTGTTTTGTTCCTCGAAAGCTCCTCCCAAATTCAAGCGTGTTTTTCTTCCCGAAAAGTTCCAAGTGAGGTTTCCGTCCAATGTTTACATCTATACATCTATACATCTATACAAATGTAAAGAATATGGCTAAAGTTTGAGGACAAAAACACCCATGCAACATGATATATACATTATATAGACATTTGTTCATTTATTTCTTTATTCAAGCCTTCCGCTTAGATGGACCTTTGGGATGGCGATGGAGAGATATATTGAATAAAAATAGATAGATAGATAGATAGATAGATAGATAGATAGTTAGATACTACGTACATGAATATATATATATATATATATACATATTTATATATATGTATATATATATATATATATATATCTATATACATATATATCTATATACATATTTGTGTCTTTTTGTGAGTTGTTGTATCCATTGGTTGTATCCCCATGTCAAATGATTGGGTGCACCCAACACCAACATGCGCTTGTCAGCGCTGCGTACCTTGAGGTATAGATCGGGCTGGGAGCTGATTGCACGAAAATCATCTTCATCCCCTTGAAAGGGGGAATTGTAGACTAAAGGATGATTGAGGCGGGAAATTCAACTGTAAGCCATACCAGAAATTTGACGGCTGCCGACCCGCCAAGCCCAATGCCGGCTTGGTGGCTTGAGTGGAATTGATTTGTACCTAAGATGTGTGTGAAGGACATTTTGCAAAAAATATGTTGAATGTGTTGGTTTCCCACCTGCTTCGCGGCTTGCATGTTGCATCTTTGCAGACGTCTCACTTCAGCCGCTGATTTTTGGACGGTGCGCGCTGGCAGTGTGCAAAGCTCACGCTTGCCGGTTAGCCACGCTGTCTGTGAGGAAAAACGAATGGAAGTAATGTGGTGCACCCACCCAAACCTACCATTTAGGACAATGTGCACCACCCGTTGATGGTAACACTGAGGATGAATCCATTCCACGTGTTAACTGTTGCAAACACATTTTCATGACATCAGGTTACCCCTGAAAATGAAGATGGAACCCATGAACAGCCACAACCACTGGTAAAGAGACTTTAGTCACTTCACCCTTGACGCTTTCAGTTCCAAGTTTTCTGATGTTGTACCATTACCCTCTCTGATTCAAACGTGGCAATGCAGAAACAAAAAGGTTCTCAATGTGAAAATGATCTCTCTTTAACTGTCGCTTTCCCGTGTCCATCCGTTTCATGATGATCTCGATGGGTTTTTGTCAAAACAATCTGACAGAGAAACCAGGAATTGCCACACCTGTTGGCATTTTTTTTCACTCTTTCAATCAGATGACATCCATTGTTGTTCCGTCTCGGAGCCTGTTTTGAGTTGCAGCCAGACAACCATCATATACCGGGAAAGATGAGATATTCTTAATGAAAATGGTGCTCTTATGATCTCTTATGCATATCTCAATAAATGTTTGGAAGATCAACATATCAATATGATAAGATTTTACAATGATTACTCATATCCAGTGATATGAATTAATGGCAATTAATTGATGAAAATGGCACTATGGAATATAGTGGTATTCTGAATATGGATGGAACCTCAGTGTGGCGCCCTGCTGAGGCCCAAGATCTTGCGGAGGTGGCTGCCCATGCGTTGGTACGCGCTGAGGTGCAGCAGGCTGATGGCGCTGCACCGCGTGATGGCACATGGTGGGTGGAGTAGCGGAATTGATCCAGTGAAGTTAGAAAAAACATGAGGGTTTCCATAAATGGGGATACCCCAAATGGATGGTTTATTTCTGGAAAACCCCATTAAAAAAGGATGATCCACATAAGGATCCCAACAACCAGCAGGATAGGGTCATCAGTGCCCAGTGCCAAGGCGTCACAGATGAACTTAAGTCCAGAGAAGGCTTTGGGGAGCTGCCGTGCTGGGGGGGTGGTGCAGAATATGCTGCTTGAGGCAGCATGATTCGCTGGCTGGTGGCTAAAAATAAATTGTTTAATTATTTATCTGGGTATTGTTCAATCTATTTTCTTTGTTTACTTATGTTCATTCATTCTTTATTTATTTGATGTGCAAACATGTTTGGAATGACGACTTTGAAGGACTAACGTGTTTCTTGTGGGCTGAAGCCACCAATCAGATAGGGTACACAATGGCAGCAACACGCCAAGGGATGCACAAATGCGATAGTAAGAGAGGCATATATAGCAACTAAAAAACAACAGATTCTGGTTGGTGGTTTGGAACACAAATTTATACAAATTTTATTTTCCATATCTTGGGAATTTCATCATCCCAACTGACTGATATTTTTCAGGGGGGTAGGTATACCACCAACCAGGATTTCTTTGAAAGTTCAGTGGGGCGTGTCTGAAAACGGGCTATGCTCTCCAAATGGCAACGTGAAGAGAAAAGATGATGAATTTAAAGCGTGTCTGGAATGGTTTTCCCCTAATTTTTCCAAATAAATTAACTGGTTGGTGGTTTGGAACATGAATTTTATTGTCCATTTAATATATGGGATGTCATCCTTCCCATTGACGAACTCATATTTTTTCAAGATGGTTATTGCGCCACCAAGCAGTTCATCTAAAGCAGCCATGGACAGCGGTTTCCATGCTGCCTGATCCCCTGAATTCACCCAAAATTTCTCGGCGGCTGACGGGCTGGTCCAGTTGATGGTGCAACCCACACTGCATGGAGTGGCACATATGAAATTTGAACGATGCCCGAAAACCACCAGCAATGGATGCATGTATAATCAAGATCTATATAAAATTATATAAATACGTCTGATGTTTAAGCTATTGTAATCTATTGTACGATATGATAGGCCAACATCTGCCCAAAAAACACATCATTCATGTGCGTGGAAACCTTTCGATCCGAAGATCCTGCCTGGGATTGTCATGGTCAGCAAATCAGCTGAGTCGTCATGAGTCGTCATGATTGGCCACCTCATATAATAATAAATTATATAACCCATATTCATCTCTAAAATAACACAGTGGTCAAAAACTGAAATCTTGTTTCAAAAACCTCTTAGGTCTACCTGAGTTGACCTAATTTCTACAGGGCCAAGGTGGTGTTCTGAAACGCTGATGGCGGGGTCAAAACAGCAAGCAATTCATCACAGAAATGTGGAGAAACAAAACGCAGAAAAGATCATGAAATCGGAAAACACAGAGTCACAACTAATCAGATCTTCCCTGACTGCTTCGTTTTTCGCATCGGGGCAGCGGTGGGCCATGGAGACTCTGAAAGAGTGGTCGCTGCGGTGGGTCATGAATGGCATGTACAAGGACTCCATGTTGGTCCATGGAGGATGCCCCAAAGCGCTTTCTTCATGGGAACATGAATCAATTTTGATGTTTTTTGACGTTGCTTTCAGACAAAAAAAATATAGAACCCCCAAGTAATCACTCACGGTTTGTATGGCCTTTGTTGAATAGTATGCTAGTTAAACTCTGTGAAATGTCGGAGCTTTGCAGGGATCGTCCCCGCAGGCTGGCTGACACATCCACAGTGTACAGAGAATGTGCCGCGTGGGTGCCTTGAGGACGGATCAATCTTTATATCTCATCCCAATATTGCGCTGAAACTTGCTGCGTGCAACTGTCACTTGTTTGCAAGGTCAGAGTGGCAGCCCAGTATGCATGATCAAACGCAGGCTTTTCTCTGCTTATCTCACAGGTGTTCGTACATGTGTAGGAGAAAATCCTGAGTGAGAACATACTGGTATACACTCATGATGTCCTCGGATGGGATTTGAACTTTGCCCATGGTTTTCAGCACGAATTACGCCACCTACCTCCAAGCTATTTACCAAAACGTCACCCTCTCAGGAATTGAATGTGATATCAAGATATATACTTTTAAAATTGTTCAATGTCGATTTTCCCATCATGAAATCAGTTTTCAGCCTTGCAACCGAGGAAAAAAACGTGGATGACCTGACTTTTCCAATCAACACATATGGGATGATATGGCTGATAGCCAATACTGGGAGGTGCATCCTAAGCGGGTAGAATTCAGAATGACCATATTATCTCCGGTCATGGTTCATGTTATATGTATGTATATATATATATATGGGTTATAGACCACTTAATACTGCTAGAAAAAGCTGGGATGCACATCCCCCCAAAAAATGTATGGACAAAACTCGAAGTTGTTTCTTTCCCTATAAATAAGTGTTCACTAACATGGGTTGTATCCCATACCTGGCTCCAGATGACGCTCCTTCAACAGCTTAGAGGTGTAGCCATGCAGCTCCCAAGCGACCAGAAGCAATTGGCGTTGGCGGCACATAGCATTGGCGCGTTGGAGAAGAGCACCTGGACGTCGGATGGATTTCATGAGTTTTTTGGATCTTTTGAGCTACGGACTATGTTCGACTTCTTCCTGAAAAATTGTTTTGTTTTGTGGAATATATGGAATCCTGGAATTGGTTTCTGGGAATTTTGCAGGACACCTCTGTTATTTGGGGTAAGAACCGGTTTCCTGTAGGTTTTCTCTCAAGTTGGTTCATTGAGAGAATGAATGCCAACGTCAAGATCTAGCAATAACACCCCCAGGCAACATTGGAGAATTATGCGGCAAAACATGAAAGTAGTTACCAACCAATCTTGGAATTCACTGATTTAACCCACAAAAATAATGGGGGAATGTGACCAACACTTTTCCTGGGGAAGGTGTGTCCGCCTCATGATTGACCTCGCAGTAAAGGATGCTTAAGATATCATACTAACTACCCTTTGGTAATTCAACATAGCTGCGGAAAGTCATCATGTTTAATAGCAAATCAGCTCTAAATAGGTGACTTTCCGTGGCCAAAAAGGTTAAATTACCAGAGGACCAGGGGGTAACCCTGCTATTCAACATCTCCGGGAAATTGGCCGATCTCCAAGTTTTTTAAGATATGATTATGTTCTGCTAGTCTATGCTGGCTTTTCCAAACAAATTATCATGATGATTTTGAATCAGGCTGGGGAACCACAGAATGACATTTACAATGTCAAACGGCTTTTAGAGGATAGAAGGTGGGGTTAGAAACTACCTGAACCATTTTCTGTTGTAGTTGAAAGCTGGCCTTGTCCGCAATTGTGAGGGAGAATCGGTGGTTGTGAAATACCAGATTTTCATAGATTTTCAGTCTGAGAATGATGACTTCAGCAGAGTCTTGCCTAAATTTCTGGCTTAACCTTGGGTCAATTTTTGTGGGGAACAGCCCAGCAAGCCCAGCACTGGTAACTGTGATTCCACTGACCTGACGCAACCAAGGTGGCATATCCTGCGCCGCTTGCAGCAGGATCCAATGGATGTGTGGCAATTGGGGCCTACCCCCAAGATGGGCTTACCCTACGGGGGATAATAAGACTGAAGAATATTTATTTGGCCATTTTCTGTGGGGATATAGCCCAACAGGAGGATCACCATGCGCCTTTCCCGGATCCCATCGGATCCCATATACTTTCGTATTGATGCTTCCAATAAGTTTTATTGTCGATGCTCTACTCTCTAAGGGAAAAAAAAAACAAGGACTACCCTCTGGTACACTAACTATGGAAAATCACCATGCTATTAATGGGTCTATCAACTATAAATTGCTAGTTTCAATTGGCTTTTTGTATGTTTACCAGGGGGTATATCCATCAATATCCCAGTATTATCCCATTATCATCCCTATAAAAACCATATTAAACCATAGTAAACCCATTAAACCTCCATTAGTTTAAAGATGGCAGACCCCCTGGCAGAATGATCCCAACTCTGGCGATGGGGATGCTGAGGTTTTCTTCACTGAACTTTCTGCCTCGGAGGCAGCTGGGGCCGGATGGTTATTACATCGGCCGAGGTCACCCAAAATTAATGATCAATGGTTAATGATGGTTAATGATGATTTAATGATGGTTAATGATGGTTATTAATGGTTAATGATGGTTATTAATGGTTAATGATGGTTATTAACGGTTAATGATGGTTATTAACGGTTAATGATGTTTATTAATGGTTAATGATGGTTATTAATGGTTAATGATGGCTAATGATGGTTATTAATGATAATGATGGTTAATGATGGTTATTAATGGTTAATGATGGTTATTAATGGTTAATGATGGTTATTAATGTTTAATGATGGTTATTAATGATAATGATGGTTAATGATGGTTATTAATGATAATGATTAATGATGGTCAATTGTGGTGATGAATGGTCTACACCATGGTGGTCATAATGGTTTTCATACTGCAATTACCTTCCGGTGTCATCAAACGTGGCTTGATTGAAATTAGCTATAGTGTAGTTAGATGATTTGATTAATTATCCTAGGAAACTAAAACTTCATTTAGTTTGGGGATTTCCGATTTCTATGTTTGGGGGTTGGGAAGAAAGGAAAAAGTAGCAAGTTCACTTTTCCAAGATTGGTAACTATGCAAGAACAGGCCGCCCAAAAACCATTGGTAAGTTGGTTTACTACTAGGATTTATGGATATTTATGATGGATATATCTACAGTTAGATGGGTTTGTAGACCAGAAAAACTGGTCCGTGTCTACACTCAGCCGTTGGCATTGGTACTACCACTCCCTACCTGGGATGAACAACTCGAACATGTTTGATTAACAAAAACATGTGTTTGAATCCGGTGTTTTTGGCAACCTATAGTTAGTTAAATGAATCCAAAAACAATTCAACGGTGTTTCCTACAAAAAAATCATTCCATTCAACTAACTAAATCGCAACTACAGCTGGATTTACAACTCGATTTTTGTTACAGAGATCCGATGGCAGCATCCAAGCATTTGTTAAATGTCGGTCAATCAGATAACTTACCCTCTGGTTATTTAACAGTTCGCCATCGAAAATCACCATTTCTAATAGGTAAACCATCTATTTCTATGGTCCATCTCTACCATGGCGAACTGTTAAATAACCAGATGGTACCGAATTTTGATGGAAAACATCAATTGGTTAGATAATTTGTCAAGTCAAATCAAATCCCAATTTTGATCGGATTACTTGGATTTGCTGAAGATGATGTTTTTTTCCATTGGAAATTCGCTACTCAGGCAATCTATAGAGAATCTTTGGCTTATTCTTGGGTGTTGCGCAAATCCAAAAATGTTCTATTTGGAACCCCAAAAAATTCCCCAAAATCGAAGAAAACCCGCCTCCAGATCCCAATTTTGATTGGTGACCTGCGAAAGGGCTGCCATATTTTTGGGCGAACCCAGCAAGAAATCCTTCGCCCTGCATCCAGAGAATAGGCTTCGGAGTTGGCTCGGAGGAACTTCGGGGAGGATTTCCGCGTGGCCGCTGGGAAAGCACACGAGCGGCTGGCCGTTGTGGCTAAGATTCATGCGAAATCTATGATTAATCAAAATGTAGGACTTTCCTATATGGAAGGATTGGATTGGATTGTACTAGACGTTATCTTTTTCGGGGCTACTGATCCCACCTGCCTATATACAGTAATATCAAACACCCCCATTGTATGGTCCCAAGTATGTCTAAACCACGTATTAAACCATGGTTACTTGGGGTGTTTTATATAAGGGAGAAGGGATGAATGGTCAATGGTGATCAATGGTCATTAATGCTCGTGACACGCAGAGCATTGGTATATCGGTATGTTTAAATCCTAAATATATTGCACAATCGATCGGTAATTTCCATTTTAGTTAGATAATCCCATCCCCAGTTCGCACCAAACACCCCCCGGAAATGGTTTAATACAGATAGGAAACCATATTTGGGACGATACAATGGGGGTGTCTAATATTACAGTGACAAGTCGGGGTTAATGGTTCATAGTGGTCAAATGGACTTTCGGATAACTTCTACAATGTCCTGGAACCACACTTCTGAGTTTTTCAGTGGAGTTGGAGGAACGTATTTTTGGGCAGAGCCATGCTGATCTATATTATATATATATAGCTTGTCCTTGTTGTTTGGGAAGACAAGGGGGATTTAGCATCTAAGAGAGTGTGCTTTCCCCGTGCCCATATGTTTCTATTATTGTGATGTATTGCATATCTTATATATATATATACATACTGCATTTGTTTAAGGTGTTTAAGCACGCTGTAGTTGTGAGCGCAAACTGCCTATGCAGCCAGACTTCCTACTGATACTCACTGTGAGTCCAAACTATTTCTAGCAACTATAGTAGCGCGCGCAATTGCAATAGTAGTTATACGGTACCTTCCAAAGATAAAAAACTGGCTGGTGGGCTGGAATTATTTTTTTTCCATAGGCAATTTCATCATCCCAACTGACGAACTCATATTTTTCAGAGGGGTAGGCTCAACCACCAACCAGAAAATGTGGTTTCTTTTTTTTTCTCAGTAGAAGGTTTACAGAGACATTTCTCCCTAGTTTTCCCAGGTTGGAGCGTTCCCAGGCCACCGGTCACCGCCCTTTCCGGTTCCGCCCTTTCGCTTTCTAGGCGACGGCCGAGGGGATTGAATGGAAACGCCAGCGAGGCGCTGCAAAGGGGAAATCTTGGGGACTTCATGGTTCATCCAACTCGGTTACCACCTGGTTATGACTAACAGTTCGGTATGTTGATTTAAAGCCATCAAAACCCATGGTATAGATGGGCGATTTTATGGTGGTTGAATGGTGATCTAATGGGATTTACCATCTGGTTATGACTAACAGTTCGCCATGGTAGCCAGATGGCCCATAGAAATAGATGGTTTACCGAACTTAAAAGCATGGTGGATCTTTCCATGGCGAACTGTTAGTCATAACCAGATGCTAGTTCACTCTGGGAATATGGAATAAGCTGGTGGGATCAAGTAGGGTCAAGCCACGGATGAACTAATCAATAGATTGGTTTAAGGGAAAATCTTCAGGAAACCATAGATTCTCCCATTAAATATGGGGTTTTCCTGTAAATTTTCCCTTAAACCAATCCATTGAACTAAGCTAGTTACGATTCGTGGGATGAGCCACCAAGTAGGTTTGGCTGAGATGGTGGTTCATGTTAGTACAGCAATGTCAGAAACCTCCCATATGGATGGTTGAAATCCCACACATGTATGGTAAAAATTGGGATGGTTTACTCTTGCTTTGCGAACATTCATTATATAATCAATTTTCCCCATGGTAAATCCAGCAAAAATGGGGACTCAACTGGGATTTGTTTATTTTCTTTATATCCCCTGATGCAATCCAAGGAACGTAAGGTGCGAATCCTGAGTTGTGAGGGAAGATCATCAGGCAGCAAATTTCACAAGTTTCCATTTCAATTTTCGATCATTTTCTAGAGTTTCTATTTGATTGTCAATCATTTGATGTTTTCCAGAGTTTTCCGTTTGATGTTCACATGTTCTTCCAGAATTTCCCAACAGTTATGCCCCTTTATCATTTATAAGTCGGTAAGTCACCCCATTTATGAGATGTCCATCTACCCTCTGGCAATTTAACATAGCTATTGAAAGTGGCAATTTATATAGTTGATTTACGCATTAACAGGGACGATTTTCCACAGCTACGTGAGTTTACCAGAGGGTACAATCATAAAAATCACTGGTGCCTAGTGCTGTCACTGAAACGAATAAAGCCATCCATTGAAAGCCGCGCCAGTCACGCCGCGCGAAGCGCCCTTGATCGTGGCTGAGCTGCCCGTGACGAAAGCCGCCACTACGGTGGAAGAACTGCAGGAGTGGAACGGGGCGAACTGGGTGGGGGTCTGGTGCTAAAGCCGTAAAAAAGTGAGATTTACCTAGAGGATAAAAATGTGAATCATAATTTTTAAAAAATATATTTTCCTCTTAGGAAAAATGATGAAACATGAAAAAAACACATGAAGTTGCACCTAGGAAAAACATAGTGAATCATGCTAGAATGGAGATTTACCTAGGAAAACTGGTGATTAAATGGGTATATAGCCAATATAGCCAACAATTTGCTTCATGGTTTGAACATGGTTGAACTACGTCTGCTGGCCGCCCCTATCTGGTTGAAACCACAAACCAGGAAGAGTTACAATACCCAGTGCGCACCAATGCGTGCATCCGCGTTGTTGAAATGAAATGAATATGAACGAAGCAAAAAAAGATAGTGAAAGGACATGTGGTTTATTATTGGGCAAGTGTTTCTTGCTGGGTTGGTGCATCCTGGTTCTCACTTACAACGTGCTTCGACGGAGTTGACATATGAAATGATTGTTTTATCTCGCATTCTCATATCCCTCACATCATTTCATACTATTCCGGATAAATGATACCGTTGCCAACCCAACAATACCATTCCCACTTTTACAATATACCTCTACCAGTATATTTTTTAATACCAGCCCTAACATTGTTTTGGGATAGCCAAAAAGATGTTTTTTTGCAACCCCACTGTATACCAACCAACTGTCATAGCCAAACACCTAAAGTGATGAAAATCTTTGACAGAAATCAGTTTTCGGGCACCCACATGGTCTTGTTGGTTATTGCATGTCCCATATTATTAAACGAGGGCCAAGGACTGTGAGTAGTTTTGACATACGGTCACATAGATTTACATGTTTTTCTTTTGACTGTTTTTGTTGTTGTATTTTCCAAAGGTTGTTGTAGTATGTTCTTTTGTTTCTGTGGTTTCTGTTTGCAGGTGTGCTTTTAATGCAGAAAATACCGCACTGCGGTGGTCCCCTGTTCCAGATTAAATCATCACTGTATCCCATATCCCCACATCCCAATGGTTGGAGAAACAACTTCTGCCGTAAATTGGTAGATGTTATAGGGGATTGGACGACATGTTCGGGATCATAAAAATGGTTGTGTTCAGTAATTATGGTCAACAATGATCAATGGATGTTAATGGTGATTAGTCATGTTCAATGGAATTACCTTTTGGTAACAGGCCGCTGGGAAATTCCCGAACTAAATAGAGGTTGTGATTGGACAATCATCAGCTACATAGGATTGTATAGACCCTCATTGAGTCCCTACCCTTTGATAGACTAACATAGCTATGGAAAAATATTTGAGAACCAGCCTTAGGAGGGCATTTGTTATTTTTTGTGGGGTAAACATGTTCCATAGCTATAAATATATATATATACATATATATATATATATCATTATATATATATATATTAGTTTACCAGGAGGGTATCTTTTGATGGCACATTTGCCGTATCACCAGGCAGCCGGACACACCGTGCTCTATGTGGGCGCCACCGATGCGGAGGCGCTAGTCACGCTAGTCGGACTGGGGAAGGTTGTTGAAAGGAATGGAACTAACCAAAAATAGGGGATACAATATGGACTTAGCTGATGGATGTATAACACCCATTTTTTTGGGGATAGAATATGGATTGAACTGATGCAATAGTAATGTAATAGCAATGTAATAGTGAAGATAACACCGATCATAGAATTATTAACTATACCCTCTGGTAAACTAACATAACTATGGAAAATCACCGTTTTCAATGGGTAAATCCACTATAAATCACCATTTTCAATAGCAAAGTGTTTGTTTACCGGAGGGTATGTTCCAGGTTGAGAGGTTGACATGGCGGGGTGACGTCTGCAGGTGGATGCTGTTTCAGTGGCCACCTTGCCCGGTGCTTTGGGCCTCAACGGCTGCAAGGTGGCCTCGGTGGCCTCGGTGGCCTGGGTGGCCTGGGTGGCCTGTGCGGAGACGTGGATTCTGATTCGCAGCATGTTTTAGAAAGTGGGTTTACTATGGAGGTAAATATGGGTTTACTATGGTTTAATATGGTTTTATAGGGATGATAATGGGATAATACTGGGATATTGATGGATATACCCTCTGGGTAAACATACAAAAAACTATTGAACATGGCCATTTATAGTTGATTTACCCATTAAAAGTATGGTGATTTTCAATAGATTATGTAACAAATCACCAGTGGTTAGAAGTTAAGAGTTATCAAGACCAAAAAAGAGTTGGGAGATGTTACAGTAGATATACAGTCACAGTATGTCACAATAGGGCTATAACCAATTTGGTTATAACTTGACTACCGTCCACTCGAGTCATCCCTTGGGTATGTCATGCTATGGCGGTGAGCGTTTTTGTTTGTGAGTTGGCAACGTCCCTATTTTTTCACCGCAAATGGGTGGTATATAAACCATACCCTACTGGATGCTTATCAGATAGACTTATCATTAATTTATCACAGGGATGATATATTCTATATTATATCATTTCCATTCATGGGGTTTCTTCCATTATTTATATTACAATATATACTATGTGTTTTTTCTTCGGGACGCAGGACACTGAGATTTGCATCCTGATCAACTTGTTTTGGCACCCAAATCACCGCACCGTTTTTTTTGTCTTTTAAGCAGGTTCTTAAAATGGGGTGAATTCTTACTTCAGCACCGATATTTATATATATATACATATATATATGTATATATATATGTATAGTATTTTTTTAATACATATAATTATATATTGTTTGTGCATTCGTATGCAATGAGTGAGGCTTTGTACAGAATATATATGTACAGAATTTGTATCATCTCAACAGTTGGCCTGCCATTTGGCCGCGCAGGCGGTGCAGAACGCGGCAGATTCTTGGCTTCTGTTTGTTTTTACAGCCGCAGACAGTTCCACCCCAAAACAAAGATGTGAAACCTAAGGGGTTTCCGGATGGATCTTCCGAAGTGTGGCCGGAGGTGCCATGAGGTGCCCAAACTCCGAGGATGTTGTGCTGCTCAGCGACTTTCTTGGAAGTTTGGCATTTGCCCCTTGGCATATCTTGGCATTGTCCCCATCCTCATGAGTTGATCATCAAAATTGCGGGGGTTGGAGGAGGTTTCTGGAGATTTCATGATTTGATGGGCTTTTGATATGATTATTGAAATTATATGAAATTGTTGAGGTTCGTAAATGCTCATAACATATCCATCACATCATGATATCGTGGATGGAAGAAACCGTTTTCAACTGGCGCAGGATTTCGCAACCATCCACAGTGAGCCATCTGAACTTTGAACCATGTTTGAACCATCCTTGCTGAGAAGGCCAAGCACAGATGTGTCATCGCCACAGCGTCGCCGGAGAAGTTTGTGACGGGGCTGAGGAACCATTACCGGGACGGTTGGGGAATGAGGGGATGGAGATCCAGGAGGTTAAGATACTGTGAATGGAAGAAATCCTGAACTAGTTGATAGATGTTGATAGGTGGTTTATCCCATTATTTATAGGGTTTCAACCATCCAAGCTGGTGCACGATTTCGCAACCATCCACAGTAGGTTAACCATAGTTTAACCATAATTTAACCATGGTTTAGCCATGGTTCAACCATAGTTTAACCAGCTCAATTTGATGGACATGTTAAATTGAATTATCAGCAGCCTGATGGAAATGCTGATCACAAGAAAAAATCATGCCGATACCTTGCGGCAGTGTGGTTTGTGCATGTGGGTGCCACCAATCAGCTAGCAACATCAATCCCTTCTTTCAGGACACTAATTTTCAGTCCACCTCGGCCATTGGTGAAAGTTCCAAGAATTGAAACAGTGCCACAGACGTCTCATGCTCTCTTTGGAAGTTCGAAGCTCAGGGTGTCCCCAACATGTCATGATTTATGTGGGTACATCTAACATAGAATCCCAGCATTTCGCATAGAAGATCCGATTGTGCCAATTGTGCGGGAACAACTCCGGGTTTTCCGCGGGATTTTCGGAACCTAGCTGGCTCGACCTCAGGTGCTTTACAGCTTGTGCCCCAAGTGCAGCCCTGTGGCGGTTTGAATGCGACCTGAGCCGAACGTAGGGCGGATGTTTTATCGATTTTGCTCATGGCCATGGTGAGCTCGGGATTTTGTTCAAACCGACCCTAAAAACAATCCAAGCATCAACCGAACGGATGTGGTGATTTGAGAATTGCATCAGAATCAACTACTTAACGATGTGTTCACTACTCGAAGCAACATTTGAATCTTTGCTGATAATTGGGTAGCTCATGGTAGCTCAATGGATTGGTGTAAGGGAAAATTTAGGGGAAAGCTCCATATTAAATGGGAAAATCGATGGTTTCCTGCAGATTTTTTCTTAAACCAATCTATTGAGTAGCTCATGTTTTGAACTTTTGGGTTTTCTGTGTTGCCAAGTTGACCATGGCCACGACCTCCCCTAACCACCGGTAAAGTTGGAAGCTCCCGACAAAATCAAAGTGACTGCGGGCCGCTGGGGGCTGGCTGGTGTTTTTTTTGGACAACTAGCTGCGAACTTGGTTGGTGACTTAGTTTGCCTTTGTCGATCTATGAAACCTTTGGTTTGAACATGTTTCAACCATTAGTTTGATGTCCATTGCCCATTGGGGATCAAGACATTGATGGTGTTGAAATAGCACGGCGGCCAATACGAGCTGGCAAGAATCCAGTGACAAGTTTGGATATGATGGGCACTCTTTTAACTGGTGCAGTCTTGTTTAATCAAGTTCTATCACATTACCAAAGCTATTGCAATTCAAATGCATTCCTTTCATCACCCTATAATTTGCCAGTATTCTCCATCATGTCATTTGTTTTGCAATTTTCATTATCATTCCTATGATTCTTTCTTCTTTGTATATGATATGCACCGCAAGTACATACTTGGCACTTATATATATATAATCATGTATAGATAATAAATGATAATTATATATATGTCAATAATATGAATATGATACGTACATACTTCTCACCTTATGCCCCAGTTATATATGTATCTACATATATGGGAGATCCCCAGTTTTACGGGGATTAACGCCACGGATCCCATTCCGGTCAGATTGGATTGCTGGCCTGGTCGGCTGCCCTGTCCATGCTGAGCTTCAAAGATGCCAAGCAGGTCGTGCAGATGGAGGTCGGGTCCTCCCCCGACCCAAAACCCTGGGATAATCCGTGGGATTTGACCTGCCTTCATCGAGGCAATAACCTCGATTTTTATTGCACATCTGGGTTTAGCGAAATGGGGTAAACATGGTAAACCATGGGTATGGGTGTAAAGTTTACATGTGGATTCACAACAGTTTAATGACCCCCCACCCCTGATTTGGGATACATAAATGATGGATGCTACAATCTGGATAAATTAGAACAACGTCCTTTGCCGAGGTCATCAGAAATGATGGTGAGTGCATGGGTAGCATACGCACTGCTGGAGGTTAATATGTTTAAAGGTGCTGCAGACCACTCTCCGCATAGGTTTGCGGTTTGGTTCTGCATTCTTTGCATGCTTCGACAGGCACTTGCTTCCGGTGAACAACCGGAGTGAGTGCGTTTCACCGTACCCTTTCCATTCATATCCCTAGTAGCCATATATAGCTCATCCTTTGATCCAATGTGGATGCTTCCCGCAGAGCAAACAAATCAAACGCATACTGTAAAAGGAATGTAATGTCGCTGCATGAAGTCGTTGGTGATTCAAGTATGCGGTTCTTTTAGACAGTATATTTTGGAGAAATGCAGGCCCGCCCATCAGCAAAGACAAACCATCTATATTATAATAGCACATTTTTAAAATATTCATACGATTCATACATATTGAATTGGTGCAGGCCGATCTTCATTTTTTCATTTTTAGATGTATACATGGCACCATGTGCCAATGTGTGCATATTTTAAGGTGTCCTGATCTATCCCTAACTTATCATCCAAATTCTTGGTCGTTTTGTTTGGGGAAATCAATGAGTTTAAGGCCCCACCATTATGGGACATCACCATTCTAATTCATAAATATATCCCAAGCCATATACTAATATATAAATATATATATATATACGCAATTATGTATTTATATATATATACATATGGATATATATTTATATATGTGTATTTATATATATATTTACATATCAACATACACACACATATATACATATACATATGCATATGCATATGCAGATGCATATGCATATGCATTTTTCATACACATACACATACACATACATGCATACATATATGCATACATACGTACGTACGTACGTACGTACGTACGTAGGTACGTAGGTACGTACGTACGTACACATACATATACATATACACATACACATACACATACACATACACATACACATACGCATACATTACATTATATTACATTACATTACATATATATATATATATATACACATACACTACATTACATTACATTACATTACAATACATTACATTACATTACATGACATTACATGACATACATACATATATGCACACACATATACATATATATATATATATTTAGATAGCTAGATCATTGCACTAAAATTGGTAATATATATATATATATGTTTTGGCCACTTTTCGACGGAGGCTCCAAAGATGGTCTTGTTCCCACAGCGTGGGGCCTTGGACGAGGCGTTGTCTTGTTCCCACAGGATGGATTTTCATGGTGAATGGTGATCTTAACCAACAGTAAATACAACATTTGATGGTTAATGGTTCAATGGTTAATGGTTAATGGTTAATACTCGTATGATTGTTAACCAACAATTAATGGTTAATGGTTCGGGTTTTGTATACGTAAAAAAACCCTCAACTTGGTTAAGGAAAATTGTTTTAAGGTAGTAGCTTACACATGAATAGTTCATCATGTCTTGTTTTTTTCATGGACAATTGTTGTGTTTTTAATCAACAACAACTGTGATTTTTCAAAGTTTAGTTGTCAAGCAATGGTGATTAACGATGATTAGCCTATATTAGCCTCCGGTCATCAGCCACATGGCTGGACAATTCCCATGAAAAATGGAGGTTCAAACCGTCCAGCCATGTGTACCGGAGGGTAAGACCTCTAAAAGTCCAAAACGGGAATGGATGAAAAACAATAAAATCCAATGTTTGAAGGGGATGATGAACATCCATAAAATCCCAGCTTTATTGGGGTGAATAGCAGAGCACCAGGGTTTTTAATGGTGTTCATTTTCACAAAGTGAAACATGTGCAGAGTACCAAGTAATTAGAACAACCGCAAATTGGGGTTGAGAAAAAAAGCATCCATTTTTGGGAAGCTTGTTTGCTTGACCACACTAACAACTGCTAAAGGTGCCCATATGATGGGAGGATATAGGAGAAAAAAAACAGTTGTCAGCGAGAAGCAAGTGCACGATTCCAGTGTACATTTGGGTTCACACACACACGTCGCGGAGTCAGACAAATGTGCCCGCACTCATAGCCAGCAAAACTACATCTGAACGTTTCAGATGCTTTTGGTTCTTTTGGCACGTCGTATCATGTCGCGCTAAATCAATCAACAACAACCCTCCACTTCCTGTTTTTTTGATTGTTGACCATGTTGATTAGTTCACTTCTCCGCTTTGGTGGGGCCCAACTTTGACCAACCGTCAGGTGTTGATACAGCAAGGTCTCAACTCCTCCATCCACGACTTGGACGCCTCGGCGGAGAACTTCGTGCGAAGCAGTGGGGCGCCAGGGGCCAACCCCTGGGTGAACCAACAGACGCTGTGCAGCGGAGTGCTCAAGAAAAGCGGCTTGAAGTTGCACCTTTCAGATTAAGGTGTTGGTATTCTGTTTCAGTTTGGTTTTGCTGTGGTGCAGGGATATGCTAGACTTCTTTGCCCATCATGTTTTCACAGATTCCGCTCATCATTCATCTCTAATTCCACCAGTCAGGTGGAATCTTGGACGTTCTGAAGCAGCTACAGCCTGAAGACGAAGCTCTGTTGGTGGCTGCTGCTGTGGCCAGAGCCTCGGCCGACTTCCACCTCTCCCCCGGTGCCGTCGCCGCTTCCGCCGTGACGGTGGGCCGCGACACGCGCTGTGCAGTGGACGCCATCTGCAGCAGTGCGGCACTGGACCTCCCCGCGTCGCACGTGGCGTACCTGGCGGCCCGCACCGCTGCGAGCGCCGTCAGCGACCGCTGGGAGCAGTTTGGGACGGAGCCAGAGAGTGTGGGACACATGGCCTTGCAGGCGGTGCGAGGAGAAAGGGGTGGGTTTGAGTGGTGCATGCTGGTTACCGGGAGTTTTGAAGCAGATTTTTGAAGTTGGAGATGGGATGACCATGGATAGTTTTTGGATTGGATAAGCAGGCGTATGGATTTTGGATCAACTTATCGCAGCTGGTAATAGATGCCTCACCGGCTACGAGCACTGTCGAAGACTAGAGTAGCCTTGGGGAACCATAGATTGTAGATTACTTGCAGATGGGAAGACACGCCAAGAACTCATGAGAATCTTCCAATTCGGTTCAGAAGGCCTTAATTCTGGAGTTTATAGGGACTGCCATGGCAGCCCTGATGCAAAGGGAACACCAGTATACATACATGTCAAGCAATGAAGCTGCATTTGTATCATGCAGTGTTTCAGATCTGGGAATGCCAGATAATATCGAGAAATGTATGTTTTTCTATGAAAGCAGCCATGGCAATGATTCCCAATTTTCAGCATGATTCTAGACTTGAATACCCACTCCCAAAAAAGAACCATATCTTTCCCTAGAAACACACAACAAACACACACACACACATAATATATACATATACACGCATAGGGTCATACATGTTACATTCCAAATTACTTTACTTCGTGTGATCCCCACCATGACATTTATACATGTTCTTACTGGCATATCTTCTGGCATTCTATCTGACATATCTTCTGGCATTCTATCTGGCATATCTTCTGGCATATCTTCTGGCATTCTATCTGACATATCTTCTGACATTCTATTTGGCATTCTATCTGGCATATTTTCTGGCATATCTTCTGGCATTCTATCTGACATATCTTCTGACATTCTATTTGGCATATCTTCTGGCATATCTTCTGGCATTCTATCTGGCAAATCTTCTGGCATTCTATCTGGCATATCTTCTGGCATTCTATCTGACATATATATCTGGCATTCTATCTGGCATATATTCTGACATATCTTCTGGCATTCTATCTGGCATTCTATCTGGCATATCTTCTGGCATATCTATCTGGCTTCTGGCATTCTATCTATCTTCTGGCATTCTATCTGGTATTCTATCTGGCATATCTTCTGGCATATGGCATTCTTCTGGCATATCTTCTGGCATCTCTATCTTCTGGCATTCTATCTGGCATTCTATTTGGCATTCTATCTGGCATATCTTCTGGAATATCTTCTGGCATATCTATCTGGCATATCTTCTGGCATTCTACCTGGCAAATCTTCTGGCACTCTATCTGACATTTTATCTTCCTACATGAGGTCCGGCAGGGAACACTTGGCGTGGATACTCGCGGTTGAGGTCCGGCAGGGAACACTGGGCGTGGCTGGTCGTGGTTGAGGTCCGGCAGGGAACACTGGGCGTGGCTGGTCGTGGTTGAGGTCCGGCAGGGAACACTGGGCGTGGATGGTCGTGGTTGAGGTCCGGCAGAGAACACTGTGGATCGCGAGTCGCAGTTGAGCAGGAGGACGAGGAGGACAACGAGACGAGGAGGACAACGAGAGGAGGAGGACAACGAGAGGAGGAGGACGACGAGAGGAGGAGAGGAGAGGAGGAGGAGGAGAAGGCAACTTAGATAAAATCTAACAACCCTCACCTGGCAGGTGGGGAAAAATGAAATATGTGTTGCGTTTTGTTCGCCCCAAAATTTCCATGCCATCTCCATGTGTTTTCACCAACACCCTCAGGTAATCAATCGTGGCAATGGAAGATACATGCTTCATGAAGATACCATAAAACACCCCATTAGATGATTTTCCTATTAAGAACAAGATAGGGATTTTTATTGGACATGTTTGATTGCCGGAGGGTAAGCATCAGATAAAGACAATCAATAATCATTAATCCCCAGATGAACCATTTTGAACCACAATTTTTTTTGGTTCAAATCGCCCTTCAACCATCAAAAAGCATAGAAAACCCCCATGGAAAGACCTGCCGCTGGCGCCAGGAGCTGCGCCTCACCTGGTCCCCGCCGTGGCCGCCGACCTGGCCGTGCCGCTGCGGCCGAGGCCTGTGCCGCGCGCGGCGCGGCGCCCGCGGCGGCCGTGGCCGCCCTGACGGCGCAGCAGCGGTGCCCGGGCGCCACCGCAGTGCCGGGCGCCCAGGCAGCTGCCGCCGCGGTGGCACGGCACTGCGTGGTGGACATGGGATGGACACCGGTGACCTGTGGCTATGAGGCGCATGAGGCCGCAAGTGCCTTGGTGGAACTTGGTGGATATCAGATGTTTTTTTTGTTGAGTTTGTTTTTAATTAATTAAAAGGTGTAGCAAGGGACATTGATGGGGCTCGCCATGGTCAAAGAGTGCTCATGGGTCTGAAATGATTTTCCAGAGGACCGTGGACCGTGGATTTCCGTTTTTTTAGTTTTGCTATGTTCCCCGCATATTTGTTTATATTTGTAACATGTTGTACCAGTTTCAGTTTCAGTGCAAGTGCAGCATCTGGAATCCAATTGACATAAGTCTAAGTTTGAAGGTGATCTATTCATGAGGCCTACATGGAAGGCGTTTTTTTTTCGTTTTTAGTTTTTTTTTTTCGTTTTTAGTTTTTTTTGTATATGACACTGTTTTTTGAGAAAAGTAAGGGTTTCGGATTGATTTGAGTTAAATGCTGATCGAACAATATATATGAGGGAAAGCTTAAATGAATTGGCATATTATTGAATGATTTCAGAGCTGCCCGCACGGACTTTTTTTCCCCCAGCACGCACAATGTGAGGTGGCTAGTGGGCCCGGTCCGTCCAATAGCGCCTCATTCACTGGGAGATGGCTAGGTGGGTCAGTCCAACTAGCGGCTCATCGGACAATGCAAATTCAATTTCCACGTAATTTTTTCCGAGCGTAGGGATTCCGCATTTCACAATTCCGCAAATGCTTGTGGTATGCCCAATCGTCCATGAGACCCAGACGTTCGCCACAACCGAATGGACACCGATCGCGCTGCCTCTCTAGGTATTGGACAGTCAAGCACTGGCATTTAAAAACATTGCTTCTGCTCCACTGGCTACACTGCGGGCAATGGTGGCCAGCAGAATTCACAGGATTGCAGCTCTGGCTGGCACTAACGCCAGACTCAGAGTAAGCAAACCTTGCCATGGCAGTGGTGTCAGGCACGCTGCCGCTGCCAGCACTGGTGTTTACAGTTGGTTCTGTAGTCACATCCTTTGCTGGCAGTTGGGCAGCGACACCTAGAGGGCAGGCCGCTGCTGCTGCGATACGAACATCATCACCTTGACCGTGGCACACAGACGGTGCTTGCTCATTGTTGGCGCTGCTGCCCTGATGATGCCCGTCATCACAATCATGATCGCTGCCTGCGGCAGTAGATGATGACCAGTTGAATCCATCTGCCATGGCTAAAGTTTTTTGAGCATCTCTTACTGTCACATGGTCTGAAGGAACATGTTTGAAGCCAATTTGGTCTTTAATTCTGAACGCTTCAATGAAAGCTGATCGGGTGTATTTTGTGGCATGACTACTTCATTATTGCATGTTGTTTGATGTGGGCCCTGCTGCGTTGGAGCCAAAAGAGCTGCGGCACAACATGTAATTGATGCTGACCTGTGAGTCAATTGCTAACAACATGACATCATGGCTCACGTACTTCTCCGTGTGGGTTGAACTGGACAGTAAAAGAAGCAGCAGCAGCACGAGCAGCTGGCGCTCGCCTTTCACACTGGCTGGAATGACTGTCGGCCTTTCAGCGCTGCTTCTCACTGAGTGTCAGTCTGCCCACTGTTGCCTGAAGCTGGCACTGATGAGTGGTGGGAAGAACTTAGCGTGCCTTGCCCTGAAGTTGGCACTGATGAGTGGTGGGAAGAACTTAGCGTGCCTTGCGGTGTAGAGCTCGATTGTACTGAGGCAGTGGCAGCGCGGAACGACAATGAAGGAGGCGCAGTTCCCCCTTCTGTTGTTGATCCATCCGGATATATGTACGATTGTGAAGAAGATGAAGGTGTCATTGGCATCAGATTCTCCCAATTATTTTGCCCAGCGGCAGGCAGCTGCAGATTATTGTCACGTCCCTCTGAATCCGGTTCGTCGAAGAGATCGTCATCGGTGTATACTGCTGCTGGTGCTGCTACAGCGCAAGACTTTGCAGCTGGAGCTTCAGATTCAGGGATTGGGGAAATAAACCAGTCTCTCGCCAATGAGATGTTGGTGGCGATAGTTGGTGGAGTCAAAGCCACTTGTTGCTGCTGCTGCTGCTGCTGCTGCTGCTGCTGCTGGTGCTGCTGCGGCGCCGGTTCGAAGCCGGTGGCAGCGGCAGACTGCCATGATGATGATGCTGATGATGATGATGATGATGGTGGCTGCCACGATGATGATGATGATGATGGTGGCAGCTGCGCAAGCCCGGAGCTTGTGGCAGCAACTGGACGAGAAGGCGGATATTTGGCATGTGGGCCCCCTTTCTTTGTCTTGCCATCACCTTTTCCATAGCCTCTTCCTGTTTCCATGGCAGAAACTGCTAGAAGGTATTCAGTTATTATAGTTCTACTTGTGTATGCATTGTGCGGTGGAAAGGTGATAATTATGTCTCGTTCTTTTCTTTACATTGATTTGTTGTGTCAGTTATGTGCGAACATAGAGTTATGTATTACAACTTACCATATGCTCCGCTGAGTGCCTTTCATGCTTCTCTAAAGATGTAATTATGTTGTTTCTGTTTGTTTGCCCGAACAAAGATATTTGATTTGCTGTGAGAAATATATGGAAATACACACGGGCGCCCTTGAAGACCTTTTCCATTCGTTGACCGAAAGTTGTTTGTATAGTTGCTGTGGCCACTCGAAAAAATATGCAAAGTAGATGAATATTTCTGAGTTCCCTGCAATCAGCATATCATACGTTTAACCAATTTCAGAGTAAATGCAATGTGTTTCTTGTTTTCCTTGTATTCTACAAATACATAACAAATGGTTCATATAGTCCAATCTGCGTGATTCGGAAGCGTCATTGCCCACGTGAGTGATTATGATTGACTTGTTTACAAAGAACTATTTATTATTATTATTATTATTATTATTATTTATTATTATTATTATTATTTGTTTGCCTTAATTATCCTTTTGTAACATGTCGTTCAATCGTTGTTTTGCGGACATGGCCCTACTATGTTGTCAATATTGCAATGGCGAAGACATGTATTTAGTAAAGAATACACCATCAACCTAAGTGCAGGCTGCTCCTAATTTCCCCATACCATCTCAGAGCTGCACGGAGAACCATTTTCGGCAAGTCAGAGCTGAGACAGTCAGTTGAGGAGCTACTTGGCCAAGGCATCTCCAAGCGGCCGGCATATTAGTGAGATGAGAAACACAATAGAATTTCAATATTGGGCAAAAAAAGTGAAAGCCATTAATTAATGTGGTTACAGTATTGGTTGTTCAGCACTATTATGCCAACCGACTGGGGCGCCTACTTGACCAGTTCCACGGCCTGGCCAGCCTTCACAGTCAGTTTGCGCGTCACCACTACCACTGGCCGGACTGGCTGCAAGCCTCTGGCTTGCCACTTGACTGCCCAGGTGATGCTGGTATGCTTGGTTTCCCATGCAAGTGTGTCCAAGCAGCCAGCCATGCTGGTTTGCGGCAATGTGTAGCAACCATCTTTGCCCTTTTTGTCTTCCGTTGTTGGTGCATTCTCAGGCCGAAAAGCACTTGGGCTTTTCAAAGTCAAGATGAAATGCTTCGCATCTTCGGCATTGGGCTGGTCTACCAGCTCGTGGTAGCAGACGCTTGCGCTCAATGGCGTCAGCGCTCGCTTCTGTGCCACAACCTGGCCCACTGACTGAATCTTGTTTTCGTGCAGCACTGAGTCGGTGGAATCTGTCAGCGTGAAAGGGACATCAGCAAGACGCGCCTCTTCCTGGCCGCTCTTCAGTGCCACAAACTTTCCTTTGTAATAGCCTGCCAGGGTTGAGCCAGGCTGCAGGAGAAGATCTGCACTGCCTTCATTCACGATAAACACCCGCTTTCCCACTGCTATCACCAACTTTCCTCCTCCACTGCTTTTTCCTTTGGTACCGCTCCCTGAAATTGTCGCCTGCCATGCCAAAGGTTTTGGCAGATCTGCTGCAGGAATGCTGGCTGCTGCGGCGGCGGCAGCGGCATCTTCTTCTTTTGTTGTTGATTTCAAGACCTTTGGGGTGGCTCCAATGACTCCGAAGTCCCTGGAGCGCCTCGTTTGTTGCTGGATGACGATGCCTTGGTTGAAGCGGACTCAGAAAGATCTAATGGAATGGCGGCCCGACTTTGTGTTAGCCATTCTTGGAATCGGCTTCCGTAGACCGCGTGGTCATGCCACGCTTGTAAGATCTTGTCGGGGGTTTTTAAGGTCGGCAGCCCCGCTACTTCGTCCTTCTTGGCACTCCATGCTAAGGTGTTCAGATCAGGCTTTGGTGGAAGGGCAGTCACCACGTCTGAAGGCAATTCTTTGGGCATCAGGGATGGCGCGCCTGGGGGCAACCCGATTGAGCCATCTATGTAGCCCTCACTCAGCCATGACTCCAAATGGTGGCGTTGCCATTCCAACTCACTTTCACTTTCTGCCATACCCAAATAATAGATAGGAGTCTGCTGAGTCTTTGCTACCCTCTCTTTGTAGCACGCCTTAGCCAACTCCAGAGTGTGCGAACTCAGATCGATCAGCAAGATGGCTGCGCGGCTCAGGCCTTGAGGCAAAGCTGCCTGAAGGACCTTGCGCGCAGCGTCTTCGCCGATCTGCACCGCCTTCTCGACCTGGCTCAAATGCGTGGCTGTGTCTGACGAATCTGGTAGCGCGTCGTCTCTCATGTCCTCGATGACATGCATTTGCTGTGAGGGGTTCATGCTGACGTCTGTAATGGCCCCTTTGCTTAGCAGTCCTGAGGTGCGCCAAATTTGCCAAAGCACCTTGTGAGCTGCGCTCTCGTCCGTTCCCCCTGGGAATAGGATGAAGCCTGGGTGGAGCATTGGCCGTTTCTCCCGCTCATCTGTCTTGCTGGCATACGCCACTGCGAAGCGGGTGACCGTGTTCAACGCTGAATTGGTCAGCAATGTTAAGCAATTCTGCTCTGCTTTGTGTAGGCTGCCTCGTTTGTAAAAATGAATGGGGCTTAAGCACACGCCAATGGAGCGGCCAAGCCCGTTCACAATGCCTCCGCACAAACCTGCCTGCGCCTTCTGAGTCTGCGCTGAAAAAATCGCAGGGGCAGACCAATTCAAGAAAGCAATGCAATGGATGGACTCTCGGTCGGACAACTGGTGCAGACGTTGGATCTTGTCAGCGATGGCGGTGACAATTGCAAAGTTGGCAGTGTCCAGCTTTTTGAAGATGTCCAACTGGATTTGCCATGTTGGCCCTGCTGCTGTCACGCTGGCTGCGATCTCCTTGGCCTGCTTCTGCCGTCTTGCGGTGTGCTGAAGCTGTTGGAAATACTGCGCGCTGTCTCTGTCCAGACACTTGGTGCGCCAGGCGCGGTATGATTGGACATCATGTTCTGCTGATGCAAGCATGACCTCGAACGCTTGCTTTTCCAGCTCGCCTGCTGTGATTCGTGGTCCTTGGCCAATTGCTGTCATTTTTGAATCTCGATTAGCGAGGGCCACCGCTACTACATCCTTGAACTTAGAGATGTCGGCTGGTTGAAACTCTGCTTTGCACTCGCTCAACGCAGATTGGAGTTCCAGCTCGAAATTTGGGTCAAAGTCCAGAAAGGGATGAATGACTTTCTCTAGAAGCAGATCTTTGTGGACAGCATGCTGGTTCTGGATTTCCACCATGAGGGATGTCAGTAGCTGGGCCATGGACAGGGTCTCTTCCAGCGCTGATTTGTCCCAGTTCTTCCTATTATCCTTGATCTTTCGTGCTTGACTGGCATGGACATATTGGACGAACAAGTTGAACCCATCCACAGTGACGGTCATTCTTGTTTGCCATTGCCGCGGCATTCCACGAGGGGTGTAGCCAGGATGCAACCGTTTGTGCGCGAAGACTTCATTGCTGAACGCAGAGTCATTGCCGAAGGTACTGCTGTGTTTTAGGAGCAACTGCGCTGATTCTGTAGGAAGCTTCAGTAGCAGTAGCAAACCGGTGCGCTTATTTCCTACCACTGCTGCTTCGCGTGTTGCACTCTCATTCCACCGCTGCAAGACTTCAGTGGGTGACAAGCCTTTGCCTTTCAGGATCAACAGCTTGCTCAGCCATGTGATAACATCATGCTGTTTGCGGATGTCTCCACGGGCACTCAGGGTTGCATTTTCCAAAGCAATGGCTACCGCATCTGTGGGAATGTCGGACTCTTTGCAGAACACAGCCAACATACTGTCATAGAGCCGCGGATTCAATGAGGCAACATCAAGGTCCATCTTGCATACTAAGACATGTGCCAACATCAGAATTGTGCTGGCACGTGCCGCTCCTTTGACATAATGAGTAAAAAAAATTGGAGCGCCCTGCTGATTTTCCATCCTGCCAGGGTAGCTCTCACTTTGATACAGCAACAGGTTGTCGGAAGCGGTGATAAAGGAATGTGTCAAAAATTCATCCACCAACTTCCGAGCTGCTGGTTTGAACGTTGGTGGCTTCGAGGAACAATCTGGATGCCACCCCAACTGCCACAAGCTGAGCTTGATTGCGGAAGCTTGGCCTTGGCAGCCAGCTGGGTATTGCAGTCCATCGACATATGTCAGGTCTGGACGGCGTGGAAAACGCCTTTCCAAGTCTGCAGCAAATGCAGTCCAGGCAGCATTAGGCTCTGCCCCCAGTTCAGACTGCAGGTATTGGACAGGGCCTCCGTGATGGTCCAGCAGCAGATCACAAACCCGAAGCAAAACTTCCCGGAAATTTTCCGGCTGAACTTGGCACTTTAGTTCTGTGTCCAGTTGCTGCAGAAGCGCTGCGTCGGCAGTGGCTTCTACTAGCATCGCAGCGGGACCAGCTTCTGATTCCGTTTTGCTGGCAGATGGCACTTGTTCCGATTCCGGCTTCGGGGCCATCTGCTCGTCTTCTTGCTCCTCCTTGCTTGCCATCGCTACAGTATGACCGAAAGGCACCTGCTTTGAATTTGCAGAGTTCAGAGTTCAGAGGAAGCGTCACCTCTTGTCAAAGTAAGTGCTAATGTGGTAAGTCAATGGTCAATGGCGAATATGATTATGCATGTGATGAGGCTCGCAGTGTGTGCATATCATATATGACATGAGATTAAGTATCATCATCTGTCTGCATGTCAGTCCTGCATGAGATAGGGGTTTGGGTTTTGTAACCAATTGGCTGCGGATATACAACAACATTCCCGTCAACAACTAGAGAATTGATTATTTCACTTCAGCATTTCCCACACTTTAAATGTGATAGATGAATTGGGGTAAAATCTCGTGGCTGCCACCTAGTCCCAAGGTCTGAAAAGAGAAAAAGAAAGTGGACATTAAATCAAAATCTCTGCCCTGAAAAATTGGAAAACACCAGAACTTGACCAACGGGGGGAGCGGAAATCCTGCCCCCCCAGATCGTCTAGTTACAGACGTTACTTGACCATCTCACCATGCTAACCCCAAAACTTGACCAACGGGGGGGGCAGGAATCGTGCACCCCCAGATCGTCAAGTTCAGCTACTGTAGCACAGAGATCGTCTAGTTACAGACGTTACTTGACCAACGGGGGGAGCGGAAATCTTGCCCCCCCAGATCGTCAAGCTTGGAACATTTGAAGCATCCGAAAACCCCTCTCGACCCCCGGGCTGCGTCGCAATTTTTCCACGAAACATCATCGCTCAGAGAATTTGACGGCAGCCTGAGATAGGTGGACATTTCTACATTCCACCGTCTCGTTGCTGGCAGGGAGTCTACTTATTACGCTCCCATTCCAAGCGAACAGCCTTCTGCAGCTTGTCCACAAACTCGGGTGTATACACCTGGCACCACTTCGACAGTTGGATGCCTCCCTCGCTGCCCTCAATGGTGGCATGTTCTTCTGTGCAGGCGCATTGCAAAGGCTGGAACAAATCGACAATGGCTGCAGAATTTGTCAGCAGCGTTGTCCTCTTTTGCAGGGGTTTCTTTGAGACTGGTGTTCGTAGGTTGACACGGCACTGGTCGAAGGACACTTTCATGACATCCTCTTCCTCCTCCAGGTCCTTCACGCTTTGACGCTTCCATGAAGTAGCTTTTTGCGGATGTTCATGCGCAAAAAAGCGCTTCTGGGCGTGCTGTCGCTTGGCAACAAGCATTGAATAGTCAAGTAGACAGTGCGCCTCTGACCACCTGCGTTTCTTCGTGGCCAAATCCATCTTGCCCAGGTTTGCGTTTTGCATGGGGCTGTACATGGTACAAGGCGCGCTCAGCATTGTGAAAAATGGACGGTGCCTTGACTGCGGCTTCAATGCCCGGGCGCGAGAATCTGCAGTCAAAAAGTCGTAGCCTGTCATAATGTCAAAGCTGTGGACTGCCAAGAACCCTTCGCGCCGCAAAGGTATGGCTACCCGCGGTGGCGAAAAAAATTCCATGAACAGGTGCTGCTGCTTTTCCTCCTCGTCGTCGTCAATCACCACAATGTCGCTCTCCTGACACCTGGCAGCAGGGGCGGGGTTTGAATGGCAAAGTCCAAAAAATCAAGAAGCTGAAACTAACTAAGATCATTTTTGAACTTACTTGAACAAAAAAACAAACAATGGCCTCGTCCGCTTGGAAGGAGGTGCCGGGCTATCTTCCAATACCACGACCGGCCGGTCACCCATTTAATGACCTGCCCTGGGGCTAGTTTAAATGCTTGAGCAACAAACGAAACTCAAAGACAGATATTCAGACATGACCATGGATTGGACAAATTCAAATCCCCATCATGGACCCCCACATACACACGCCCTTTTTTCACCACCAGCGCACCTCAATCAGCTCAGCTACTACTCCAGACCCATTGTGTGCCAGCTGCATTTAAAATCAAGCCAGCTTTCTTTCGGCAGACCGCGCAGCCAATGGAGCTGTAGCGGCACTTACCGCACCCAAGGCTGGCATCTGGAGGCATTTGACCTGCATCTGCACGTCTCCTGGGTGCTGGACCTGGAGATAGTGCAGAGGCTGGTCTCTTCAGGCTGGTCACAGCCGCTGGCTTGCTGCCAGTGGGCTGTGGCTCAGCCGCACGTGCTTGGGCCTTTGCCTTGGCCTTGCCTTTTGCTTTTGCCTTACCTTTCGCTTTAGCTTTGGCCTTTGCTGTACACTTTGCTTTGGCTTTTCCCTCGGGCGGATCTATGGCTGCCACAGAAATTGGGGCACCACCCCGACCAAACGCACTGTCAGGCGCGCCCAACTGAAGATTCTGATGCGGTCTCTCTGCGGGATCTTGCTGAAGTTGCTCTCCTTCAGGCTCGGCAGGAGGTGGAAGTTGAACGGCGCCGCCATCATCATCTGCAGCTGTCGTCTTGCCCTTGACCTTGAGCCGCCTCAGTGTGGAGGGTGGCCTAGACACCTTGACAGTGGCAGGCGCCCTGTGATTCCATGCAAAGGTTTTGTCTGTCAATTGCGGCACGTCCGGCTCAGAGACCTCAACCTCTGCCCGGGTTCCTGCCAAGAGCCACGGCATATGCAATGGGACCCATGATTCACACGAATTGCTTTGGTTGGATTCGACGAGCTGAAGCAGAAATGGGCACCTTGTCGCTAATATATTGCCTGCATGTCAGAATGACATCACCAGGTTTCGGACCAGCCGGTGAGCCGTTAACTTCCTCCACACTGCCCTCATACTCAGAGCGTCGCTGGAAGCTGAAGAAATGCACAGCCTCTTCATTTCGTTTTGTTTGCCAATGCGTCTGCACATGACCTGAAGTGGTCACTTCCAGGTGCTGGAAGAATTTCTTCATGCTTGGTGCAGCGCGGATTCTCTCCACAGACAATTGTCTGGAGTCACGTGGCTGCACGCCTTCACTAATGGCATTCATGAATGCCTCTGGCGATTCAAGGACCGAACATTGAGACAGACAAAATCTGATCTCGCTGAATCGCTGATCGATCCTTGAATGGGTGTGTCCAACCCT